GTTTGTAGTTGCCTATATGTTTTTTGTCCGTGTTTTATCACTGTAATATCCTGCAAAGGATTAATAAAGTATCCATCAGTCTATCATCTATCCAGGTTGTTTCTTGCGATAATTTAACATTTTATTGCAGCAAACTGAATATTTTTATATTCTCATAAGAGCTCCCTGAAGATTGATAGAACAGATGAAAATATATTTTGTGTTATTTATATAGTGTTGAAATAAATAAAAAGAATGAAATCAATGAATGCCTCTCTCATCACCTTCATCAGAGCTGCAGCACTCACCCTTCTCAGCAGTGGCTCCCTTGTTGAGGATCTGGATGGCGCGGCGGATGTCCAGGTTGAACAGAGCCACAGCGGCCGCCCTCTCCCACTCTCGCTCCTGCTCCAGAGACCGCAGGAATATCTCGACGTCGATGTCGGGACCCCGGCCGATCCAGCCGCAGAGCCGCAGGGCGAGGAAGCGCTCCTCGCTGAGGAATCGCGGCACATCCGTCTGACGGTCTGAGCCGCTCCAGCACTTACGGCTCTCCGTTGTGCCTGAGGAACCAGGAAGACACACAAAGGTCATTCAGCCAGGGTTTGTGGTCTTATGTGTACACAGATGATGTATCTAGCCGTCTGATATTTCTTGATGAAGTGCATTTTAACCTTTTCAGTTTCAGATGGCTCAGACTACGAGCGTGTCAGCGACCTACCTGAGCTGCTCTTTACAATGTTCTTGATACCGGAGTAAACCACCGACTGTTTGTTCCCCGGCAGTTTCAGCTCCAGATCCTCTGCACACTGCTTCATATGTGATACTCGTATAGGAAAGGGAACTGATGAAAGCAGTAGGCGGGGCAGATCGAGGTGCAAAGGAACGACAGTTACTACAGATATGATCACATTACTCAACTTCAAACATGACGGCAGTTTGAAAACAGTTATGCCGTTACTGAATCCAGGATTTCTGTTTCCCATTAAAGGCAGGGTTGTTACTTTCTTCCAGATAATTTTTAAGATTTGGTTGAAGTTGTCTTTAGGTCCTGACAGAAATTAATAACTCATGTTCTCTGAAAAAGGAACAAAGAAAATCCATCACCTGTATCAGTTGTAAGCCTGAAAAAACTTCAACCAATGTCTGCCATGAGGTATCAATCTGATGAACCAATCACACGCCTTCCTGTCTCCCTGCTCGCTCTGTACCTCCTTGCGTGCACGAGCCCACACTCAAAGCATGAGCTGAGGTCCGCTTCTGGACCAACGGTGCTCGTGCATGTAAGTGAGGGGGCGTGGCTTTTGAGGGAGCACAGAGGGGAGGGGGTAAGTGCAGACGGAGCACTGAGGGAATGCTACTTTCAAAATCATGCTAGTTTTTGAAAATGGCCAATCCTGCCTTGAATCCTCAAAACCAGAGGCGATCATCACAGTAACGTCACAATGACTGTTGTGCCAACCTAAATATGAAGACAGTTAACTTAATCATCAAAAGGATATAAAACAAGTCAAACCACAAAGACTTGAGCTGAGGGTCGTTTCCTCCCGCCAGCAGGTGGTTCCTCCACACCTGGACAGTATCATGTCCGTACCTGGACTGTGCCCTCTGCCTCATCCTGGTGGCGATGTCTTTCTCGATCGCGCTCTCCACTCCTTCAGCCCCGTCCTCCACGCAGTCATAGAGGTGTCTGCCGCACGCCCACATCAGCGAGGTGGTGGAGCTCCAGGCCAGCGAGATGCGTTCAAACACCGTGAAGTCGGTCATGACCCGGTTAGCCGCTGATACAACCACCATGCGGTTCTGAGACGATGGGTGCCAAGCGAAGCTGCCGATCTGGCTTTCACACGGCTGCACGCTTCGCTCGATGATAGTGGGCTCTGTCTCGTCGCCGATTGGCGTAGGAGTGTGCTGCATGTCATACAGGCGGATGATGTTGCTGTCTCGTGTCAGAGTGGCCAGTAAACCGGTACGGGTTGGACACCAAGCAACCTAAAGTGAGGAAGGCGAACATCAAGTTATTTACCGACAATCTTTTGGTTTGTTCACGTCTTAAATAAACACTGCAACATACCTTAGTGAGTGGCTTTGGCTGCTCCGTGAGTGTGAGCACAGGCTTCTCAAACTTCCTCAGGTCCCAGATGGCCACCTGGCCCTCAAAGAAAGAGGCCACCCTGTCATGGAAGTGCGGGTCAACCGTCACTCCCTGGATGGCCTTAGTGTTGACAAACGTTTTCTGGCTGGTGTTTCTGAGGTCAAATATTGCAAGGTTTCTGTGCATGCCAGCCAACAGAAGCTTTGGGTCCCGGAGCAGCCAGCAGAGGGATAGACAAGCATCATTCTGGCCTAATTCATACAGCGGTTTAGTCACTACTGAGCTAGAGTCCAAATCCACAGATGAGAGACGAATCTTCTCAGCGGTGACACTGGCCTCCGGGGAAAACTTACTGCTGATGTCCCATATTAGGACAGAGAAGTCTGCCCTGTGTTTGTCCAGCCCCGCTGCCAGCAAGTTACTATCCACCGGGTTCCAGGCGAGCGTGTTGCATTGACGGGCATGCTTGGGCACAAACTCTTTCCCCACCAGCTCTTTACACGCCGAGTTGTGGCTCTGACCCAGGCTGGTGAGCACCACTCTGCCGTTCGCCTGGCCCACAGCGAGCAAACACTCAGGCTCATGCTTTGGATACCAGGCCACACATTTCATATAAGGGGTGTCAGAGTTAATGGCGAGGAGAGTAGCAGCAGTTTCTTCAGAGAGAGGGAGAGTGCCCGCCTTGGTTTCGGCACTGCCCACAGGGCCAATACGGTAGAGGCCCAGTTCAGAGTCACAGATGACATATCGGTCCGGGTGGTGCGGAGACCACAGGATGTCTGGCTTGGAGCCACTCATGGTCGAGAAGCAGCTAAAAGGATCTCAGGGAATCTGACTTCTACAACCTGGAAATTAAGACACATTGGCAATTAATTTAGCACAACATGAAGTGAATAACTTTATTTATGTAGCACCTTTAAAAATACAGTCAGCCCAAACTAGAATAACATGCTCATATAGAAGTGAGATGCATATTACACAACTCACCTCCAGGTTTGTCATAAACATGAGAATGTAACATTCACGTGTTAATGACTAACTCATGATAACTAGCTTGTTAAATAAATTGTGTTTGGAGACAATGCGTCATTAAATGTAAAAATAAACAGGAAAATATCCCAAATGTTCAAATGTTAAGGTATTTAAATCGTAATTTGTAAGTTTGCTGTCATGCTAAGCTAATGCTAACGAGTGAAGGGCGAGCTGTAGGGAGAGCGTTTAACTCGCAGCCGTAAACATTTGTTAACTCTTGTCGATATAAAAGATGTTTGGGTTACTTACACACATACACGATGTTTGATCGAGCAGCTGAATCACGTTTCGGTAAACACATGTCGTCAACTGACACTTCGAGCCCTGACTGTGTGTTTTGTGTTACATCAAAATATGTCCGAGGTGCTGGAAGAACGTCGGCTACGGAAGGTTCCGGTGTCGCGTCGAGAAATACTCTCCTGTTTTTGGTCGAGAGTTACGTCGTAAATATGAGCTGCAGCGCAGTGTTTGACTCTGAAGTGTCTGCAGATTAACTTTAAAGGTGGATGCAAATCACGGCAGCAATAGAAATTGCTTCCGGTCACATTTCTGCATTGTGCTTACAATTCTCGGGATTCTCTGCATAACACCTGTTGTAAACGCTGTCATGCTTTTTTATTATTCATCAACCAACATGTGTGACAAAGTTAGACAGACTTGTGTTTGTTTTCTCTCATGTTTTTGTTGTTTGAAATATGTTTGGTAAATAAAATACAAAAAATGCCTATGGACAAACCTGCTTTTTTTGTAAATATTTGAATACCAAATGTCCTTTATATATTTCCATTCATTATTTTGATAATTATTATTATTATTTTAGCTTTGTCACTGCTCAAAACAGTTCCCAGGAGCAGTTTTGAGTAGTGGCAGGGACTTTTTGGAGCAGTGGCATAGCTAGAATACAGAAAAATGTACAAGCCTACTGTTTTTGTAAAAAAATGAATCAATTCTTATTCTTATCCAAAATTTATTTTTATGTTTCAATTTTTATACATTTGAAGTTCATTTTTATCAATTCAAAACAGTTCGTCTAGCACTCTGTGTTTTTTAGAATAAAAAAGTGATCAATTTTAAAAAACGAATTCTCTATTTTGTGTGTGTGTGTTTGAGTCCTGTGTGTTGATATAGTATCTCTAGGTGACTAATGCGTGGTCAAAACAGCCTCAGACCTCAGAGGGTTAAACGCTTTGGGTTATATTTGCTCCAAACGCAACAATGCAGGTATCCACCAGAGGGCGCCATAACCGCATAAAAGAGAAAGGAAAGCAAAGGACTGAATGCAAATACCATCACGCAGACAGACGCATCATCAGATAAAATATTGGTTATAAGGCAATTTGAGAATATAAAAGGTAATCAGTGTACATGGCTCGACATTTCTGCTGCTACAACTTTAGATATATAGTTCAAAGATGAATCACTATTTTTGTTGTAGCTACATGGGAATCCTTCAAATCATCTGTCTTTCGCATTAGTGGGCGAAAGTGGAAAATTAAAATAACCACACTCGGGACTTTTACGCACACAGTCTCCATGCGCAACAGTCCAAAACACAAAACAGGAGGACTTCACTGTATGCACTTCTGTAAAAGTGACACGGTTAGTCTGACCATGCGGAATCAACATCGTAATGCTCCTTTTGTGTTTGAGTCGTGCTGGTGTGTTTACTTTTGCTGCTCTGTTTTGGTAATCAATGGTGCAGGCAGCGTGCCATCACAACTATTAGCGAGCTGTGATATTGAAAACAGCATTCCGGATCTCCAGCGGTTAGGAGAATAAAAAGTCTCCTCGGTCAGTCATGATGAATCTCTGAAGTGGACCCGCGCCTGACATGTTGGAGCGGCCCCAGAGCCCCCCCTCCCCTGCTAGCCTACACACACACAGCACATCAGCCCATGATCTGATGCTCCACGGTTCATCTCCACACGGTTTATGGGCGCAGATTCCCGGCAGAAATGCCCCCAAAAGAGCCACAGATAACGGGACTACGAACACTGACAGCACCTGAATGAGACTCGAGGTAAAGCATTGATTTATTTGTATTTTATTTGCATGCCTAACTCTTAGTTTTAATGACCTAAAGGGTCATGTAACCATCAGGTCTTACATTTACTACTTTTTAAAGATGTTTACTGTACAATAACTTAATCACATTGAACATTAAATGGAAGCTGCAGGATTTTAAGTTTGTCAAGAAGACTGAGGATTATTTTGGCCATGTAATACTGCAGGGATTTCATAAAGCACAGTATAAGGAACAGAATAATTTCAATAAATTGAAGGTTTTTTACCACTGTGAGAAAATGCAGCTCCCTGTTTGGGTGTGGTTATTTCTGTGGGATGCATGTTAGAAATATACATGTGAATATTAAAGCACTGGCACTTCGCATGAGCTGTAAGTTAAAGGCCTTCTTTATGTCGTGTGACTTTTTTCTTGTACTATAGGATGGAAATATTTCAGAGGGGAAACCTGAGGAGAGGAGTGGCGCTCTGCCTTCTGCTGCTGGCTCTCACACACGAGGCCACAGGCCAGAGAAGAAACACAGGACGCAGGAACAACTACAGGCTGCACGAGGACGGAGGAAATGGTAATTCTTTTATATGAGGTATCCACACGTTGGTGGTGACTGAAGGTCAGGCTCTGAAATCTGCCGTGGGTGTTAAACAGATTCCAGGTGGGAGGAATCGGACATTTACAGAGAAGCAGCCACAGATCAAAATATTTCATACTACAGTGAGGATAAAAATAGCTTCAATCAGCATTATGCAGCATTTATAGAAGCATTTCTTTAAGGTGGAACATGTGAAGAAACACGACCGTGTTTCAAAGCGACACAAACAGACCCATTTTTGAATTATATGTCTCATGTTGAACAGAAGTGAAGCAGTCTGATCCAGTCCTTTAAGTTCAGATCTGAACTCAAGCTTAAACCTTTAGCCCTGTTTAAACTTCTTTGTAAGCGATTGAACAGAAGAATCCAGAGCTCACAGAGTTACTTTCACGGGGCGTCTGGATCAGCGGGTTGTTCCCTGATCACAGAGTCTGAGTTGTTACAAACCCGAGCTCCTCCTGTGCTCCACCTGTCGACTTGTCCTTGGATAAGACACTGAACCAAAACTTGCTCATGATGGTCAGGTCAGCACCTCGCTGGTAACTTCCAGTGGTGGACAGAGTATACAACAGCATGACTTGAGTCAAAGTAGAGATACTAAAGTCCTGGAGAACTTGCTTTTTAAAGACACTTACATATTCAAACTATTTAAAGACGTTTGACTTTGATGTATTTTCACAATGCATGAGTGCAGTCAAGAATTCATGGGTGGACATTCTGCTACGTTACTGTTTTTTAACTCACTTGCTACAGATCTCCTGATTTGCAGCTCCAAAATAAAAGGAATAACCTCAAATAACTGGTGAGCAAGGAAAATGTCAGCCAGGCTTTACACAGTGAGAAAACATTCACATTTCAAACATGGGCTTAAGATATGGCCTTGGCTGCTCCAGTGGAGAATCGTCATCCGTCTCTCACACTCAGATTCAGATTCTTTATTGTCACACAAGGGGAAATTTGTTTTTGCAGCAGGAGCACACAGAAGACAAGAAACACAAAGACAACATCACTGTATTCTCACTGCCAGAGGGCCAAATTGTAGGATACAAAAACAATTACAGTCAATTATGTCTCAAATTTAACTCAACATATACCAGTGATCAAATATTATTATGGACATGTCTCTGGTTTTCATGATTTCATGGCAGATTTTGTCATGTTGTCTTCATGTTTCCAATTAATTGATGTGTAAAAAGTGACCTGAGGGCCACATTAAGGGTTGATGGGTTGCCCACCCCTGCCGTAAAACATAGACTGACAAAAATTAAAAAAAATCAGACAACACAACAAAATACAAAACCAAATAAAACATTGCAATAAAATCAGTCAAGAGCTCATACCAAGAGTGGAATTCTTCTGCTCTTCATCATTACCAACACTCAATGATCAGTTTGCTCTGTGTTTGCTCTACGTTCAACCATGGAGACGTTTGCATCGTACAGGTACGGCAACATCACTTAGACAAGCCAAAGGCAGACCTACAGGAAAACACTTTATTGGATCAGGTTTTTAGAAAAGAAAAGAAAAGAAAACTCATCAGCTTCAACGTTCATAGAAATGTAGTGAAGTCAAAAGTAAAACGTTTACCCAAAAAATAAAACTCATGTAAAGTACACATACTCAAACGATTTAAGTTCAGCTTACCACAGAAGTCTCCTTCAGTTTTTCAGGCCTTGATCGCATCCTGATTAATGCATTAATGCGGACCGCCATTATTATATTTACAGTAGTTTTGTCTGAGGTTTTGTTGGATTTCTCTCCCCCCACAGGTCTAACATGTTCTCTGGAGGTGGCTTTCATCCTGGACAGCTCGGAAAGTGCAAAAGTACTCCTGTTTGACAAGCAGAAAGATTTTGTGTTGAGCTTCAGCACCCGCCTCGCCATGCTGCAGGTGACCGGTTGGAAGCTGAACGTGCGAATGGCCGCACTTCAATACAGCAGCTCTGTATCCATAGAGCGCAGATTCTCAGACTGGAAAGGCCTCGATTCATTTCAAGGTCAAGTCGGCGCCATGAGCTACATAGGCCATGGCACCTACACCACCTACGCCATCACCAACGCCTCGCAGCTGCTGGTGCAGGAGACGCCGGCGGACAGCGTGAGGGTCGCGGTGCTGATGACGGACGGGGTTGATCATCCACGGAACCCTGATGTGATTTCAGCGGCAGCAGAGGCCAAAGGTCACGGCATAAAGTTTTTCGCCGTGGGCCTATCAGACATCGCCCAACAGAGTCAGAACAACGGCAAGCTGCGCGCCATCGCCAGCACACCGGCTCAGCAGTTTGTCCAAAGTCTTCTCAACCCTCAGCTGGAGGAGAAGCTGCTCAAAGAGATGGTGAGTGTGGCCTCAAGCGAGATGACCTCAGTTATCACACTTTTGTATTGAAGGCAATCTGGGAGATGGGTTAGGGTTGAAAACTGAAAACGTAAACATGAGTTGACAAACCTGGGGAGATCCATATTGAATCTCTAAAAATCTCCACAATAGATTAGTGAACGTCTGCAGCCGCTGTCAGCTAGAACAGTGGTTCTCAACTGGTGGGTTGGGAATGTGTGCCTGGGTAGAAATGGTGTCAAATAGTCTACAAAGCGCTTTTTAAACTTCTAAATCTTTCCTCCATAACATGTTGTTTGCCTCCTACTGCACAATTTGTCATTAAAGAGGACATATTATCCCCCGTCTCCACCTTTTCAAACAGTCCCCCTGTGGTCTAAATAAAACATCTGCGCTGTGCTTTGGTCAAAATATAACATGAATCAAGCACCAGAGGAGGTTTGTGACCCTGACTAAACCAGCTCTCTCAGAATGCTCCGTTTTGGTGTGTGTGTCTCTTTAAATGCAATGAGCCCCCCCTGAGTTTTCCCCGTAGACATCACTCTTTTGCTAGCATGGATAAAAATGGCGGACCTGCGCAAAAGTTTTGTTCTAGGCTGGGGCTGGAGTCAATGGGTGGAGGTATCAGCGGAGGGGAGGCGATTTTTTTTTTTTTACCAGAATCCCACTGTGACATCACAAGGAGAGCACATTTGAAACGGAGCATTTTTCTCTGTGTTGTAAGACTTATGCAGACAAAGGACTGGATGGGTTTATTTCATGTCAGCAGACACCCAGGTTACCTAAATATATGTTCAAAATACTGGAAAAGTGGATTTTTCATAATATGTCCCCTTTAAATAAATCTGATAACATCAGAAAGTCGGTGGTGGGTCCTGAGGCTAGACGAGTTGAGAACCACTGAGCTAATAGATGCTTCAGTGATTCTGAACTATGTGACACTGATGCCCCAGAGTCTGCAGACTTAATCACAACCAAACACTGATGTAACACCATTGGATTTCATGTTTTCTCCTCCTCTAACTTTGTTAAAGTTTTTAAAAATATTCAACAGTAGCTGCTTTGAGAGCATGTATGATCCACTGCACGTCCAGCAGCCTAACATGGGGACAGAAAGATGCAATATCCTCTTCAGAGTGTTCATGTTCTGCATTATATTCTGCACCGTCTGTCCTCACGTTGGGTTCACAACTCAGGGACCGAGTTGTGTCTGCATGAGGGGCTTTCCCGCTTGCTTTGCATTTTCCACACACACTTAAATGTCGGGGTCGGGGCCTTTCTGAGAGAGAGTGGCGACGCTTGTTCTGCTTCCCAGAAATGTGTGATATTATTCATTCGCATTTGTTCCCTCCAGAAAAAGAAATTGTGCATCAAAATAATCAGAACATGAATGTACCCTGAGGGTTAAATGCAAACTATTTCACAGTGTGAAAAACATTTGATTTAAACCAAACATGTTCTAAAAACAACAAAGATAAGTCGGAAAAAACAACCACAAAGATACTTAATAAAACCCAAAACTAAATTGTACATTTCATGACATGTTTTTTGCCTACTTTGAGATATATTTTTACAATTAGTTAAATGTTTTCTGCGTTACATAAAATGTTTTTAAAGTCGACCTTCAGGGCCACCGTAGAATACCATGGTATTGAACCTGTAACTAAACTGTCTCCTTTGATTTCTTATGTCTTTTCAGAGTGCAGTGGCAGCTGAGTGGGTAAGTCTTCCTACACAATTAAGCTTTGAAGAGTTTAATAAATCTGATGAAATCATACACTGTGGATAAGAAGTGGACGCAGCCTCGGAGGCTAAGGAAAAGGCTTAAACGCTGCAGTTCTTTTAAAGGCCAGCAAGGGAGACTGGAAGTGGTCAAGAGAACTGGTTCAGATAGATGTGATTGTACCCGACCTAAAAAGCCTCTGCATGTTTCTAATAAGCTCCATGAGCAGAAACGTGCTCAAACTAGGATCAATATTGGAGAGGTTAGAGGTTAGTCATTGATATTTGGCATCACAATTAATATCACAGTAAACGTGTGTTACAGAAATCAAGAGCAAAAAAATGGACGTACGCTCAGCGACATCACCCATTGGTTTCTGAAGAGGTTTAACGGTGGTGGTCACCATATTGGAATTTGCTATCCCCAAGTTTCAATCACTGTAGAAACAGGAAGAGTTTGAGCAGCCAGCCCCAAGTGGATACTCGAGGAACTGCAGTCTTTTGCACTTAAGCAATGGCTTCATTTTTCATAATCCGAGGTTCAGGTTTGATTACAGTTTAGTTTAGTTTCTAGGTTTAGCCGATGACTTAGCGTTTTCTAAGCCCTTACTTCCATAGAAATCCAACCTTTTGTCCAAATATGGTCTCATCAAGACAAAAATGGTGAGGGTTAAAATTTGGGACATCAAGAGGGCGACATCCACTTTTTGTACACAGTATATTTTGTAAATGGCTGACTTTGTATTTTTCTCTCTGTTAGTGTCCACAGGCTCAAGTGTGTTTGTGTGAGAGAGGAGACCGAGGCCCACCGGGAAGTCCAGTGAGTTTTATAGATACTAACAGATAAAAAAATATATTTTCAAAACAAACACATTCAGCATCATCTTGACTTTTATTATTGTCAATTTAGGGTAGAAAAGGGGACGCAGGTTTCAGAGGGTCGATCGGTCTAAAAGGAGGGAGGGTAAGTCACAAAGACTTTTTTAAATGTCTGAATTCATGCAGCTCATTGTATGTTGGTTTGTTTCCATAAAGGGTGAGCCCGGCTTAAACGGTCGACCTGGAGGTGATGGACCAGAGGTAAAAGGAAAGAATTACCTTCATCAATAACTTCTTGTTTGATGACATGCTGACTTTATAAAACTGTTTCTCCTTTTACAGGGACAACCAGGTTACAAGGGCAACAAGGTTGGTGACGTTTAATGTCAGCGAAATGCAAAAAGTCTCAGTCGTTTAATTTAGCAACTTGAGTAAGAGATGCGTTTGTTTTTTAGGGGGAGAGAGGAGACTGTGGCACTCCGGGGGAAAAGGGTGAAACTGTATGATGAGCATTATCTAACACATTATTATTTGAATTAATACCACTCAGACTTTGGTCTTATAACGAATGAAGTGTAACTTCACAGGGACCCGAGGGACCTCCAGGACAGCGAGGATCAAAAGGAGCACAGGTACAGTGCTGTCCCATCATGGCTTGTTTTCTTTCACGTCAACGTTACAGATTGTAGGTCTAACTTCATCATTTAAATTATAACAAATATAAGGTTTGCAAGCTGAATATATATTTTTATGGCCAGCTGCTCAGAAAGGTTTCACTTTTGCTGTAGCGCCATCATCAGGTCAAAATGCAATTGGTAAACAAATTGCAAAAATGAACTAAACACTGTAATGTAATTATCAAATGTGAATGTTTGCATGCAACAACATTAAATATGCGATAGGACAGGATACGGTACGATGCAATGCCATGGGATGTGATGTGTGCGATGGAAGGTTGCTCATGGTTACGGGTTGGGGGAGTGATATTGCTTTAAGACAAGTGAGGCATCACGGTTGTTGGTGTAGAAGTTGTCCCCGTGCTTTTCTTACCCACACCTGAAGGTTCCTTCAAGTCAGTATTTGTAGTATTATAGTTAACAGCAAGATTAAACTAATTATCAACATTACCCAAGAAGCACCGTTAAAATATGATAGGATAAGGTACGATGCGGTACAATACGATGTCATGCGATACGCTCAAAAAATATACAATATAATACGATATATACACGAGACCAGAAACTTCTCTGTAGCATGCATTAATGGGAAGCCTTTCTTTCTCACCAGGTGGGCGGTTTCATAAGTGAGTGACATCCTGTGAAAGCTTTGAATTGTACTTTGTAAAAATATGACCATGTCACTATTTGCTTGTAGCTTACAGAACATCAGTTATAAGCCTAGTCTTCTTTAAATAACTTTTTTACATTTACATTTCATCAACTCAGATTCAATTATCACTTTTTTTTTTTTTTTTTTTTTTTTTACTGTTTGTCACTTTTCTTCACACGTTCAACGATCCGATTTTGATTCATTAAACTGATTTTACACCGTCATTTTCTATTTTTCGTCCCTCCTTCACCGCCTGAATATAAACACACAGCCTGCAGTTCTCGTTGACGGACATCACAACAGCTCGTCCGCTCTCCAATATGAGAAATGGAAGTGGAATTTGTCTCGTATTCATCTCTGCACTAATGGAATGTGAATATTGGATTATGGGTAATCCTGATACTAATGTGGCTGTGCAAAGCAGGGAATCCAGGCTTGCAGGATATTATTCTTTTGCAGGAACAGACTTTGTGAGGTGGGATTAGTGCGGCCCTGCACAACTCTTCCTCCTCTGTGCTACTGGCACAGTGTCAGTATAACCTTGTTATTTCTTTTTTTTTGTGAGCTTGGCATGAGAATTGAAAGACATGAAAGCGACGAATGTTGATTTTAACCCCGCTGTATTTTTCATCCAGTGACCAAGGGTTTTGCTCTTGACCGGCAATTTCGGTCATACGACACAGGGGCTCATGGCTGGTCATTTCTGTCCGACTTTAGTGCAACTTTTCGTGCAAAATAAAGAGAATAACCTCAGTGATCTGGATGAAAATAATGCATGCTTCTCAGTGTGTTATGGATTTGATTAAAGGACATGTGTGTGTTGTATTTAGGATGTTTAAATTTGTGTTTCAGGGTGCATTAGGACCACCAGGAGACATGGGAGCTGAGGGTCCAACAGGACTTAAAGTAAGTTTACACAACACCTAAAATACGTCAGAACTTCGAGTGTGTGCATGTATAGATGACTGGTTAATCTTTGTTTTACTTTTGCCATCATCTGCCCAGGGACAACAGATTGAATGTAAACCTAGTGTTAGATTATTAAGATGTAAAGGGCTTGTTGTCCTGACCACAGGGCAGCAGTTCAGCACGTTCCCACAGATTTTGTTGAGGCAAAATAAAATGACCTTTCTAAATGTGTGCCCAGGGCTTAAAAGATGCAGATTCCTCCATCACTACAGAGCTGTCCCGCAGCTTGTTTTTAACAAAGACGTCTTTATACAGGGGAAATATAATGAGATTTATTGCACATTGAGATATGAATAAAGACAAAGTTTCACAGTGGGAATAAAGGGCTGATCTTTTTTTCCCAAATGCCATCGATCACCGAGATGGATTTCACAGCACTTAGTTTGCAGTTAAATTCACTTTAAGGTCCCATATGATGCATATGCGTACTTTTTGCAAATGGGGGGTGCTGGTAGCCTAGTGGTTAGTGCATGCAACCCCATGTGTGGAGGTAATAGTCCTTCAAGCAGACGGCCAGGGTTCGAATCCAACCAATGTCTCCTTTTCTGCATGTCATTCCCAACTCTCGCTCTCTCTATCCTCTGTCCTAACTAAAATCAGAAAAAAATAATAGTTGCGAAGGGAATAAGATGGCTCCTTGTTTACATGTGGTGATATTTAACTTATAAAAGGGAACTTTTCTACCTCTCAGTGTTGAGCTACTGTTACACAACATGGAAAGTCTCTTAAATTCTTTTCCACTTTACCTGCTTAAGGGGGACAGAGGACCCAATGGGGCTCCTGGACCACAAGGGGACATCGGTATTGGATTCCCAGGAGCAAAGGTAAGTTATTTAAATCAACCTGGACAACATAGAAACATCCTCGTACGTCATTTATCTTCCTAAAATCAAACATGTGCCTAAATGTTTACTGAAGACGGTATGAATTAGATGAAAGTTTATCAGCTGCATTTGCTGACTGATGCTGCGTGGCGCTCACAGGGTGAAAAAGGCATTCAGGGAAGACCGGGTCCCACAGGTCCAGTTGGTATAGGAGAACCAGGACTACCAGTGAGTATGAGCATTGAAAAGTTTGATAATGATGTAAGATTTAAGATAAAGAGTGTTAAAAGTACAATTTCAGACTTGTTCGTTTAGGAGGTTAAGAGTTGAAATGAGATTGCTGAGTCAGCGTCTAGTGAAGCTGACTCACATATGCTCTTACTGATTTCCTGTTGTCATGTAGAACAGACTGGTTAAATATTCAAATATGAGCATGCTCTGTGTGTCTCTACTCACTACCCACCTGCAGGATTCCATTTTCTAACCCCTGCTGCCACCTGGAGCCCCAATAGTGTTCCCTCTCTGAGGTGCCGCTCGGTTGCAGGAACACACAATGAAAACATCAATAAATAATCTGTGGCACACTGAACATTACCTTACTGTCACATGTTTCACCTGAGGAAGCTACAGGCCAAACGTGTGACAGTAACGTAATGTTCAGTGTGCCACAGATTCTTGATTGATTTTTTTCATGTTAAGATTTATTTTAACGTTCTTGGTTCAATGATTCAAGGGTCCCCCAGGACCACCTGGAGCACAGGGGAACCCCGGACCACCAGGAGAGGGCTTCCCAGGGCCGAAGGTGGGTCGAGTTTTAAAGCAGTAAAGGAATGGCCTTCAAAGATCAGAACTGTTTTTAGTTTGGTCCTCGTTCTCTCATCTCAAAGTTTTTTTTAATTCAGAATTTTGCGATGTGTTTATTGTAAAAGCTCATATTGAGATAACGATATGATGGAGTCTATAATATTTGCTTAAACATGAGTATGACTTGTGTGTTATTTCATGAGAACTGCGTTACTGTCTAAACTTTATGATTTGGTTGAAGGGTGATCGAGGACACGAGGGTCCAAGAGGAAACCGGGGACTTTCTGGTGTTGGGGCCAAAGGCGACAAGGTAAATGTTTCTGAAATGAATACAAATTATAAACGTACGGAGATCCGCAGTACAAACACTGTACTGTGAGAATATTCCACAACTAGAGCAAAACGTTTGCGCTACAGAGGAGGGATGTCTACCGGGAAAACTCAGGGGGGGGTGCTCATTGCATTTAAAGAGACACACACACCAAAACGGAGCGTTCAGAGAGAGCTGGTTTATACAGGCTCACAAACCTCCTCTGGTGCTTGATTTATGTTATATTTTGACCAAAGCACAGCACAGATGTTTCATTTAGACCACAGGGGGACAGTTTGAAAAGCTGGAGACGGGGGATAATATGTCCTCTTTAATATAAAACATGATGAGATTTTATCTTACATATGAACCGGACAAGAGCAGCAATAAGAGTAATCATCTTGCTTTGCCCACAAGGGGGTGCCAAAGTCCTCACAGGAGCTTTTAAATGGAGCTTGATTCATTCATGCACACCTTTTCAGACACGTGCAGATCTGTGATGACTGTTTTTAGTTTAATTATGAAACTGTTAAACTCTCTTTCCAGGGCAGTCTTGGGCCACCTGGGATTCCAGGTCCAGTTGGTTCTCCTGGTTTTGGATTTCAAGGCGAAAAGGTAAAAGCTGCATTAATGTCACTCGTTTTCTCCACACATGCACTCATGAACATTTCTTTGGAGAAATTTAGGAGAGCGTTGCCCCAGAAATCTTTATGACTCGTCTGTTCACACATGCATCTCACAGCCGGAGACTTTCACTCTCTGGACGCAGCGTCTCAGGAGCCAGGATGAGATGTGAAAAAGGACGAAGAGGAAATGGCGAACAAAGCAACAGCGTCTGACATTATGATGACAGATTTAGCCTTTGTATACCTGTAATCAGACATATTCACAGTATCTACAGACGAGTAGATACTGTGCATATTTGCAAGCAGAAAAGAGCATGAAGCCGTTTCACTGCAACGCAACGATCACACCGCTCGTATGACAGAAACGTCGTCATTCACACGAGCAGCTCAGAACTCACCATGAGAAGACTTTTGTGTGAATGTGTGAGACTGTTAACTCATTACTGTTGAAGAATCAGGTTAGAAAACAACGACTATAACGTGTGATTACTGTACGGAGAGTTACTTTGCTTCTTCTTCTCACTGTCACTCTTTCCTCTGATCTGCAGGGTGATCTGGGACCAGCCGGACCTGCGGGCCCCAGAGGAGCTCCAGGTGTTGGAGTAACTGGACCAAAGGTAAGAAAAACTGCTGGGTACTAACCGGATGATTATTTCTTCTAACACAAAGAAATTAATCAAATGTGATAGACAGTCAGCTGCTTCTCTGCCTGAATGCATCTAAATTGTTTTGCATATTTTAACCGCACAAACACGCCTCGATCTGTCAATCAAACGTCTTTGTGAATCTGTCGACTTCTCCATCACGGAGACAACACCGACGCTTATGTTGGTCTCGGTTCATTTGAAGTTCATTTCAGAGATTTTTTTAGGAGCAGTTTTTGTGTTCCCCGACTTTCACTTGAAACAAAATCTTGACATTTCCATCGAAACCGCCCAATAAGCCTGAACATCATGACCACCTGTGCAATTCAATACAGCATGTTCAATCATTAATTCTACTTTTATGAAGCTTCTGCATTTATCTTTTTGCAATGGCCAGAAATTTACTTTTTTTTAATCCAAAGTTTCTTAATTGGTTTTTGAACAGAATTAACAATGTTTCAATATTCACCAAAGAGCAGCGACATTATCATCAGAGTTCTGTGGACAAAGTCACAGATCCAAACCCACCAAACCTCTACCCACCCACCCCAAGCTTCACACACCTAAAACATAAACGTCTGTTTTCAGGGGAATCAAGGACTTCCAGGTGATCCTGGACTGCCAGGTGAGAGAGGAGTGGGACAACCAGGACCTAAAGTAAGTAAAAAGGACAGTACTCACTCAAAGCGGCCTGTCAGTTTCAAATATTGATAAATTATACATATAAAGGAAATAAGACTCTGCCATGTGGATTTCTAACTTAGTTTCCATGCTTTCAAACATTAGATGAAGATTCTTACCTTCACTCTTTAGTCTGCTTCATTCTTCATTAACCTGCATCCCGCTGATGCTCTCATGTTCTCTCTCTCTTTCAGGGCGACCCCGGGTCTGAGGGGTTAATAGGGATACCAGGTCAGCCAGGAGAGGACGGAGCCCCGGGACAAAAGGTAACTTCATGATCTCGATCAAGAATTTCTCTTTTTTCGATTCATCCCCCGTATTTCTGAAGTGTTGTTAAAACCTGTTCAAAGATTCTTGGCTAAAAACAAAGACATTTCTTTTGAACATTGTTTTTATTGATTTTGATTTCTTTATCAATCCTGGGGCTGAGTCAACTACACTAGACAAATAAGACCACATAAAGGATGAGACAGAGACTCTTCTAGTTTTGGCATTGGCTGTGGCTCACAGGATTCTGTGTTCAATGTATTTTTTATTGATCAGTAAATACAAATATCAGACGACCCCACGTGGGGTTGGAACTCCCAAGGTTGAGACAGCCTCAATTAATAAAACTGTTTGAATTGAATTCTTACCGGTCTGCTGCTTCATTGGATATTTGTATCTGACCGCAGGGTGACATCGGGTTACCGGGGCCCAGGGGACCTGACGGAGCTCCCGGTAAAGGTGTACCTGGAGGAAAGGTAACAAACTTTTGTTAAAGATAAGGATTTATTGTCATAAATGAGTTTCAAGATTCAGTGATAATTCTACTCAGAGGATCATTAAGAGGACTGTAAGATACAGTTAGTGTTATTTTGCAGGGGGACAGAGGGGACCGGGGGACGAGAGGACCATCGGGTGCAGTCGGTCCAGTGGGACCAATGGGTCCAAAGGTTTGTGCATCAACAGAAACATTTTATGTGACATAAAAGATTGTGAGATAGTAACTTGTTTGCACAAGAAAAATAATATATGAAATGGGACTTTTTGGGTTTTGTACTAATCTCAGATCTTCTTTCAAGTAAATCATCGACGATTCTCTTTCGCTTCAGCTTCATATTCAGCAACTCATTAAAGACATTCAAGTTGCAGTTTGGTTTTTATTTCAGAAATAAGTCGTGTTTTTCTTCAGCTGCAAAGTAAAACTTGTAGCTGCCTTTGTTTATCCTCTAAAGGACTACAGTAATGTTTTATATCCACATGTATCCTCTTAATGTGTTAAATCTCAAGATACCATACCCCAAGATGCTTTGAGGTTCACAACAAATGTCAAAGTCCCGACTCCTTGATGTACTCTGTATGACTGAGCTGGCTCGCCTGCATTGTCTGCTTGTAGACTCAATCACAGGCAAACTTGAACTGATTTGATGAATACATATGTTAAAGTCCTCCCTTGTTATATTCTGTTAACCTGAGGTGTGTTCTCTCTTCCAGGGGGGACCGGGAATAATTGGGCCTCCAGGAGTAGCTGGACTACCAGGGCGGGGGATAGCTGGTTCCAAGGTGAGATCATGCAAACAGTTTATTTAAACAAACAACAATTGATTGACTTCTGTGAGGGGGTTTGTGTTTTTAGGGAGAACCAGGTCCTCGAGGTGCAACTGGAGCTGTAGGAGAGCCAGGGATCGGTTTAACGGGACCCAAGGTGAGTTCAGCTCAGGTGTACTCTTTGCTCATCCTGGTTCTGATTAAAGAGGCCTGTGATTGGTTCACAGGGAGACAGAGGGTCACCAGGGCCTGCTGGAGCACCTGGACTGAAAGGTGAAGGATACTCCGGCCCTCCAGTGAGTATCAAACAAACATCTTCTTCATCACAATCCATGTCTTTGTCGACACATGTGGTTTGACTTCACACTCTGTCTCAGGGACTTCCTGGGCCTCCCGGTCTGCTTGGAGAGACTGGAGCTGATGGTGTTGGTTTACCTGGATCAAAGGTAAAAGTTCATCCAGGGAAAAAACCATAGACTGTATAAAACATTGGATGTAGTTGGTTTCTGAAGCTGAGGCTGTTTTAGTAGTTTTCCCCTCCTTTTCTGCTTGAGATGTGATTAGTCACATGATTATAAAACACATCAAGAACTCACAATCTGTTTTCCGATTCAGGGGGACAGAGGACTGCCTGGACCACCTGGACCTGCCGGGCCACCAGGAGTTGGCGTAATTGGTTCAAAGGTAATCTGTACTCCTCATAATGTTGCCCAGTCGTTTCTTCCTCTGATGCCTGCACCCTGGGGTATCTGGCTCATGTTGAAGTTTGACCAGTGTATGATGTGGGTCTGTTATTTGTAATGTAAGAAATAACGTCCACGTTGTGTTTATAAACTTTGACTACGTTAATGTTGGTATCCATTAAGTCCCTCGTTTTTTTGTTCCTGCAGGGCTCAGTTGGCAGAATGGGCCCGGCTGGTCCACAGGGGTTACCTGGAGAGGGCATCCAAGGACAAAAGGTACCACTATCAGCTGTCAGGATATGAGAGGAGGGGGTAAATGTTGACCTGACTGGATTCACAAACTCAAAAGAAATTAAACAAATGACACAGCAGAGATCAGTTTTTGGTTTTTAAGCACCAGAGATCCCTGAGTCACGTTAGTCGGGACGTGGCTGAAACGCAGCGATTGTATAAAATTTGTGGAGGAACGTCTTCTCACACTGTACGACAGAAGCTTTCATGACATACAGTCAGCCAAAGCCCACGATTTACGTTCTCACACTGTACGACCAGTTTGTCGGTCGCCTTTAAAAAACTCCCACAGACGGAGGTTAAAGCCAGATCTATGTCTATGTCAGTAGTCTCAATAAGAAGCACCAGCAAAAACACCCCCACACTCTCTCTGTCGCTCACACTCAGCATCACTAAAAAACAACAAGCTAACCAGCAGCTCCATCATGACAAACAAACAGACACATCAAACAGGCCTGCCTGCTGTTGCCATGGTGCTCTCAGAAGCTATCTGCCAGGCACAATCAGGAACAAAAAGTCCTGAAGTCGGGGAATCAGCTCATAGCTCTGCTCTCCCTGTGTCAGTGTGAGCAGTCGTGCAACCAAAATTAAAAAAAATGCCAGAAATTCATCTGACCAGCCAGGAGCAGCTGATCAGGCCATGATCTGCCGTTAGTACACTGCACTACTAATAATTCACTTTTGGGCTGAAATTCAGCCGGTTGGGTTGAAATTCGGCCGGACTTCAAAATCCCCCAAAAAATGGTTTAACTAGGACTGAAATCGTCACCCCTTGATTTAGAGATGTGTGATCTGTTGTTATTAAATAATGACTCCACTGTCCTATTCAGTTCTTTAAGATTGGTTCTGGGTCCAAACGGCAGTCAATGGATAACCAATTAGTTCAATCTTCTTCTGTAACTTCTACTTGATACTGTCCTCCGTTTGTTTCAGGGTGAGCCTGGGTTTCAGGGGATACCGGGCCCCAAAGGTCCTCCAGGACAAGGTCTACAGGGGGACAAGGTAACAACATGTCAGCAGTGACACTGAGCAATACCAAAAACTGCATCAAATTAAAACGATCAGTGGATCACGTCAGTGGAACTGCGTTATTCAGGCATCTTCAGGTGACCTTTTCTTTCCTCCTTCAGGGTGAACGAGGGTTCAGAGGTGACAAAGGCATAAAGGGAGACAGAGGAGAACCTGGAGAGGCAGGAGCCGTCGGGCCTTTGGTACAGGAGTCTGATTTAAGTATGATTCAAGTGTCTCAAAGCAATATCATAACATCCAGTATATGATGATTTCTTTTAAATCACAGGGTAGAGTGGGACACAAGGGAGAGCCTGGACTTACAGTAAGTAAAGAGCATCAGTCAATACACTGAACATCATTATTCAGGATGTGTAGTTGAGCAGATCTGAGCCGAACCAGAGGTGGGACAAAATTACTATACAGGATCCTTAATCGTGCCATTCAGTGGTGCCAGTAATCTTTCAATAAAAAGAAGTGCTCTAAAAATATTTCCCTGCCAATTTGGCTCAAAATGTCACTACTTCATGACTCCTCACGGTGACATTTATAAGGGTCATGTGATCAGAAGATAATTAGCCAAAGAAGAAGTTTACAGCTCCAGCTTCCCAGAGTCACTGATTTTTCACACTTAAATGTAGCAGAAATCAAGTATATCCTCTGAAAATAACTCTGTGAGCCATGACTGTCTACAATGAGTGTGACAACCGAGTCATACTGTCTGTGATGCGGCCGTAGCTACACTTTGTTTACATCGCCCGGACGGCCGGCTGGATCATCCCCTCGCATATAATAGTTGTTTAATTGAGGGACTACAGAAAAGAAGAATAACATACTGTACTCACTGCTTATTTGAATGTCACCTAAGCGATTTTAGATCACGGTCATTCCGTGTAAATTTACTTGCAGTGTGAAGATACGAGCATAACAAAGATCGCTAGCATTAGCATGCTAACACAACAATGCAGTTGTTTTTGGTTTCATACTGGTGCTCAAGGGCGACATCTGCTGGATCAAAAAATCAAATATTCTTCCTTTAATGGACTTTGGCACAGATGAATTTTCATAGCGGTTAAGCCCTTTTTCTCCTAGGTAAAAGTTGATGTAAGCTGCAGGTAGTGACAACGGCAATAGGCTACTACCTCTTTTACCGCATAAATACCTAAAATAATCTATCTTCCCATTCTTTGGCAAGAACTTTTAGAACGTGTTCCCTTTCTTTTCTTAGAGAACTGCGACTCAGAATCAAACCTGTTTTGCATTTTTCTTCTTTCATAGAGGGAAGAAATCATCAAAATAGTGAGATCGATCTGCAGTGAGTATCAGGAACTCAGAACTCACATTTTAAATTTCCGTTTATCCTTCATGACATTAACTTCTCTCTCTAGGTTGTGGAGTGACTTGCCGTCAAACCCCCTTGGAGCTGGTGTTTGTGATTGACAGCTCCGAGAGCGTCGGCCCAGACAACTTCAACGTGATCAAAGACTTTGTAAACGCTCTGATCGACCGCGCCTCGGTCAGCCGGGACACCACGCGGGTGGGCGTGGTCCTCTACAGCCACAACAACATGGTGGTGGTCAGCCTCAGACAGGAAGCCACTCGTGATGAGATCAAGTCCAAGGTGCGTTCAATGACCTACATGGGCGAGGGGACGTACACAGGGAGAGCCATCCAAACGGCCAACCAGGTGTTCAAGGAGGCCCGGGCAGGTGTGAAAAAGGTAGCAATCATCATCACAGACGGCCAGGCGGACAAAAGAGACGTGGTCAGCCTGGAGAGCGCCGTGTCAGAGGCTCAGAGGAGTAACGTGGAGATGTTTGTGATCGGGGTGGTGAACGAAAGCGAGCCTCTGTATGAAGACTTCAGGAAGGAGCTCGATCTGATGGCGTCTGACCCCGACAGCGACCATGTGTACCTGATAGATGAATTCAAAGCACTCCCAGGTGAGCCTGATGGAATCATTACATCATATTTACAGGGATAGTTACAAAAAAAAAACTTTTCCTACTCACAAAACGTTCATAAAATGGTCAATTTAAGGAGCAAACCTTGTACTCTTTACTTTTTTGGTAATTTAAAGCTGTACTTACTGAAAGTTAGGGTGAGACAGGATTTCCAGCACGCCGACCGCCATCAATTGGACTCCAAAGCCCCCTGCAGGAACAGACGGGTGACGTCACTCCTTCAGCCGTTAATATTAACAGTCATTCGTTTAACGATTTTTTTCAACACTGGTAATGCAACCTATACTACTAATAAGATTTAGCTAACGTGAAATATAATGGGAGACAAGAAAAGCTGATTTTAGATCTTCACTGGAAAATAACTGAATATGGACTCGGACTTAGACTTGAGCTTGTATCGTTCTTTTCTAGTCTTCTTACTACTCAAAGCACTTATTACACCGCAGGTCACACCAACACATTCACACACTGATGGTAGAGGCTGCTGTGTAAAGTGACCATCAGAAGTAACTAACCCAATTCATACACATTCATACACCGCAGATTAAGTGTTTTGCCCAAGGATATATTGGACATGTAGCTGCAGGAGCTACCAACTGAGCCACAGCCACTCCAATGAACCCAAAATTTTGCCAATCTGGCCGCAAATGTTCACAGTACTCCCCCACTTCTATGTACACATCTTCATTCTAACACTTAGTGGCTACAGAAAGCAGAGGTCAGGATAAATGTCTGAATGGCTTAATTTTGTATTTTCGGGAAAAAATAAAGATTTGGTAAATAAATCTACTAAGTCATCTATTACCTCTTGACCAACTCTGTAAAATGTACAGAGTATAACTATATGTCTGGCCTTCTGGTTGTGTAGCTCTGGAGAAGAAACTGTTGAGTCGTATCTGTGAGGACGGAGAGAGACAGTTGTTCAGTTCCGTCCCGAGCTCCGGACTGGCTCCAGGAATCCCTGAGGTCTCGAGTAATGTTCGAGAACCCCCATACAGGACGGACACACCCACCTTCACCGGAGACTTCAGGAGACTTCAAACAGGGGTGAGGAGAACAAATCTGTCATTTTCTATGTGTTTTGTGTTCACTTACCTAGATTTAAAAAAGGTACAGCAGTTTAGATGGTTCTGTGGTCTGTTACAGCCCGGACCTCCAGCTCCACAACCCAACAGAGAACCCATCGCTCCACAGAGACCGAAGACCGAAGACATATCTTTCTCTGAAACACAGTGGCTTCCATTACCCTTCAAACCTGTTAAAGAGTTCGGACAGGAGTTCAACATGAAGCACCCCAACCAACGTACGGTCATGACAGAAGCCATGAGACCTGCGGGTCCAACTCTTAAGGTCCCACCTGCGAAGAAGACACCGCCACCATCAGCCCCGACTCCTCCACAGCAGCCTCCTGACCCCCAAAGATCAGGTAACTGCTGAGAGTCCGTAAATATATCAGGAATACTTGATTGCAATGTAAAGTCTTGATAAAGAAGTATGATTGATGAAGTAGTCAAATTTATTTTGGTTTATAACAAAATACCATCAAATTTATTTAAGTCTTAACAGCCTCTGCTGTATATTTATTCTTTGTTAATTAGCATGCTAACATTTGACAAAAGATGGAGAAAAACTGTGTAAAATAAAAACCCATAACTGCTCAATATCAGCATATTATCAGTGTGAGTTAGCATGCTGTATTAGCTTAAAGTTATTTGTAGTTCAACTCAGCTGCTAGCATGACTGTTAAGATCATGAATAAAGTTATAGTGAAACAGATTCAGCAAAACTGTTGTAAAAGTGGATGAAAGTGTATCTGAAGTTAGAAAAGTTAGCATCAACAAGCAAAATTGATTATTTGTGATGTTGCTTGCGAGCTAACTATGCTAAGTCATGCTATAAGTAGGGAAGTCCCCAGACGACCCCATTGTGGTTACGCATTCCTCCGATTAGTATTCAAGTTAAACCTGACACAGCCTATGTATATTTTAATCTTAATTTTGTCGATCAAACACTGTCCTTGTTTACATCCGGGTAGTAGAGCGTGGAGGTGGAGAACAGGCCCATTAACCGGCGCTACAGCCAATCTATGGCTAACGCCCCCGGCTGCGTTGCAATACGAGCAGAAGATTTAACAAGCATCGAGGACCAAGATAATCATTTGTTTAAGCAACAAGTATTTCCGTTAAGTCGACTTAACACACACACGCCAAGCTGAGAGCAGTTGAAATTTACTAGCTCATGGATGGTGATCCTACTTGAAAGAATATGATGTGTTGTTATCTATAAATGGCATCTTTCATATCATTTTTACATTGACACTTGTTCTTCCTTTTTCTCAAGCAGAGAGCTGCAGCCACGTCCTGGATCCGGGTCCTTGTCGGGACTACGTGGTGAAGTGGTACTACGACGCCACGGCTAACTCCTGCGCTCAGTTCTGGTTCGGAGGCTGCAAAGGTAACAGCAACCAGTTTGAGACGGAGAAGAGCTGCAGGGACACCTGCGTCAAAGCCTGAGATACACACAAACAACCAGATACATAGATAATAACAAAACACTTCAAGCTCACTCAAGCTGCGACTTGACTTTGAGGTCGACTTCAACTTCAACTTGTAGTATTAAAGGTTTAAAAATTCTCAGTAGCTAAGCAACATTCAACATGTTTTCTGCCTCCTGGCCTGAAGGATTTCTGTATTGATTGTGTCAAAGCAGCAGTGATCAACATCTGTGGTCTAACGTACACACTGTAATAAAATGTCTCCATAACCACTAACCTTTATTCAGAAAAAATAACCTTCTGTATTGTGCAAGATGCAATGATGTATTTTTTTACATTATGTCCAAAGTTTTTAATGTTTTTTAAAACTGTGAAATGTCATTTAATAAAAATGCCAAATAAATACGACCTCTTTCTTGGTGCATTAGTGGAGGTTAAATGGCTGTGTTGTGAATCAATTTGGAACAAAATGAGCAACATTTGAAGGCAGGGTTGGTCATTTTTAGAAACTAGCATGATTTTCAAAGTAGCATTCCCACAGTGCTCCATCTGCACCCACCGCCTCCATCTGTGCTCCCTCAAAAGCCACGCCCCTCACTTGCATGCACGAGCACCGTTGGTCCAGAAGCTGACCTCAGCTTATGCTTTAAGTGCAGGCTAGTGAACACAAGGAGTAGAGAGCGAGTAGGCAGGAAGGCGTGTGATTGGTTCATCAGATTGGTAAATCGTGGCAGACATTGGTCTCAGTTTTTACAGGCTTACAAACTGCTACAGGTGACAGATTTTCTTCATTCCTTTTTCAGAGCACATGAGTTTTTAATTTCTGTCAGGACCTAAAGACAATTTCAACCAAAATCTTCAATGTTTCTGGAGGAAATTAACAACCCTGCCTTTAAATGTAGGTTATGCATGATTTAGAGAAAAGAACATGCTTTCACACTGAAATTACATCTGGTTGTATTTGCGCCTTTAAAAAACGTAATGGGCTTAAAGGCAGAGTCGGCAGCATTTTTCCTACAAAAATAAAACCCATGTATACAAAAGTAAAGCTGCTCAATCATCACTTACGGGTGAAAAAAACCCATGAAGAAGCAAATCTTTGTGTTTAGAAGTAAAAATGATTCAACTCTAAACAGGAAGATGACTCTGAGATACTTTCTTTGTCCTAAACTTTCAAGTTGGACATGATTGTGTGCAATTATGGAGGAGAAGCCGCTCTCGGAACAATACATCTTCAGGTTATGGAGTACCTATTGAGCGCCAGTAAGGCTTCTTCATGTCGACTTCAGGGTGACGACTTGAGAAACATACACATGTCTGTTGTACTGGGAGAGCAAAGCAGGTGATATTGGGCACCAGTGCTGACGACTATGATGATTCCAGATCTAACTGTTACCTCCCACCTACGCAAATGAATCAAATAGGAGCAAGGCGAATCAAAACATGAGGAAAGCGTTACGAAAATAGACATTTAATCTTTGGCTTGATTGTACATTCAGTGTAGTATCCTCCAGTCCAACAGAAATGTTCAGATTTTTGAGTTTCACAGAGAGGTATCATTTGTAGAAGATGAGAAAAGACGACATAATAATGTATCCAGGGTCCTTGGATGGATTGGGATCCGTCCCGTTGAACAGGCCAAAGTAGAGGACGGTGTTTGATTCAGACCCGCTGATGTCCAGCTGAAGGAAGGTAGGAAATGTCAAATTTAGAAAGATAAAGAAGCAGCGTTTTTATTCTTTAGATACTTCACAAGGGACAAACGATGAACCACGATCAGGAAATACCAACTATTTTGGATCGGATCTTTGTAATTTAGCAATAAGTAAGGTCTTTTACCTGCTTTTTGTAAAGTGTCTCAAGATAACACTTACGAGTTGACGCTATACACAACAAATTAATTGATTTAGCGGATGTGGGGATAAGCCGTTTTCTGCAGGCGCTCCTGATCATTTTACAACAGCATGGCCTGCCTCTATTATCTTTTTAAAGGTTTATTGACATGCCCCAAACAGGAGGGGGTGTTTCAATAGGCAGGAGGGCATTATATTAAAAAGATGGCACAGATGTAATGTTTACTAGATATCCAAAATGGCCCATGCGCTGAGGCTGCAGTACTTTTGCAGCAGTTGTGGGTTAAAATCTGACCTCCGCTCTTTGCTGAATCTCATCCCCTCGCTCTCTCCTTCCAACATTTCCGGTCTCTCTAAAGTTGTTCATCTTATAAACGCAAAAAGCCCTAAAAAATATGAAAAACAAAACAACTTGACCGTCTCAGCAAAGTAGACTAATCGACCACAGCCCTGTTCTCCTGAAGTTAAGCAGATAAATTACAGAAGTCATCAGATACACTGCTGCACACGCTGATTATGTGATACACCTTCAGGAGTTTACACAATCGCATCGAGAGCCTTCGAGCTCTACAAATCACTTCAGGACAATTAAGCACTTAAATCTAATTGGGCTTCCTTCACTCGAATGTTTTACTGCAGTGTGACCTTCAGAGGAAGATCTCTAAATCTGAAGGAGAACTAGAAGCTGATGGGGTGTTTCACATATCCTCAGTAACCATGAAAATGTGTGTGCAGAGAATAAAAGAGAGTTGAACACATTAGCAAACATCTTTTACAAAATGAGCATGTTGAGTGTGTTAGCATTAACTAAAAGTCCCTTTTCCTTCACCATGATGAAAAGAAGACAAACCTTCACACATTTTTAGCTCTGTTTTAGTTTCCTCCAACTCTTCAAAATATATTCGCCCTTTTAGCTTAATGCTACATTTTGTTTGTCTGATGTTCGATGCAGCATGGTGAGTGAGATGTGGCTGGAATTCAACCAATGAGGTCAAGGAATTCAAAACAAAGAGGTAAAAGAAGCTAATTGCTCCCATGGACACGAGGGAGCTGACATCTTTATCTGAATGCCAGCTTCTTTTTGAATTTTTCCCAATGAGGAGAGAGCTTTTGCAGCAGCACTTGGTGGCCCGGAGAGAAGGCGCAGCGTCCAGCTTACTTTTTACAACCGCTGTCTTTTTTTGTGCAGTCGATAAGAACACTTCAAGTTGAATATCGTCCTTCCAGAAGGGTACTGTTGGCATCACCAGGACTCTTTTAAACCAGCCAATCATATATTAGATGGGCCTAAGAAAGCGTGATGATATTCCCCGTCTTTTTGTCTCCTACCAATCGTGTCGTTTACCCACATCCTCCCTCGCTTAGTCCGATTGGAGCCGTTATAGCGGGAATCAGTCGAATGGAGATTTCAAACATTCATGTCATCCAGGATTTCACAAGCAGTGCATCTCTACTCTGAACAGGTATTGGAAATAAACCAAGAAGGGATCAGGAGTCTTTACCTGTGTGGTGATATCGAGCCTCCAGGGATCAACCTGCAGTCCGTCACACCAGCCTCCCCGTCCGTACAGCCATGTGCCGTGTTCGTTTGGCACCGCCCCCTCTTTGACCCGCATGGCACAGCCCAGAGGTGATCCTGAGGGTTCAACACAACAACCCCAAAACAAATGAAAATAATAAGTGAAACGAATGACCCTTTCCTTTACTGGACACTGAGCCAGGGATTAAAGCGAGCGATAATTAACTGATGAGAATGAAACAACGGAGACTTTTGGGAAAGGTAAAGCCCTCTCTTCCTCCAGATACATTTGAGAGAGTCCTCCACATGTTTGTTTAGACTTTTGTAGTTCTCCGTGTGTTGGTGTGGCTCAGTCGTCTCTTGGTTGCTTGCAGCTGATCCAAACCGCAGCAGCATGTCTTCTGACCGGGAAGAGAGACGATGTGACCGCATCACTCCTGTACTGGTGTCTCTCCACTGGATTCCTGTCAGCTTCAGGGTCCAGTTTAAGATTCTATTGTTTTGTTTATTTACTTTACATTAGTTGGCACTGTCTTATTTATATGAGCTGTTTCATCAACGTGCTGCAGTCAGAGCACTGCGGTCAACACACCAGATGCTCTTGGATGCACTAAGAGGCGGCCAGTGGTGATTCTAGAGTCTGTTGGGGCTCAAGGCAAAAATGTATCGGGTGGCCCTCCGACATTATAGCCCCGTTTCCACCAGCAGTCCGGTTCAGTATGATACCCATTTATTGGTGTTTCCACCATCAAAAGTTGGGAGTGGTACCAAAATAAGGGATCCGTACCATCCTACTTTTTGGTACCCTTCTGTTGGGGTGCCAAGGGTACGGATCTGACCCTAAATGGTCCCTTGTTTACTGTGTCCCTCTCCTTGAACATTTTAATTAATTAATTGCGGGCTACACTGTGTTGGGCTGCTATGATGTCACACTATTACATAGCTGACGCTGCTATCTTCATCTGGCTTACATTCCGCTCATAGAATAAGGGTACAGTTGGCTGTGGAAACGCAAGCAAGTTCAGGGTTTACCGTACTGAACTGTACCAAACTCTACTGGACCGCTTTGTGGAAACGGGGCTCATTTCTGCCAGGGTCCTGACGCATACTCCTCCCATTGTTGACTTTCATTGACAAACTTTGGTTTTGGCAGCAATAATGCATGCAACACTTGCAGCATGGCAAGGAGAGCGAGTGCTGTCAGATGGGGTCTCCGTTAGGGAGGTTTTCCTACTGTCACTGCAAAATGTGCACATTTTGAGCCCCTGCTGTGGTTTGGAGTTGGTCAGCCATCAGGGGCCCCCTACTGGTCTGGGGCCCCAAGCAGTTGCCTGCCCAGCCTGTTGACAAGCATCACCTCTGAATGCAGCCGAATAACTTGATGTGACAGAGCCTTTGTGGAACAGTCTACCTGTTCCTCAATCCACTTAATCGTATTTATTGTTGATATTCAGAACATCATGTGTTTGAATATGATTTAAAAGAAACAACTTTAAAATTGGAATTTAGATTTGAGAGTAAAAGTTCATCAGACAGAGCCGACGTTTCTCACCTGCAGAATCGAATAAGAGCGTGTTGTTATAGTAAGCGTTGAACAGGAAGTGATGGGAGGTGACACAAAACTCTCCGCAACTGTTGTCGTCGCTGCCGTGTGCCGTGATGATGGCGTACAGCTCCACCTGCAGACAGACGCTCGACAGGTGAGACGAGGCAGAAATGAAGCTCTTCAAATGCAACAGAGAGCAGATGTTGTTGTTACCTTTTTTGTTGATGTGGGGACGGAGAATTTGATTGGCTTGAATCTCTTGTTGTAGTTTTTGTTGAAGGTTCCCCCGCTGTACAGAGGCATCACTCTGAACGGGCGCAGGTTCTCCTCGTCACCATCGTCTGTAAAGTTTCCTGAAGCTTTGGAGCAAAAAGGAAACGTGAATAACTGAAAAACTATGACAAAATTTATATTCACCTCTTCTTCAACCAGTTTAAATAAGTCTCAGAGCTCCTCAAAACATGTGTGAAGTTTCTTGTTCGAAATCCACTCTGATCATGTATTTGAGCATGCCTATAAACCCCTCTATTTCAGCCCTGCTCAGACCAGACTGTTTCTGTGTCTGTACCTTTAAATATGTAAATGAGCTGTGTCTGACCACGCCCCCTCTCTGGAAGGGCTTGGGTGTCTTGGTCTTTCTCGCTCCATGCCCTATTGTTTATGGTCAGAAAGCAGACTCAGGGCAGAACAAACACCTAGCTGTGAGAGTGTCACCCACCTGGGGGAGGGGTTACTGCCCTTTGTGATGTCATGAAGGGAAAATCTCCAAACGGCCTGTTAGAGCACACATTTTCTGAAAAGTGGAGCAGGCAAAAGACGGTTAGGATGGACTTTTCTCATCATTGGGGGTTTGAAGACAGACTAGATACACATTAGTGTTATAGAAACATGAAGAGGATTTTATGAATATTATATGCAATTAAGTACGTAAATTTAAAATACGTTTAAGTAGAAGAGTGAATGTACTTTATCCTGGTTTGTTTTGAACACTGCACAGCCAATTTTGAAGCTTGTATAAATGTGTCTGTCAACTCATGTACAATTTATGTTTGGTTTTTACTTGTCGTGGTTTTATGTACATTTGTATACATGTTAACCACCAACCTGCCAATGGACTGCAGATGGAAATGAGGCCATGGCTCCAATCTGGCATGTGCTCATCTGATGCCTGACAGGCTCATCATCCTCTGTGTCAAACTCTGAGTCAAAAAATATTTCCAGGAGCTAGAAGCTCCGTCTTTCCTGGGAGTCTCATTTTAATCCAAACATCTTTCGGTAACTATTTACTGACAGTGTGTTCCTTCCTGCGGGGGGGATTCCTGCTCTCTGCTGTTTAAAAAACCTCCAGTGAGAGAGAACTGACAAAAAGGTCCTGCGGGGAAACCATGTTTGACACATCTCTCACTCTGACAGAGAACAAGAGCTCAGTTCTCAGCATCATTTACTTTTCTGAGATGGGAGGTTGGCTTGTAGCTGAAAACATGCCTCCTTGTTTCCTTGCAATGCAAATACACAGAGTAGTGGTGTTAGAAAGTGATTCTGTACTTGGAGCATTATTTGATACAAGATTATTGTCCACATTGATACGCTTCAGCTGACATCAAATAAAAAAAGGAGAACCAAAATTTTCTCCCCATACACGGCTGTACAAACAACTATCACAAGCAGAATTTTTACTGAAGCCGGACAATTTCTTTGCAGTTTAATCGATGGTAAAAAGTTAAGTATTAAGGAGATTACATTAAAGGGGACATATGAAAAATCCACTTGTACAGTGTTTTTAACCTGAGTGTCTACTGACCTACAAAATGTGAAATAAACCCATCCAGTCCTTTGTTTGTGGTCTGCGCAAGTCTTACAACACAAAAGAATTCTCAGTTTCTAATTTGGTCCCTTGTGATGTTAGTGGGTTTCTGGTAAAAAAAAAATCCCCTCCCCTGGTATCTCCACCCCAGCCTAGAGCAAAACTTTTGCGCATGTCTGCCATTTTTATTCTCGATAACGAAGGAGTGATGTCTACTGGGGAAACTCAGGGGGGGGCTCATTGCATTTAAAGAGACACACACCAAAACGGAGCGTTCTGAGAGAGCTGGTTTATACAGGGTCACAAACCTCCTCTGGTGCTTGATTCATGTTATATTTTGACCACAGCACAGATGTTTCATTTAAACCACAGGGGGCTGTTTGAAAAGGTGGAAAAAGGGGGATAATATGTCCTCTTTAAAACCTTTAAAAGTCAGTAGTGAAGTAATGATGTATATAAAATACATTTATATTGTTTGTGTAATTCAAATGGAAAATACCTTCAGGGTTATCACAGTTTATACCTGTCTGATTGCTGACGCTGAATCTCAGGTTGAGAGAGACGAACCACGGCATGGCCCAGGGCACCGTCTTCATTGTGAGGGTGCACTGGTGGCTGTCCAGCAGGGGGCGCAGAGGAGACACGTCAGTCAGCCAACGACCAGTTCCTCTGCCAAATTAACACAATTAAAATGACACGATCAGGTCATCAGATTATATTTACGTGCATGTGTCCTCCTCCAGAATGTTTAAGCACCCTCAGAGAGAGTATATGGATGTTTTCACATCCTAAAAAGCTGTGACTCATTCATAAAAAAGCAGTTTTCACATCAGCATGTTGTACCTGCGGAAGGCGGTGATCCATCGGCCCAGCTCTGTGTTGCAGTACGGACCAGTGTGATCGCAGCACACAAACAGCTGCACTGTGTGATCCCAGTGAGCGCAGGTCGAGTCCCTCCTGCCGGGACACGACAGGGACGCGTCCAGCTCCAGCAGATCGTAGTCCAACAATCCTGAAGAGACACATGTTGGTATTAAAAAGCTGCTCACACAGATGCTCTAATGCATGATTTCTGTCTCTCTCTGCAGGCTCCTGATGTTTTCACTGAAGTGTTAATTGTTTTTATTTGGTCTCTAATGGATGTTTTATATCAAAGAGTCCAATAAAAAAATATTACATAATCAAGGTAGGGAAAGTTTTAGCATCAGAAGACAGTTTAAATCAACTCTTCCTCTTAATCCAAAAGACATTGCTCGTCGACATTTTTTTGCCTAGGAACAAAAAAAAAAATAAAAAAAAGTGTTCATGAAGTTACCTAACGGCAGGTTGACTGTGGCCACTGCTCCTTTCTCCCCCTGCATCAGCACTTTGTCAAATACAGGAATGACCTTTGCAGGTTTCTGGAGCTTCATCTGCAGCTCTGCATAGAAATCAAACCTGGATACAAAATATTGTTTAAGACGGACGCCTCTTTGTTCCTCTTTTAATTTATATTCCACTTTTATTGTTTTTTGAAAGTTGAAATAAAATACAGTGTTGTATCCTGTACAGATTGTGATATTGGTGTTCTTACCACTGAGCCTGCCAGTTGATAAAACTAAAAGAGGGGTAGAGGAACCAGCCCATCTCAGCCAGCGCCCCCTGCTGGTCAATGCATAGGAAGAAGCTCGGTGACGGTGTGATCTGGAAGGTCACATACACCAGCTGTCCAGACCTGCAAAACAACACAAATTCAAAAGTTTCATTGTGACGAAAAACTACCAACACAAGAAAAGTAACCAGGTTTCATGTCGGACAAATTTAAGACAATTTACAGTTAACCCTGAATTAAAACCAGATTGTCTGGTTGGTACAGACCTTTGCATCGCCCCCTTCCATTAAAAATGACTGAAAGTGACAGTCATAATCCAAGAGGAAGCATCGAGCGACTGATTTTAACCTTCAAATTGTTCCCTTATCAAAGTGAAACGATGTCACCGCTCAAACAGAAGAAGTGTTTAATCCTTACTGAAGCGCCTGAGCCACTGACGGCTCCAGGTGCACCATGGAAGCGGGGATTTTCAGTGTCGTGTTGCAATCGTCCCCCTCGCAGTTCATATCCTGGAGCGGGTTACCAGGGAGAGCATAGACGAGGACACCGGAGGCGTTGGATTTGGCCATGTTCTCCAACTGAAAGGAAACGAGGATCAGATGATGAGTCTAATCAGATAAAAGACGATAAAAGTCAAGAGTGTTTGGACATGAAACAGGTGGAGGGGATCATTTATTATCATGTCTAATCACTCTGCTGGTTCTACTCTCCCAGAGAAGATTTTTACTTTGAGAAACTGACTCAAAAGTGAACGTTTTTAACTTTATGTTAAGACCAGATTTCACCAGAGAGTCTGCATCTGTCACACTCGGCGATATCCATGATGCATGATACATAAAATATATATAATGTCTGAATCATTCTATATTTATTTGGGCAGAAGAAAGGAGAATAAAATAAGACAGAAGAGAAACCCATAAGGACTTTTACAAGGAACACACCAAACATTGAAATGAAAATATCTACAAAGGTTTGTCATAAAAACAAACAAATTTCAATATTCATATATCGTCCAAAAACAATTTAGAATAGACTGTAACATACTGCTTTCAAAAACTGCTGCATGCTTTGAAATCTCATGTTTAAGGTCTAAATTCAGTTAAAACCCCAGAAGAGAAGAGTGAAAGTGAAGTGAGGCAGAGAAACGGTTAAGCGAGCAGTTCACAGTTACCAAAGCCGATAATGCTCACAGGAGTCGACAAAAACACGCAGGTCTTTGCAAAGACAAAAACCTGCATGTCAGTCACCGCCGCCCTGTCGCCAGCCACCAAAACATCTATGACGCCCCTCTTAGACAATCAGAGATGTATAGGTTAAGTCTGTCTCTCGTGCAGTCGTCTCTTTTCTTCTTCTGTTGAGGATGCTTCAAACTGAATCTTTTCTCACGATGAACCGTCTTGTTTAAAGGAGTTTCCCCCTCTGCCGTTCGTTTCTTTAAAGCAATGATCAGTCTGCTCTGAAGCAAACTTTTATCTTGAAGTTACAGTGTGAACAAGACGCAGCTCGATTCTGTATCGTCGACAGAGACGGACCTTAGTGAAGAAGGAGCAGTTTCCCTCAGACACCCAGGCCACAGCGCCCGCCACCGCAGGAGCAGGTTCACATCCGTCATCTGCATCCACCAGCTGATGCGACTTGGGACCCCATTTTGTCATGAGCCAATCGTACCTGCCGTCAAGTCTCTTGATAATAATCGGCAAGTTCCACCCTGTGAGTGGAAAAAATATATATATATATAAAATAGAAAAAGGGAAACAAGAGATTGTGTGTTCTAGTCTTTCTGATCTCGTGTGTTATCTTTAGTCAGAGGGCTAAGTATTGTGTCTTGCTGTAACTGTAGAGCTAACACAGTATGCGCTCTATGAACTCCATATGTAAATACAATAGCTCATTTGACTCGCCCCATTGGCAGATTTCTTTTCCTTTATTTAAGGTAAAATAGGACTTGATCTTATGTGATATTTTACATTTTCCTCCTAAAGACGAGCGGTGTAAATCTTTAAAAAAAATGCACTCTCCCTGCTTTCTGAAACATGATGAAAGGACTATTCAGCAATGTGATTGTAGGGTTGGCCTTTTAATCAAGTTTAAATTTCAGTAGAGTATTTATTTCGTTTAACTCAAGACGTCTAATCCTTGCGGGTCAGCGCCGTGCTGCAGCCATGCAGCCTGAGTCTGCATCAGTCCAGTCTGTCTGTTTGGCTTTCACACACAGTGGTCCGCTTTCTGTTGGACAGGTAGGTGCCAAACACCAGCGGTTAACTTGTACTACTGTGTGGTAGCTTGAAGTGTAGGTGCAAGCAGTGAACATATTCTTGGGGCGATTGGGGGTGGGATTTAATTTGAACGTTAACACCAAAAGGACTCCCCAGTATGACCTCTGACCTGTAAACACTTGTTAGCAGGGTTTAAGTTCAGATGATTTACGGGCTCACGCCAAGAGGATTATTCTGTTTAAGCTCCTGTATGCAAAATGCATCACTTAAAAATATCCAGTCTTACAGAAGGAGTCAGGTTGTCAAGAAATATTCAGAAAAATATACCTTTTCTGAACATAATGGATATTTAAGACTCTTCCTTACATGTCATTTATTCTGATAGACACCCACATGCTGCGTCTCAGCTGATCAGGTGAGGCAGACACAGATTTCGAGGCATTAAATTCACAAAAGAAGCGGCGGTCTTACCCTCCGAGGTGAAAACAGCCTGGGTGAGGACACGGGACGAGCCTCCCCAGTAGTAAAGCACGCTGGGAATCCAGTTTCCCAGAGTGAAGACCGGCAGAGGAGAGAAGTGCAGCCGGGACAGGACCTCCTTCTTACCGCTGGAAGAGAACGTTACATTTGTCAAACATGTGAAATCAAGCATAGAGTTTCTTTTGCCTCGGCCTCTGCAGGACATCAACAAAAAAAGGGCCCTCGAGAGGGATTAAACCTTTGACGCGCTGTCGGAATAATTTACCTCCAGATGAACAGATGTCAGCTCCATGACAAACTGCTACATCACACCCACCTGTCAAATCGGTCTTGGTTTTGAGACAACTCGTCGAAGGTCTCGGTCACGCCTTGGAATCGAAAGCATTTTCACTCTGTCTTGTCTCGGTCTCAGACTGGGTGGACTCCGGCTTTTAAATCACGACCATTCAAGACCACCACTGATCGGCCATTTCCACTTCATTACGGTGTTTAGAAGGACAACGCCTCTTTCTAAAAGAACAAATAACTTAAGTTCATAAATAATTTGATTTTTATCCCCTGGTTACAGCCACATCCTTCCCGGTGTTACAGTCCAAGTGAGTGACACGCCCCCTGAACACAAGATGAAGATTTCTCATTGATATTTAGGTCTTGTTTCCCTGCCTGACTACAACACTACCAGGTTGTAAACAAAAACAGGCTTTTTTGAATGGGTGTGTATGTGACTTCTTGTGTCCCTGGAGCCAGCCCTCTAGTGGACACTTGATGAACTGCAGGATTTTGCACTTCAACATCAACTTAATTCTTTCAAGACCGGAGGTTGCCTCTTGATGGTGACAAAACCAAATGAAAATGTTTGATCTCAGGTATTTATCATGACTTAACTGGAAGACAAAACCACATGTGCACGCAAACAGACACACACGCGCATCAAGGTCTAGAAAAGTCTGCAAAATGTGAAAACTAGAGCGACAAAAAGAAATAAACTATCATTTTTTTTATTATAAATGGGTGGATATTTGGATTGTAAATACTGTTGGATTATTTATTTAATTTTAGGTGGTGAACAATCTGGGGATACTTTTGTATATTAGTTGTAAAGAAATGTGAGAATTGGTTGGAATAATATATAAACTACATAAACTCCCTTTGGGGCAAAACTGTTGTGTTGTTTGTTTTTTCAAATTTAAAGTCTCTCATTCATTCATTAAATCATAATATACAGTTCAAAGAGTCTAAACTGTGTGTGTCTGCAGAATTATGAAGTTTAGACATTTCTAACCTGCTGTTTTAAAGTTAAAATTCAAGAAAATCTGTTCCTCCTTGTGACCAAAACTCCAACTAGTGATTTAACTTCTGATTTGTTTTCAGCTCAGTTTTTTTATTAGTGCAGTGTGGAGATTATGGAGTTGTGCATATTATTATGCATGTCATTACAAGCACTGGGTTTCTATACACCTCAGTGTCTCCTCTGGGTCACCTGTGCAGGGCGACCCGCTGCAGCTGCTCCCTCATCCACAGAGCATCAGTGACCGCAGAGTCGTCCAGGGACAGGAAGAGGACCTGTGTGGTGTCCGGCAGGTCCTGCACCAGGCTGGTCAGGGACGACTCGGAGCTCCACAGGCACTCCAAGAACCCCGACTTGTTAGTGAAGGCGTGGATGATGACAGGTCCCTGCAGGTCACCGGGCTTGAAGGCGAACTCTCCATCCAGAGTTCGGACTGTAAACGCGGCAGCGGGGTCTCCCGGTTCCGGCCCAGGTGAGGAGGTGGAGGTTTTCGAGGACCTTACGCTGATCGGGTTTTCTCGGGAGTCACAGGCCTCTTCCTCTTCAGTTAGTTTCGCTTTCCGTTCGCCTTCAATCACATGAGCTGTCAAAGCAATAAGGCACCAAAACATAGAAAACTTTGTGCACAGCAAAGCCATTTTCCCCCTGACGGTGAGTGACCGTGAACTCACCACGGGTCAGTGGAGTCCGAGCATCTCTCAGAGTTTGTCTGGATTTAAAAAAGGTCAGACGGCTGCTGTTAAACGCTGTTTGGACGGACTCTAATCTTCCTATCAGATATTTGAGTTGTAGGCGGGTCGAGCTGGTGGCTACGGCGGCTCTAGTAGGACAAAACTCTTTAAAAAACCGCAAACCACGACGCAGAATATACACAAACTGAGATTTTGATTGTCTACCATTAGACAGGCGCAGACAATCCTCAGTGACCCCTTCCTCACATATTCTGTTCCCTGACATTGTGAAGTTACCCTCAGGCATAATGTTTAACAGGCTTTAAGTGCAGAAGTTAGCAGTCATCCAACAAGCTACACCTGCCAGGGGCGAAACCAAGGGGTGACCAGGACCACCCTTAAAAATCTGATTGGTCAACCAAGTGGCTTCCACAAAATCCTGCAGTATGATCTGCGGTTTGCCTTGTCAGAGGCGGTACTTCTGTTAAAATCAACTAGTTTGGCTGTGAACCCTGAAGGCGACCTTCAGTGTTGAAAAATTACGCCAGTGCTGAAGTGAGAAATCCTGCAGTTGTGGAGTGTAGGCTACCCCCCTTGAGGCTGTCTGCAGAAGCACAGGAAGTCACATACACAACCATTATATAAAGACAGTTTTACAGCGGACATTAACATGTTTACAGCCTGGTTAAAAAAAATTATATTAAATGAATACAGGCGACGCAATGTAACCGTTTATCAAAAAGCTTAAAACTATCCTCAGCTCCAGCTCTCAAGTCTGTCGTTACGTTGACTGAAAGTCAGGGTGAGACAGGATTTCCAACATGGAGACCGCCATTGATGGGACTCCAAAGCCCCCTGCAGGAACAGAGGAGTGACTTCACTCAGGCTTTGCCTTTGTCCATTAATATTTACAGTTTATGGTTACAACAGGCTGCAGGTAGTCTTAAGAACGGTTCAAAGTTGAGGTGCTATCACTGTGGGCCATCGGGTCAGGATGCAGGAATCCAACAAGACTTGATTTTAAGGTAACAGGTTTATTTCTTCAAATTAGGTGAATCATAAGGGTAACTTAAGACACACATAGGATTGAACATCCATGCTGAAAGACAAAATAATATTAGTACAATAAACAAGTCAAATTACATTCATTCTGAAAGGAAATAACTATAAATAAAGTGCTTAGGACAAATTAAAATGGACTAGATAGTAACTCAAATAGGAGTAAAAGCCACCTTACCATTGCTGAACTGCCACACATGTGAGGATGAAAACATGAGTGCAAGGGAGTGCAGTCTTAAATAAGGAGTAGGCAGGTGAATTCAATCTAATTAATTAGTGACAGAGTGCAAACAACCAATCAAGGGGGAGTGTCAAAAGTCAAAAAGTATTTGAAGCGCCTTTTAAAATGTTGTTTTTGTCACTGATTGTTTGAATTTTATTATGTTAAATGGACTGTATTTGAATTCTTTAATGGATGACCGAAATAAAAAATATATACAGACTTCATAAAATACCTGAGAAGGAGATTGGAGATGCAGATTTGTCTGGTGAATTTATCAGCTGCTAATGATAAATATTTGGTCCAGTGTTATCTCCCCCAAAGGTCCAGCGCATAAGAGGAGAATATGTTTCATAATTGATGTCGAAATGAAGCCTCGTGACTCACAGATTATAATCACCGAAGAGGACCGACATCATCCACTCCATCGGTGCGTAAAAACCCCGCAAAGTGCGCAAAGGGACCATTGAAGCATCAATAGGGAACGACTGTTCTCTGCTCTGCATCAACTCAAATATTACAACAGCGAGCTGTTCACTACCTGCACACAAATAGTTATCATTATATTTAGTCCACGCAGAAAGGTTTCAGCTTTCATATTTTTACGCAGAGGACTTTGGATGAAATTACGCACGGGTTCTTTGGCATTGATGGAGCTCGTTAAACTTGTTCTGATAGCTGCGCTGCTTCTTACAAATGTCTGCAGTCGAGACGTGGATGTTGACAACTGGAGAGAAGGCTTCGAGGAGGTAAGAGACCCCCGAGATTGGAGAAAAGGAGTGAGTGTGCCTGTTTGAAAAGACTTAGAAAATACATTTTGCGTACAGCGTTTGCCTCAACATCTAGCGATGGAGCAGTCATTTCTAAAACACAAAATAATACAAGATGATACGCTGAGGTAGAAGTTTTATATGGAACAAGTCTTCATGGGACAATTATAGTCTGGAGGATAAGGATAACCATTTTCTCTCTCTCTCTCTCTTTGGGCTCTAACAAGAACAAATGGCCAAACTCTGGAGGAGTTCAGGATGTCTTAGGGAGGATGGCCAGAAAACTGGGACCACGCCAACATCTGGGACTCTTGGGGAAGAAAGAATTCGGTATTTGATGTCATTTCACACCACTTACAAACCTGATTTTATTTAAGAAAGCTCCACACGTGTCTTATTTTATTTATTCCCCCCTTAACAGCAAAAACGCAGACAGCACGTAAACGTAAGTATTATTTCGCTTGCTTTCAATATCGTAAAAAATGCGGACTGACACTGAAATATTTCAACTTGTTTTTTTGTGCAAGGGCATAAATTTCAAACCTTCGTTGGTCTGATGGGTAAAAGGGGATTTGAGGATCAAGGTAGGACACTTCTGTTGTGATATGAAATCAACTGAAGGGTAATGCTGCTTGGTAACAGATGATTTCATCCCTGCAGGAACCTTTTGAGCTGCGAACAAGACTGAAGATCCATGTCTTATTTATTCATTTTACTTTGTTTAATTTCATTTTTTTGACGAGTCTGTTTGTGATTCTTTCATAACATGTCAAATGTAAAAATTGAAACTGTCTCCAATGCTTAGATGAGAAACAGCGCCATCTAGCGTTTGAATAAAATGTTGAAAACTGTCATTTGTAAATGCATCTCTGCGGTGACTTGGTCATTTTTCCGTGATGAAACCTTTAGATGCATAAGGTGAGGTCGTTTTCTTGCGGTGTCTATGTAGTTATGAGCTGCTATCATTTCATCTTCCAGGTACTCCTGAAAAAGTTTATGATGTCAACGTAGTTACATGTTAACTTATCTTTTATACTAGAAGAAATCAGTGTTTATAATGCTACTCCGAGCTTCCTAAGGGAGTCAAAAATGACCTGACATGCATTTCCTGCAGAATATCATCATGGGAACACTTGATTCTTTAAACTCAAGCTGTCAGGTTCATATTTACTGTCGACCAGGGGCGTGACCAGATGGGTGGCATGCGCCCCCCTAGAAATCTGATTGGCCACCCCAAAAATCCTTAAAAACAATCCTTGTTTTTACATCAATATCTAATTCATAAGACAGGAGCATAGGAGAACTCCAATTACCAAATAAAAAAGTTTAATGATTTAAAATGGCAAAATTACCCATTTGAGAAAAAAACATAAAAATTTACAAAAGTAGTTGAATTTAAAAAAATGTACTTAGCAAGATTGAAATCAACAAATTAGCTTGTACATATGACTTTCCCTTACTATCAGGAAGATCAGTGAACACGAAGGTCGGGTACATGTCAGTGTTATATTCATTTTTTACCTCAAAGTATTTGATATTTGAAGAGTGTGAGGTCCGATCACTTTCATCTAACGGTAAAGAAAATAGTATGTCAGTCTAAAAAATGTTCTCAGGCGTCTCCATAAGAAAGCGCTCTCACTCCTCGGTATCATCACAGGTTTATTAAGTGACTTTGTACAATACAAATGAAAAATAAAATTAAAAATACAGAGATGGAGTACATAGCCAAGCAGATTGCGGTGTTGACTCTTCATTTTCCACTGATCTGATCCTGCAGTGATTGAAACACTGTTTTTTATTTATTATTATTTGAAGCGTTCGAGGTCACTGTCGGAAATGTGAACGTTTGTTTTTCTTCTTCTCAACAGTGGACGCTGCTCTTAAGTCTCTCAGGAAGTTTCTAAACATACAAAAAAAAACCTTCAGCTGGCTCGGTATATATAAAAATAAACTAAAATGAAATATAACACGTATGACGTTATAAATGGTGGTCGAGGCTAGTGGGGGGAAAGCTAAACACAGAGGAGGAAAGAAGAAAAAAAAAAGAAACTTTAGCCATTTGTTGAAATCTAGAAAAAAGGCCCAAGGTGCTTTTCTTATTGTTTTTCTTGAGTTCAGGTTTTTCTGTTGACACTTTTTTTCATTTTGAGGCTGTGTCAGGTTATAACCAGATACACTCTAAACAAACAGGATTAGTTAATGCCTTGTCCTCCTCTCACTTTAACACACCACAGAAGAAGAAGAGCAGGTTAAACATTATATGCCGTCACTTTCATAATTTGCTGTAAACAAATACAAATCACCAGAACTTGATTGTACAACAGTCACACGACTCATGAGTTAATTCCACTCTCCAGAAAACTGTACACATCCGTCCTTTAAAAGCGACCTTGGGAGAGAAAGAAGAGAGCAGCAAATAGGGGGGGTGGGGGTGGGGGGGGTGGGGGGGGGCAGTATTCAGTTATAACAACAATAATAACAATAATAATAATAACATCAATAATAATAATAATTAAAATAATAATGTGGGTTTGGCCTTTCTAAAAACGGGGTGTTTATGTCTGTCGGCACATTTAACACATTCTGTCGAGAACATGAGTCTCGAGGCAGCGAGGGGGGGGCTCTGTGGTGGCAGTTCTGATCAGGAGACCCCCTCCACCTCCTCGCTTACTCACGCCAGCGCTCCCTCTGGTGGCAGGGAGCAGAAGGGCAGCTGTGCTGGCAAACAGAGCGGAGACCGGGAGAGAGGAGAGGGGGTAGAGGGGAGGAGGAGGGAAAAGAGGAGGGGGGAGTGATGTCAGAGCCACACACTGGCGTCCTGACCGGCAACGTTGGCAAACAGAAAAAACTTGAGTTGGGGTGGTCCTGCCGACTGTCTCTTAAAAGATCTTTCCTTTCTTTTTGTTTTTCTCCAGAGTCCTGCAGAAGACGAGAGAGACAAACAATATTTAATCATCAGTAACTTTTATTTACAGCGCCTTCTTTACTTTTCAGACCTTTGGGTGGAAAATACACGCATGCTCTGAAAGATCTGTTGGTTATGAGGTAATATCACAAAAAAACAGCACGGAGTGATATAACCTCAGGAGAATGTTAAAGTAATGAGGACCAACATGAGACCTCATTGTTCGGCTACAGAGAGGTTAAAACAGCTGTGACGAAGAAAATGAAAACATGTAAAACATAAATCAAGTTTGACCAGAAGACATTTAGAGAAAATCTGAAGTTTTAGTGGGTCTTCTTATGTATAGTTTTGTCCGTCTGTAATGGAGGTTTTACACATTTTGGGGTTTGTGACCCCTAAAACAACAAAATGTGTACCTGGAGAGTAGTGTCAATCAAGACCACACTAACTGAGACCAAGACATACCTGAGACCAGAGTGCTCCAAGACCAAGACATTTAGGGATCGAGACCGAGACAAGACCAAGATTAAGGCAGGGTGAGACATGTTGTATATCTCTGAAAAATCATCATCTTGTGTGCAGGGGGCGTGTCACTCACTTAGACCGTAACACAGGGAAGGTTGCGGCTGTAACAAAGGGGCGATAAAATATAACTACAAATGCGTTATTCTTTGATTAAGAAAGGGGCGTTAAAATTGTTTTCGATTCCGAGACGAGACCAAGACCGATCTTGAGTACTACAACACCACTTGGGACCATTGTCTTCGGCTATATGTGTTCATCTGTTTTTCTCAGGTGAGGAGTTTAATGTGTCACAACTAAAGCTGCAGTCTTGAGCAGTTTTCACATTATGCACTCCTGAAAATGTCTAGATCATTTCAGGAGGACTGCTCTGGAGATTCTCCTGACCTGGCTGTTCACGTATGCACCTCACAGCGGGAGACTATCACTGTCAGACAGGAGGGGGGGGCGGGGGGATTTCCTGAGGTAAGATGTGAGGTAAAAAAAGATGCGGACCAAACAACAGAGTCAGCTCACTCGGTCTCGCTGCGGAAAAAATACTCCAGGTGAAGTCAGAACAAAAAATGTGGATGATTGCGATCACACATGCAGCTCGTCCGGGAAATATCTATAAGTGTGAAAGCTCTATAGACTTGTCTGGCGTCCTGGACAGCAGGGTTACCAGTGTAGTAGAAAACCTGATCCATCCTGAAGCAGGTTCATACAATACAACTAATGAATTACTGTTCTGCACAAACCTCCACTGAAACTAAAGTCAGTCCCACCGTGCATGACATCTGATCCTGGTTTTGTGTAAGTGGACGGCTGCACCATGAGGAGTGTGACAGTGAGTGTGGGTCGTACCTAGAGGCCTCCATTTTCTGCTGCTCCAGGCGCTGATTGGTCTCCCAGTTGGCTCTCTCATCCTCAAACACACGCCTCTTCTCCTCCAGCTCCTTATGCTGGGCCTCCAGGTTCTTCTTCATCTGCTCGTGACGCCGCTGAAGCTGCACGCGGACACAAAGACGGAGCAGGACGTTAAACCACTGCTGCACATACAGACAGCAGAACATGTGAACTATGGAGTTTTTTTTTAAACACATTACATCTTCTTATACTCAAAGCTGAGAGGCTTCCCTTTCTTAAGATGGACACAAAATATGTTTAATGTGTCAAATCTGGTAAATGGACTCGAGTGCTTTTTTTAAGTCTTCTGACTACTCAAAGCGCTTTTACACCGCAGGTCACACCTAAACATGCCCACCCAATCTCACACACTGATGGAAGAGGCTGCTACTTAAAGGCACAGTATGTAGATTCTGCCTCCAGGGGGCTCTCAATCAATACAATTACAAAAGATGCCTTTGAGGCTAGTGGGGAATCATGGGAGTTCTCTTGGGCTAACATGAACAGACATGCCTGTTACAACTATAAAAGTGGTCAATTAATCAATATAGATGTTTTAATGTAAACATGTAGGTGTTGCCCAAGGACACATCGGACATGTGGCTGCAGGAGCTGGGGATCGAACCCCCAACCGTCCGGTTAAGAGACGACCGACTCAACCAACTGAGCCTCAGCCGCCCCTTGTAGATCCCCTGTGCTGAAATGTTTGCCAGGGGGTCGTATTGATGGTGCAGTACATTGTGCTGCTCAGTTTTACAACTATATTCATTTTACACCTGCATTAATATGTATACGGCTTTGGAGGACTACAGCTCAGAACCAGAGCGTCAGTATTTAACAAACCCAGAGTCTGTGTTTATGTGTGCGAGTGTGTGTTTTTTTTACCTCTGCTTCAGAGTCTTTGAGTTTCTGCACTTTTTCCTTGACTTTCATTTCAAACACCTGCTCCATCTCGATCTCCATCTTCTTCATCTTAGTCACGTGCTCTCGCCTCTCCTCCTCCATCTGGGCCAGAGGACTCCTTCACGAGGAGCACGCGAGAGCGCAACACAAGAAGACACACACACACATACACAGATTTAGAACAGAACTATAGCGCACCACCATCAGTACTCTGCTACACACACACTCATCAAGAATTCCATCACTAGGAGATCGACGTCTGCATTTACTGAACTTGATCTGTTGTTTGTAATCAACTCAGCTCTAGGGACAAATTTGTTCTGTACACAGAAATCTAATTTTAGGGATTAAAAGGATGAAGACAAGGATACAAATATGGACCAAAAAAAAACAACCTTTGACATCAATAGCCCTCAATCCAAATCGAGGCACAACATATTCAGGTTCAGGAAGGGAAGCTGTACATGAGAGGTAAAGTTTTTAGGAAAGAAGGAATTCCACAAGGCTGAGACAGGAACAGGAAACCAGGCAGGAAACTCACAGAGACCAAGAACAACCAAAGAGTTGAAAATGCAAAGCACCTGGCTGTGAGTGCAGGTGTGTGTGTGTGTGTGTGTGGGGGGGGGGGAGTAAAGCTCACCGGGATGTTTGTTGCATTAGAGACCTGACATGAGATAAACGGAGCGGTAACACAGATTCAAGTCGTTTGCCTGATTTAAACTTATTTTAGTGCTGTGACAAACTAGTTAAATATCCCGCATCAGCCCCATTAATCTCAAATCGGTCGAGCCCTACAACAAAGTGCTTCATAAAGCGATTATCTGATGATGATTTAGCTGTGACTGATGTCTTTACACAGATAGATGATGATGCATGTGCAGCTCAGGGTCAAATATAAAGATGTTGTTTCTCAGCAATCATTCCAGTCTCACTTTCTTTTTTTTTTTTTTTTTTGAAGTTGCTAGTCTGGCTGTAAACAAAGGAAACGAATTGAAGAGTCCTCTATAGCCTTACCTCTGGATACAACAGAAACTGATGCTCCCAGAGGCTATATATATTATGCTGGGGTCAAGTGATAGCCAATGACGTTTGGAGAAGTTTCATCTGGAAGTGCTCAGAGACGATGCACGTCCTCATGTGACGTGAGAAATATTCTGAAGTTGTAGCTTTGAGTGATTTAGTCGTAATAACATGTTAATAATTACTCCTAACCGCTCCACACACCTCACAAACAGGTCTTTAGTTTATTAGTAGAAGCAGAAGCAGCAGGTGGAACCAGCGTCGAATGCACCGATGAAAAGTATTTTGTTTTCCAGAAAAAAAAGAGAGACCATCACATTCATAGCCGACAGGCTGTATTCAGAAATGTGTTAATTCACACTTTTCTCCTGCTGTTCCTGGAAAAATCTGCTGACAGAGGGAAGTTGGTTGGGGCTTGGAGGGAGAGGGGAGGGGCGAGGGGCTAAGTCAACACTGGAAAGGAAGTCACCCAAATGCAGCCAACGGGGAGAGAGAAAAAAGGAAGACTGGAGGGGAATGAATATCAAACACAAGGGTCTCAAAAAATAAGAAAAAAATGACCACTTACATTCCTTCAACTGTGTCAAGTCTAAAAAACAAAAAAAAACACACATACAACCACACACACACACACACACATTCGCACACACAGAGACACACACACAGCATGCTACAATGAGCTCATGCACAAAACAAACTTTCACTGCAAATGGTCAAAATAAAACAAAAGCCTTGAACAATGAGACGCTCTGCCTTGGGAGCCGAGTGTTGGAGGTGATCTCATGTTTAAAAGTGTGTTAGCGTCAGCAGTGTGAGGCCGCTAGTCAGCTAGTAGTGTTACATGTTTATAGCTGAGTGAGTTAGCAGTTTGTGGTTTGCTTGTGTCCTCACAAACGAGGAAGCAGCGCTGCGCTCTCAATGAGAATGAGCGGCTTGATTTTATGCAGAGTAGTTCATTAATAGGACACAACAAAAGCATGATCACTGAATGATTGTTGAACTTTACCGACAGAGAACGGATGGATGAACGAACTCCCCCAAAGCAATGTTTATTAAGTATGAATCAATGTGATCAAAGAAGAAAAAATAATATGATTAACTAATTGGTAAAACAGTGCTTTGATTCAAATCTTTTTAAAGGTCACATATTCTGTAAAATCCTCTTCCCCATGTTCTTCTAACACTACTGTGTGTCTCTAGTCTGTCTACAAACCCCCCAATGATGAGAAAAGTCCATCCTCTCCGTCTTTTTCCTGCTCCACTTTTCAGAAAATGTGTGCTCAAACAGGTCGTTTGGAGATTTTCCCTTCATGACATCACAAAGGGCAGTAGCCCCTCCCCCAGGTGGGTGACACTCCCACAGCTAGGTGTTTGTTCTGCCCTGAGTCTGCCTTCTCACCGTAAACACTAGGACATGAAGCGAGAAAGCCAGAGTACACCCAAGCCCTTCCAGAGAGGAGGTGTGGTCAACTCAGCTCATTTACATTTAAAGGTACAGACACAGAAACAGCCTGTTCTGAGCAGGGCTGAAATAGAGGGGTTTATAGGCACGATCAAATACAGGATCAGAGTGGATTTAGAACAAGAAACAGGAACAGGAGCTGTTTCGAGGAGCTCTGAGACTTATTTAAACTGGTTGAAGAAGAAGAGAATATGTGACCTTTAACCCTCCTGACAAACGGCTACAACCCTCTGCCAGGTATTTAACTCAGTCACGCCCTAATAATACATATTCATGAATAACCCTGAGGATTAGAAACATCAAATCGGATGTGTAAAGAAAACATCTCTCAACCATTTTAAGTAAAAAGATGATAAGGTATCCTGCCTAGCTCATCAACAGCTGTTGTCTCTTGTTGACCTTTGTCCGTTACTTACTTTGTGGACAGTTGACCTTTGGCTCTGTTGTTGTCCACTCCGTTGTAGGTTACGGCAGCCAGCTTCCTGCTGCGGTAATTTTCATAATGGACATTGTTCGTCACGTCCTTCAGGTCCTGCATGTGAGTCCTGCAGACGAAGAATTCAAAAATATTTAAAGATTTCTTAAGACACAATTCTTCGACTGAACCTTCACCTACAATACGACCTGATGGAGACATGAACTATCAGATAAACAATGAACTAGTGAGAAAGTTAAGCAGCTTCTCTTCTCTTAGCTCCCTGAAATGTTTTTAGAAACGACAGCTAAAAGAGGTTCTTTTTTTATTTTCAGTACCTGATGAGCATATCTCTGAGGATGGTGAAGTCGCAGTGGTCACTGTTTTCAACTAGAAGAGAAAACAAGAAGTCAGTTAACGGCTCTAATTATACAAACAACAAAAAAGTTATTTATACCAGTGCAGGGAAACACAGAGACAGAAGTAATATACACTTCCTGTTGTGTCATGATGCTTAGACGTTTTACAAATAAGCTTTTCATACAAGTTCTTCAGCCTCTCTCTGTTGTCATCAGTTTCTGAAATGTGTTTTAACCAAAGACTTTAAATATTAACGGACGAAGCCTGAGTGATGCCAACTGTCTATTCCTGCAGGGGGCGCTGGAGTCCCATCGATGGTGGTCTCTATGTTGGAAAAGCTGTCTCACCCTAACTTTCAGTCAACCTAACGACAGACTGAGAGCTGGAGCTGAGGCGAGTTTTAAGCCTCCTGACAAACCGTTACATCGCACCAACCTGTCAATCAGGTCAGCTACACGCCTTATTGTGACTAACTCTTATCCTTCATCAAATCAAAACTTGATTTCGAGACATGAGCTAATCAGCCATATTTGTTTTTTTGAAGCAGGCTGTAAACATGTTAATCTCTGCTGTAAAAACAGGCTTTTTTGAATGGGTGTGTATGTGACTTCCTGCAACCAGCCTCTATTGGACACTCAAGGAACTGCAGGATTTTTTCACTACGGCATCGGCTTCATTTTCCAACACGGTGGCTTGCTGTGGGGTTTTACTCCATCACTTCTTTACCTTATTATCAGTATTAATGAATGTTTTATTGTGTTTAATTAAACTAAAGAGTCGTACCTTCTGCAACTCCCCAGGGATACTGTCTCCCTCGGACCCTCTTGCTGTTCACCTCGATGATGGTGTTGCTTCCTACTACAGCCAGCGGCAACTTGTCCTGTGTAAAAACAAAACAAACATTTTTCAATGAAGGTGGTTGACTCAGCTGAGGAAAAACAGGTTTTATTTACATAATAAGACGTTTGAGTTGACAGCATACCTTAATCTTCTTCACCAGCCTGTTCTCCTCTTCGTCATCCGTCTCAGGGAACTCGTAGATCTTTATCTTGTGCTCTTGGATTTCCCTCATGATCTTAAGTGGAGAAGTAAAGATTTAGTTTAACAATCTTGGATCTGGAAAGGTGCCATCTGAGTTCATTCAAACAGACACCATTCAACACAGATAAATCAAATTATCAGATTGACTATTTAGTTGTCAGACTTTCAAAGCTTCTGCTCAACAGGAAACACTAATCAATCTTTCTTTCTGTATAAACTGAATCAGTCTGAATATAAGATGACCCTTGGTATAAGACCAGTGTATGTCAAAGCACAGGTAATGTTCCACCTTGTTATTTTCCATCCACACAGACTGTGTCTCCTTCACACACTAAAACCTGCTGGTACATCCTCGCACATCATCTGCTCTAACTCCAAATCGGGTCTTTTTTACTTGGCTTTCCTTCCCGGTACATATTTTTGTCTTCATACCGATGGCGACCACAGTTAAACAAACACTGAGCACTTTTTCTGCAGAAGTTTGCAGCGCTGGAGGAAAGAACTGACCTGCTTCTTGAAGAGCTGGCATTCTTCCGGAGTGAGGGTGTCTGCTTTTGCGATCAGCGGGATGACGTTGACTTTCTCATGCAACCGTTTCATGAACTCGATGTCCAAAGGCTTCAGCCTGCGCGGAGATAAAGACACAGATTTATTCATAGTCCAACAGCAAACTGTGAGCCATTTCAAATCGCTCAAAATCTCTTCATACCACCAAATTTTTACTGATAGCCACTTTGTATTTATTTTAAGCTTAAATATGCTAATGAGTTATGTTTTGTTTAAAAACTGTGCATATTGGAGCTGTTTGCTTCTTCTTGGACAAGACATGACTACGTTAAGTAAAAACAAATATAGAAGAGTATCTGTGAATGATGTTGTTACGTCTAAGAATATGACCTTGTCGTCATGAGACAGCACAGTGTTTTCTGCTGAATAAATAGTATATGATATCAGAAAATACTTAAGTTGTAGCACAGCATTTTCTGCATGAGATCATTGAACATGTCTTTGGGTCTTCAAAGGAAAAACTGAAATTTCACTGTGAGTCAAAATCCCCCCACTGAAGAAAAACTCAATGCTGTTTTATTGAGAGAATTGAGAGTGGGATGCATGTTTGTCATGTGCCAACAGCCACGCAGGTCAGTTCACAACTCAGTGCCTCACTGACACTCTGAAGGAAAACCTGCAAACAGCAGCTGACTACACAAACTGTTATCTGGCAGAGGAGCTATGGATAAAACTATTTCAGTTTCACTATTTGTGTGATTAAAACTCTGCAGAAGACAACACTCATAAGATGTGAATATTTCAGAGACATCCAAGTGAACTGAACAAACTAAATCATGTCTTAATTACAGTAAAAACAGCCCTGGAGGTCTGCCTGGACCCTTCACAGAGAGGCCATGACAACGTCCTGCTGACGAGTTGTCATTTGGAAAACCAACAACATCGACTTCGGTGAGATTCAGAAACCTCTGGGGCGACACTGATCAAGTCTGTTGTTCAAATCATTTATCCATAAGAAGAAAAAATCAATTCCATTCAAATTAACTTCCAAAAACAGAGAAACAACTTTGCGTTTCTATAAGACTGCAAAATCTAGCCAAATTGAGCTTATATGTAAGACCTCAGGAAATGTGCATACATTCACAACAATGATTAGGAAAGTTGAAGCACAAGAAAAAAATCCTTAAAAAAGGTCTAATCAGTAAGATGTGTAGTGAGTGAAATGATAAAGTGTCCTTACTATATGATCAGACATTAAGGAAACATGCTATGTTGAAGTGCTGGCTTCTCTGACAACAATACAGCAGCCAGTATGTCCTCCTTCTAACTTTAGATTCTGGTCCTGAATGCTCTGGATTTGTTTGGACTAGAGAAGGTAGGTGGTTTTAAGTCACCCCCACACGGCCGTTTTGGACGCCCCTCAGTTTGCCAGATATGAGAGCAGTCATCAGGTCAAACCAACAGGTGTTGCAGCGATGGAAGGAGGGAAAGAGAACTGGTTCAGATAGAAGTGATTGTACCCGACCTAAAAAGTATCTTACAAAGAAAAATCTCAAATCTTCACATTTAAGTAACAGGATTTTTCCACTATTTTTGCTTTAAAATGATTGATGCATTATAACTCAGATAGAAACACATTGTTCAAATGTTTTCCTGTTGACTGACTGATCATACAACTAATTGTTTCACTTTACTGATGTCCATAAAACACTTCTCATAACGTTTGGGGAAGTCCGTGTCAAATGATCGAACCGAGGTTGATGTGCGTGATCTTTTCGTCAATGAGTCACCGACCTCAAACCTTTAAGAAAAAGCAACCAGCCGAGTTCAGCTGGCAGCTCAATGTCCAGATTGTCTCTCAATGTTGGAGGTCATTGTGCTTGTGTGTGAGATCACCCAGCTGCTGTTGTGAGGGGACGCTCTGTCTGTCTACAGTCGAGTGTGTGTGTGTGTGTGTGTGTGCGTGTGTGCGTGTGTGCGTGTGTGTGTGTGAGAACATACGCTGCCCATCCTCAAGGCTGAAGTACAGCTTGTGTGGTACAGAGGACAGGCTTGTACAAACACAACGTCTCACAGAGAGGACAGACGGACTGACAGACAGACCGAGGAAGAGGAGGAGAGGAGGACAGAGGCTCGTTCATTGTTTACAGTCGGTCACGGTCAACAGCTTTAAGGGCATGTGAGCACACGGGAAACGACTGCATCAACACAAACACTCTCCTCCCCTGAAGTGTTAACCAGCACAAGCTCCTTTTGTCTTTTTCTTTTAAGCTTCAGATCCATGATGAAGGACTGTCATAGTATCATTTTAAAACCAATTCAGGGCAGGAAGGAACCTGTGAAGTTTCTCACTTTTGCTACTTTCACACTTTCTGCAGTTTGAAAGAGCAGTGCACGTACACAAACGTTTTATTAAAAGGGGAAAGCACAACTTGGCTGTCAATGCACTACGGAGGATCTGGTGGCTTGGAAATAATACACATTAATATTAAAATTCCCCAAAGTCACTTCTTTTTTTAAACATTCGGCGATCACTGCATCAACAGCTGGGCCGCCTGCCAGCGTCTTCAAGCGTATCGCTGGTGTCCTCCCACCATTTTTCCCCTTCTGCGAGCTTCATGTTTTAACCCCCTGACAAGTGACTCAGTCTCATGAGATCGTTTGGAGTAATAGCCCGGGGGAGATAAAGTAAGACAACACAAATATGTTTACAGCACACACTCGGGAGCTGCAAAGCATTGACCTCTAATTCATGCTGACGAACAAAGAGCTGCCTCTGAGGCAGGAAGGAGTTAGTTGACTTGAAGAAAACGCTGAAGGAAGACGAGCTGTATGAGCCGTCTTAATATTCTTTTTCCAGGCTGCAATGCTACATTGGATTTTTGAGACTTATAGCTATAATGATTATAGCGTTGAATAATCCATTGAAAGCTACTTTGGTGGCAGATTTACTAAATACTCGAGTACTGGCTTTACCTATGAACAAATACGAGTACTCGCTAATTATATATATTAGGGGCTTTATTCAGTTTGGCCTCGTGTCCAGCTAGCGTTTTTTCAATTGTTTTGAGTAGAGAGCGTATGCAGCAGAATGCGCTCCACTGTTCATGCTTTTCTGTCATCTCTTGTTTTGTAGTGAACGGGGAGGTAACACTGCTCACACTATCACCAAGTGGCTCTGAATAAAAGTGACTCACCCGTGTCCCGAGGGGGCGATGAAGTACAGACAGCAGTGGATCCGGCTGTCCGGCATCTGTCGTCTGTTGACCCGGGACTCTGAGTTCAGGTAGTCTTCAAACTTGCTGTCTATGTGGTCGATGATCGGCTGCCAGCTGGGTAGTGAAAAATACAGTTTTTGTTAAGAAAAAAAAAAATCTTCACAAAGATCCGGTATGATTAATTAAATTGACTGTCCTTACCAGTTGCTGTTATCGACAGCATCTCCGAACCCGGGGGTGTCGACTATCGTGAGAAGCAGCTGGACTCCTCCTTCTTTTACTAAAACTTTACATTGTTCAACCTGACACAGGGAAGAGATGAAAGGGAAACAGTCACTCTTTCATTTATGCCACAGAATGTGAAAATATATCCCCGGAGGTGGGGTGCTCCTATCAGTGGAAGCTGAAATCATATATTCCTCAGAGAAAACACTTAAAGCTAGCAGCATGTAGCAACACGCCGCCCCACACTGTGCTATTAGCTAGCTATGCTGGGAAACCAGAGGAGCACACAGGGCATCTGGAGATAGCAAAGCTGTCAGTCAGCAGCCAGACAGATAAAGTGAAGCACTCGAGGCACTTAAGTTTGGGAACAACGTTGTGTAATTGAGGGAGATGGCATTTATGGCCGCAGCTGTCTGACAGTCTGACTTGTTTAAACCAGGAAGAGAATCATCATACTGCACGCCTTGAAGCCTAAATCAGAACTTCATGTTTTTACAAATAAAGTCAGCTCCTAAAAGCGCCGTTTAAAACAAAAACGAAAATCACAAATAAATTCTACGCTAATCAGTGAGGCTTTCATCTCTAAAAACTCAGATCCTTTATGCTAATATTGAATCTTATCATTGTGCGTATCATACGGGGGGGAAACGGATCATTCTTATGGTTTTTAAAACGTCAAGGCTCTCTGGTATGTGGGATATATTTGGTTATAACTAGGGCCCGACTGATATGGGATTTTTGGGTCTGATATCGATATTAGGGAGTTGTAATCCATCTAGCACACTCAGCTGGTGAAAGAGAGCTTCTAGTGTAATACAATGATACATAAACTGGTGTTAAAATCTAGTAATATGAGCGCTTATCTGTGATAAAAGTAGCCGATAACGATAGTCACTGGATATGCTCTAGCCAAAACTAAATCTAAACTCCAAATATGTAAATAAAGAGGTCAAATTAAAAGGATGACTGTTTGACAATAATAAAGATCATTATAAAACATCAGAGAAAAACGTATGGTAATGTAAAGCTATCATTTGAAACGTCAAGTGAGTGAAGAAAAGAAATCTAAATAAAAAACTCAGATGGAAATGCTGGAGTCCTCTCTGTCACTTTAAGAGTTTTGTTTAAAACGCTTTTTCACCGTTAATGCTCGTGCTGCCGTAACTGTAATCGCGCAAACAAAGAAGTTGGATGTTTCTAGAATGATCTCAGAGGAGTTTAGGGCAGTTCATCTTTGTGGGAACAAAACTGTTAAAAACATTAAGTAGGTTTTTCTGTCGTTAAGACGGGTGTGATACGAGCTGCTTCTGATGCAGCTTTGGTGAGTTTGTGGCTCTACTTTCAAAATAAAAGCCTCTGAGAGATGGTTTGGAGCGCTGCCATAGCCGCTGCTGCTGCTGGCTGAGAGAGATTTACAAGCCAACGTGAAAAGACATTTTTAAACTTTGATGTTTGGTCGACTTCTCGCTGTAGAGAGCGTGTTTCAAATTCCACACTATTTCTGTTTTCTTTTTCTGCAGAGCACGGCAACGCTTCCTGCAGCTGTGTTTGTTGAAACAGTGTACTTAGGTTGTCCAAATGTCCAAAACTGAAGTACATTTTTGATTCCAAGTGATACACTGTCCCATTTTTTTAATGTGCGTTTACATTGACTTGAGTATCCCGGTTTTGATCAGGTTTTTTTAATTATCCCGTTTTTGTGTTTGTGCATGTTAATATAATAATAATGATAATCATATCCCAATTTGAGAAACTGGGATAAGCCCTTATCCCGACTCTTAAAAACCTGATTTTGCTACCTTAAGAACTTAGAAAGAAGCAGGATTCTGTGGCATGTATACGCTTTACCCCGGCTTCTGACAGCTGACGACTACCTGCGCAGCCAAGTGATGCACCAGCAAAACAAACATTTTCTGTGACAAATTTTAAACTCTGAGATGAATGAGACCCCTGTGGGTTATTGCAGGCTCAGCACTTTTCAATGCCAACACTGCGAAAGACAAAACAGTTGATTTGTCGCCCCGAAGTAAGACGCTCTTGTTGCAACTGCCATAAATGCAGTCATCAGAAACCCGGATAGTAGTGTTTATCATGTACACAGGGATATGAATATCCAGGTTATCTGTGAGCATGTGAACACCATATCCTTAATATGATCAAAACCCGGATATGGCTCAAAACTGGGATACTCAAGTTCACTTTAACACGCTCACTGATCAACAGTATCCAAAGGTACTGAAGCTTTAAATAAAACTACAAATCTTTAGTTATATTTAATCCAAAGCTGCCAAAAGCAGGAGAGGGAGAGAGCAGTGTTGGTCCACTCAAATACAACGCTGGGAAAATACTTAATCACCAACACTTCTCAAGTCCTTTTAATGTTTTAAAAAAAATGTGAAAGTTGCGTTGATGTCTCTCACAACAGACAGAGAGCAGAGGAGGTGATTAAAACAAGAAATAACCGAACTCTGGGTGTCTAGGACGTCTACTTTGTTCTTGTGAAATCAAACCAGGTCGATTCATTACAATCCTGCCGTGTACGACATCTAAACTCAGAGTTACCAAAACGTACCTGTACGGTCTTTTTAATACGATGTGAGGGTCCAGGATACTCTGCAGAATATAAGTCCGTCAGGAACAGAGAGTTGATCAACGTGGATTTGCCCAACCCTGACTCACCTGGGAAAAGTAAAAGAAGAATTAGTTAAACCTGGAGGTAGTCATGTTAGGGTTATAAGGTTTCCAAACAGTAAATCACTGCACAATGTTGAATAACATATTGAGAATGTATACCCCAGTGTCCTGCATCTCATCCACATAAAGTTCACTGTTGACCTTCTTAAGACAATCAAAAGCCAAGTGTCTATCCGAGGATGAGACTGACATTTGTCCAACACATTAATCTATTTGGTTTAACAGTTGAGAGGCTAAGGAAACAACACAGACAAAGGCCCTTGTTATTTGCAGCTGACTGGCTGTGTGGTCCGGGAGGCTTCTCAAGCTTGGTCGGCCATTGTGCGCCCAGTTTCCAAGCTCCCGGTGAAAAGAATCATTAGTGGAAATGACCACTGACACCGCCTGCCTTGGCCGACGGCCACGAGTCAATATTTAACAAGCCAACATTTACACCAGAGCGACAGTCAGAGCCCAGCTCGCATCGTATCTTCAGTCTGTGGCGTGTCACTGTGTGGTGAGGGTATGTGCATGTTCATTTCACTGCAGTTTGAGGCGTTGACAGGCCTGTGAAATGAGCTGCTCTGCAATGTGTGAGGCGAACAGGTTGTTGGGTCATGTGTGTCACATGGGCAGAGCAGACGTGCCAGTCACTGCTGGTAATGCCATTCCCATCTCTCTTTCCCTTCCTCTATCTTTCATCGTCCTTTCCTCTTTTCACAGCACACTGGTGACGCATTGCCTTTCGCAGCGGGGACATGTGGGCTCACAGCTTGTTGGAGCCAAAAAAAAAGCTGAATATTGTGTGTGATGAGACCAGAAAAACAATGGCAGGCATTGAACTACCACCAAGCCCAGAGGACACCCCCCCCCCCCCCCCATATTCTTCGTTACTAGATGCAATGCCATTTGTATCTCCTTTGAAATGACTCTCAAAACGCAGCTTTTTGTCACAACACATTGTAGCACTAACAAACCCCACAGGACTACTTAGTCACCAACCGGCAGCTTTAACAAAGGACACCGCAAAGAAGAGGAACAAACCAAACCAAAGGACTTCATCATGAGGATGATCTAATGCAAGTACCAAAATAACAGCAAAAAGGCTGAAAAACACCATCACTATTATTTTTTTCTGTATTTCCCAAAGCTCAAGAAAGCCTATTGTAGATTTTTGTTCTGTCCACAACCCGACGATTTGCAGTTGGGTGAGTAAAGAACCCTTTAAGTACTCACATGTTAGGATTGAGTATAACTACCTTTTCTCTCGAAAGTAATGAAAGAATGCACAGTTGCAGAAATGTAAACACTGTAAACATGGGGTCTTTAGAAATGAAGTGCGGAGAACGCAGCAGGACATAGGCTATTCTTAGAGGCATGCTGGGTAAAAAAAACTCTTGTTGGTCCCACCACAGGAAATGGTTTTGACCCGAGGACTTTTTCCCTCCAAACAGGGACTGATCAGCTGAGGAGGACTTTGGCCTGGTGTCAAACACCACATCCAGGCATTTTTAAAGAATGTCTGCATGTTTGACTAGCTGAGAGCAGCTTTTGATAAATCCATCTGGAGTCACAGTTTTAACGATCTGACATAAAGATGTATTTAAAATTCTAAAAAGCAATGCAACAGTCTTCTCCTCACTACAGAGCTGGGGGCGCGCACACACACACACACACACACACACACACACACACACACACACACACACACACACACACACACACACACACACACACACACACACACACACACACACACACACACACACACACACACACACACACACACACACACACACACACACACACACACACACACACACACACACACACACACACACACACACACACACACACACACACACACTCTGCCTCTCGCTTAAAAACAAACCGCAGTGACGGACTTTAAAACGCCAACCGCGACAACTACAATGAAATGATTCATCTAAAACCAGGGCAAGCAGAGGGCAAGCAGAGGGCTGAGCAGCGTGTGTTCTTACCGACGACCATCAGGGTGAACTCGAAGCCCCTCTTCACAGACTTCCTGTACACTTGGTTTGGGAGGCTTGCAAAGCCAACATATCCTTCCAGGTTCTTTTGCTGCTGTGAGATAGAAACACAAACGTTAAAATCATGAAGAAATGTAACCTCGATCCTTATCGTAAAGCTTACAGAAAGGTTTAAAAACCACACTGTTCTCACATGTTGACATTTCTAAGCAACTGAAGCCTGATGAAAACACTCAAACCCCAATACAGATATTGGTCTGACAAAATCTGACGACTTCTCAAATTATTTCTGGAATTCTTGACTTTTGGCGCGTTCCATTTCAACTCAGAAGTCGGAAATTCAGAGTTGGAAACTTGGAGAACCTTCAGTAGTCCCGAGTTAAAACCCAACATGGCTGCTACGTGCATCAACAGTAACATTTAAGCTGTACATAATTGTGTTTATTAGCAACTTAGTCCTAGTTTTGTGTAATTAAATCAAACAGATAGTATCGTGCAAGTTCTATCTGTGAACATGTCGTCGTATTATTTTCACGCACAAACTATCACATAGTGTTTTCTTATTGCCACCAGGTATTCGCTAACAAAACAAAGGTACTCCTGGAGGCGTCCATGTTGCTTGTCCGACTTGTTGCAAACCCACAACTGGAACGCAATTCATTGGAATGTGACGGAATTCACAGATTCTAGATTTGAGATAAATGGAACGTTCCATCTGCCCAGTATCCCTTGCACCATGTAATCATTTCTGAGGACAACTAGGTATATGTTTCTAATCTATTTTCTCACATCAGTGCTTGTCCATGTGCAGGACACGGCTCAAAAATTAACACATTATATGATATGGTACACCACGTCTAACATGACAGTTAGATTATTTTTTTGTTTTAGTTATAATTGTGCAACCATGAGTCATACTATTTTAAAAGTACCAGTTCTTTCATTAAAACATTAAGTTTAAAAAGTGTCTGTTACTTTAATTATTTTTGCAGGTCATACAGATCGTTGGTATACTCACAGCTGTTTTGTGTAGATCAATATGGTGCAGTCCCATCCCAAAGTGCAGGAAGAGCCAGTGTTTCCAGGGTCAGCCAGCGATGGGAGAGAGAGCACAAAAACAAAAAAAGCAACAGGGAATCAATCTCAGGCCATCTGACAAACAACCCATTCTGTCTCCAGAATCAGTTTCCAAAGCTGAGAGGCCTGGGGGCAAAATGATTCATGATCCGGGCTACGATAACAGCACAGACAGTTGGCCAGTGTGGTACATATTCCACTCCACTTGCTCCTTTAATGTCAGTACCACCATAAAGCAGAGGCCCATTCTCAGATGCAGCTTTTTTCTTATTCGCCTGTGGCAAGGAGAGGATTTCTGGAACTTACACTGGAGCATCTCCTGCCTACTTACAACAGCCCACATGTCTCCTGCGTGACGCCGTGACTTAATGTTCTGGATTTGCCTGCAGGATATTCAGTTTAATCTCTGCAGAATCACACTGCAGATATATACGAACTACAACAACACCACCAATCACGTTTTATCTCAGGTGAATTAATACATATGATAAGCTGAGAAAAGGTGTGAGATGTGTCATTTTAGAATGACAGCCGTCTGCTTCCTTTCAGACAATGTCTGACAGGTCTGCTGAAGGAAGTGGTTGCAGATGGATGACATAGTAACAGTTTCCTGACGCAGATCTTTTTAAAAAGTTCTCGTTAACAGAACAGAGCTTCCTGTTCCAGTTAAAGTAAACAGCAGGTTAAATATTCAGAGTCTGTCTCTTTAAAATGTCACATGTTACCAGAAGGGACAGCTTGACTTTTGTTTAAAAGTTATTGCACTTTAATTAATGGATCTTACGTCAGACTCCAGACGTCTCCTGGGTAATTAAGTCCATCACTATTTTTTTTTTGTCACTCAACATAACCTATTAGCAGCAGTGAATTTACAATCTCATTAAGTCTGTGGTTGCTTTTGGGTCAATCATAGGCGCTCCATGACATCTCAGTGTCAAAATACCTGCTGAATAAATGCTAACAGCGTCTGCTGTGTCCATGGCAACCAAGACTCAACCATGCTGCAAACTTGGATTGATTACAAACGCAGCGCAGCTTTGCAGTGTATTTTCCTATGTGCTATTATAAAGGAGTGTTTGCTGATTCAAGACTAAAATCCAGCATCTATATCTTAGACTAAGGAAAGTCAATAAAGCAAAATGTGTTCGGTTGTAGACAAAAACTGTCTAGTTGACGACGCTGGAGCAATGGTAGGAGACGTTTTAGAGGATATCTTTTAAGTCACCTAGCTACGCTTCCACAGGCAAAAGTAGCGAACCCTCTTAATCAGAATAAGCTTTTCAGTTGGATTTTTAAAAAAAATCTCTGTATTAAGCAAAGCCAACGTGTAATTTTGTGCCAGAAATATCTCGAGTTCAACCATCCCTGTTTGTGTGGGAACAAACAGGGATGCAATCCTTTTGAAAAGAAACAGACAAGGAGAAAAACCACACCAGAGGAATTCAGAGCCAAGTCATCTCCTGTTCACAGATAGTTATCAGTCTGTTAAAACAATGATAACTTAAGTCCAAAAAAACAAAAAAACACCTAATAAGCATTTTGTTCTAGTTAAAGTAAACAGCATGTGTCCATGTTTTGACTTTTTTTTTTTTTTGAAGATCCCTGGCCTCAGACTCTTCAGACCTGTGAGGTACTAGATCCACTTTAATCCAGATTAAACTGAAGCCCAGTAACCTCCTTACACCTACCTAACTGTGTGACACATCTGACTACTTGTTTGTCTCTTGACTGCCTAACCTAGATGCACCCAAAACATGCCAGTTTAATCAAAATTATTGATCAGGCACGGATGCAGCCCCCCCCCCCCCCGTGTCTGAGGCACACAAAGGACAGAAAGTGGTCGCTCTCCATGTTTGGTGCATCATTTTCATCAGGATTACATGGGGGGGGGGGACACCACGTTAGCATCAGAGACTATACCCTGCACACTCTGCAGGAGTCAAACAATCAGTCGTTAACCCGGCACAGCGGAAACACAAACAGCAAACACACGTTTCGCTCTAATTTCAAAACCAGTGAACTGTTTAATCCAACGCACGATATTGTAAACTAGTTAAATCACACTGCACGTACTCATAGAGAAGATGTGAATAACCTAACAGGAGGGGGGGTGTTAACATGCTTTAATTTGTTAGAATACAGTTCACACGGGAACCTTACTGAAATACTTTGATTAAGACTTCAGAGCTAAGGCAGGAAATGACACTCCCGTTAGGTTATGCTGCCAATGCTAACAACTAGCCAGCTAGCTAGCTCCCATCCAACTGTAGGCGGACGACTGGGCGTTGGTTGCTCCGACAACTGCAGAAGCTCAAACAAGCAAACTGCTCGAAAAGCGACTCCGATCCTGTTTCTATCACCGCGGAAACATTTTTCACAAACACCCGGTTTCTTGAAAAAGTCTCGACAGTGTCTGGCTGCAGCAGTCTCACCCATAACGTTGACGCTCCCAGCCGCCTCAGAAAGCGATCATTCACAAGCCGACATTCCCCTTCTCGCTACTTTCTGCTTGGAGCTACGCAGCGTGAGGCACGTAACGTCACACGGGCTTAACGGGCTCTACGCAGAGAGAATGACGTAAATGCTACGTGAATCGCAGAGGGAGGAAACACGCTCATCTCGCGAGGATATGTAAATCTTTTCAGTATCAACGAGTTCTCGCGATAATCAACCCTACAAGAAGTTTGTTTTTATTTATTTATTTTGACAAGGGAGTAAAATGTGAACACAGTACAGAATTATAAGTAATACCCTTTTTATTTTATTGTTTATGTTTTTTTGTCTTTGCATTGAAAGGTAATTAGCAATCAACTACACAAAACCCATTAACGTAATAAGATTTTTTCCAAACAAAACATTAAACTGTAATTTAATTTGTACATTGTCTGGTTGCCAGTAAACCATTTAAGTACACTGCACTAAAAAAAAGGTATTTAATAAATAAACAAGGGAATAAGTTAGAATAATCAAATCATATAAATGTATTCGAAAAAATAAGACAACATAGTTTTATACAATTACATGATGTGAACGTAGATTTTTCAGATAAGACCTCGTTTGTTGGCAAGCAGCAGTTTATTTATTTTAATATAAAGTTTATTTTGAGTTTGTGGTCCTTTTTTTCTACTCAACGTCATTTCAACGTCAACGTCAACGTACCTGTTGATGGAATGCGAACAGCGTCTGTTGTCTCCATGGCAACCAAGACTCCGTAATGCTGCTAACTTGGACTTGTTGAAAATGCAGCGGAGCTTTGCATTATCTTGGCTTATTTGTTATAGTAAGGAGGGTTTGCTGTTTGCGGGAATAAAAACCAGCATCTATTTCTAAGACTAAGGATATTCAATTAAGCAAAATGTGTATTTTTGTAGGCAAAATATTCTAATTTACGACGCAGGTGCAGGCGATTGACTCGATAGCTAAACTTCCTCCAGCAAAACTGTCTAACCTTCTTCTTTTCAGTTGGATTTTTAAATATCTGTGTTAAGCAAGCCAAAATATAGGCTAATGTTGTGCCACAAATGTTTTAAGTTGAGCCCAGTACTCCTGGAAACAAATGGGGGATGCTGAAAATGTCCACAAAAAATAGACAAGGGGAAAATCTGCCCCTGAAATCCAGAGGAATCCAGACTAGGTAAGATAAGTTATCTCCTATTCACAGATCTGTTAAACAATAATAAATTAAGTCCAATGATAAACTTGTTTTGTTTTTTTCAGAGAATCTCATGATCTCAGAAGGCTTCAGTCCCTGCTTGCCAAAATCAGCCCCAGGCAAGAGGTGAACAACAACAATAACAAATGATGCCACACTGAAGGACTGTGTCTAGACATTTTGATAAGGATACAGAGCAGCTCATATTTCTGCAGGCCTGTGTATATATGTATACTGTGGTATGAGACTCTGGTTGTTGCAGGTGGCAGCGCTGAGTCACAGTAAAGCACGCAGCGGTGGAGCCAGCAGATCTCAAGGCCTGTATCCTCCCAAAGACACCAACAGACTGAGGAGGGAGAATGACGTCAACAGTGAGGCTGCTGAACTGGAAAAATTCAGGTTTTCATACAAAATTCTGCCTTTTTTTTAACCATGTCATGAAAATTCTTCAGACCACATATCAGAAAGTGAATAATCAGCTATAGTTCTTGTTACAGATGCATCACTACCTTGCAATACATTTCTTTAAATCGATACTTAATGGTGTTAGGACCAGCCTATAGGGGAAACCAGCCGTAGCACAAAAGTGACCCTCTCCTTCCTCACTCCCAATGATGAACCTCAATTTAAACACATTTTCAGCCCACAAGAACATTTATTAACAATAAAAAAAAAAATTTGAGTTACTTTTGGGCCTTTATTGTAGAGACAGGACAGTGGATAGAGTCGGAAATCAGGGAGAGAGACATCGGGGACAGACATTCGGGTTAGAAGCCAGAGGTCAAATTTGAACCTGGGCCGTCCGCATTGAGGACTATGGTCCTTGCATGGGGTGCGCACTAACCACAACGCCCACCATCGCCTCTGCTTTGGTTCTTTTCAATGCTATTGATCATTTAAAAATATGAGATTGCATAGTTTTCAAACAAATGGTATCGACAGCGTTGTTGTTCAATTTGAATTGTGGAATGGGTTTGTTTCCCAGCATCACGTACAAAGACCAGCGATGTTTCAGAAGCCACCCTCTGCGTACACTGTTCTCTGACATCCTCACATCTTTGGTCAAGAACCGACTCTGCAGGTTAACACTTTAAATTACTGTCCAACTTCTTCTAATTTCTTATGATTGCTTTTTTTTTATAACTGACTGTTTTAACTTGTCCTATAGTGAGTGGATTGACCACGCACTGCCTGAGTCTGTCCTCAGAGTTCTGATGTGCCTGAGATTATTGATCAGAGATCCTCAGCATCAGGTACTATGTGATAAAAACTTTACCTTTTATTGCTTATTGTGTATTTTATAAAGAACACTCCTCTTTCGTCTGCTTTCTTTAGAAAATCCTCCATCAGCTGCAAGGCATCAACTTACTCGCAAGGGTAAAAAGATTATTTCTAACATGCCCTGACCTGCTGTGTTTTATGATTTATCCACTTTAATATCCTCTTTTACTCACTGCTGCCATATTTCTCATCTAGTATATGGAGTCTGTTACTTCCATGTACATATCATGTGGTGAACAGGCGTTTGCGGAGCAGAAACTGGTCACAATGACATGTGAGTAATCTGAAGGTTATTTGAAGACACTCTGATAGCTTGAGGGTTTCTTTTTATGTGCGTCCTCATCAGTGCTGCCTTTTGCTGATTTATCTGCAGACATGTTTCAGAAGCTGTCTGCTGCTGAAAATCAAAGAGTCTGCATCATCCAGAGCGGCGCTCACAGGGTGAGTGATACGTTCTGATAATGTTATCTGTGTTTATGAGTGAGATGGTTGTTTTCATATCAAACTACACTCAGAGCCAAAACATGAAGCCAGTCCTCTTTGTGCTCAGGAATAATGCACTGCTGGTGGTGGCTGTAAGGCACTTCTGTAGGGTGCAACAGGTTCATAACTACAATTTATTTATATTTAAATGCAAATATTTACTCTCAGGTGTCAAATGAAGAAATTACATTTTGTCTTGTGAGAAAAGCCTCTCACAATTCCTGTTGTTAGATGTTTGGCTTTCTTCTGTAAAGGAATGTCTCAGCTTCTTGTAAATTCACTGTACTCTGTCTAAAACAGTTTTTGTGTTTATAACAAAATGAACCATTTCTAGACTCTGGTGAAGCTCCTCTCCACAACAGACAGCCGTGTGCTGCTGGGGGCCCTGCTGGCTCTCACCACATTGTCTGAGAGGTTCGAAAATACTTAATTTAATTTAATGCATTTAATTCATTCATTCATGATGTTGCAAGATGTGTTTTTCTCCCACAGCCCTGAATGCAAGGAGGAGATTGGCCAGCTACCAATAGTGGAGAACTTGCTCGTGATACTGCAGGAATATGACCTGCTGTCCAAGAGGTCAGTTGTTGATAAAGTTGTCCCATGTGGTGTTGCAGTTGTGAGAACATTTTCTTATTTATGAGTGCTAATAATACCCCCAAAAATATACAAATAAATCAAGTCCTGTCTAATTTTAGCTCATCTTTTTTTATGTTGTTTTATGACCCTCTGGATACTTTATAAAGATTAAGAAGACTAACATAGAAGCAAACACAAACTATCTTAATGTGATGTTTCCTTCAGAATGAGTGCAGAGCTGCTGAGGCTCCTGTCCCCTGTGAGGCAGGTGAGGGACCAGGTGAGGGAGCTGGAGGGTCTGCCTGTTCTGCTGAGTCTGCTGTATAGTCAACACCTGAAGCTGCTGTGGAGCATCAGCTGGGTCCTGGTCCAGCTCTGCGAGGAGCCAGACACCAGAGCAGAGATACGGAGCTGGGGCGGGGTACAGCATCTTCTGAGACTGCTCAAAAGGTTTGGGATACCAATGCATATTTGATATTTATATGACTTTATATGAATTCAATTTGAATTTTTAACAATTGCTGTTGAATTTAAAACGTTGTCTTAATTCAATGAAGTACAATTTTGTCCAACCAAAATCTACATAAATTGTGTAAAAACACCCATAAAAGAAAAGACTGGCCAAAATTACAGCGAGCACTTTTAGTCCATATTAAAGGTATTCGTTCTAAAGAGCTGCTCCTAAACTTTATTTTTTTCAGCCACATTTTTAATCTCAACTGCAGGTCAAGCTTCAGTTCACATATGTCCTACATTTCCCATAATGCATCTTGACGTATGTTTACAAGTTCAGAGCAGAAAGTTTGCAATATGAAACTAATGCATGGAAAAGGAAAGATGTCTAACAGGGTGGTGAGTCATAACAGAACTCTTCAACAGCGACAGGCAGTTCGTCTCTGACCGCTCGTCCATCGAGACGCTCTCCAGTGCCAACGCAGCCGGCCGCATCCAGAGAGAGCACATCGGAGAGGAGCTGAGCCTGCAGGAGGAGGCCGACAACTCTGTGGCCCTGCAGTCAGGTCAGGGTCATTACAATGTACCTCAACATGAGGATGAAATCTTAAGATCTTTTCTGTTAGTTTTACTGGAAGTTAGAAATCCCAAAGTGTAGTTTTGTTCTGTTGAAATGAGAAAATGGTGAAAGATAGTCGGTAAATCTTTCCTGTAAATCCTCACCCCAGAGGAGTCTTATCAGTGGTCGAGAATGTAAACAGTTTTTTCCTGTAGTGAGAATCCAGATCTTTTTGTAGTTCTGATTTTGATCGAAAGGCTCCTACATTTCCTGTGCCTACATTTCTCAATCCACTGGATTAAATAAAACTATCTTGGGTCAAAGAAAAAAAATATCATAAAGCTTTGGTCACGCTGGCTAAATTAGTATCCTCAGATAATTTTCAGCAGAATAAAGGGGGCAGTGTTTCAGTGTTTCCTGTCTTTTTTCTTCTCGTTGTTTAGGGGGGTGTTTTGTTCATGTTCACTGATGTGTCTTGATCTCCGTCTCAGACTATAGAAGAAGAAGATATACTTTATTAATCCCAAGATGGGAAATTCAATTTTACACTGTTGTTGAACATGCTACACACACATAGGCTGAAATACACACATACACACAAACAGGAGCCAATGGACATGCACTAATGGAGAGATGTCAGAGTGAGGGGGCTGCCCACCGAGAGCTCGTGAGCTGGTTGGGGGTTCGGTGCAAGTGCAGCACCTTGGCAGTGCTCAGGAAGTTAACTGGTTACCAGACCAATTTCCTGACTTGGTCCGCACCAGGACTTAAACCAACCCAAGAAAGTCCCTACATACTGAGCTTCTGCCGCCCAAGTTTATACGATTTCATGCCAGGGTTCTTAAATTAATTTATACCCTCTTTAATCTCTTTTCCAGCCTGCTGTACTGTTCTGACTGAGCTCTGCCTGGACGACACATCTGCTCACCACATTGTGCTGGTAAGAGAGAGTCCTTCCTCAAAGACAAGGACAGTTGATGGAATAGGAATGAATAAGTGCAGAGTCCACCTTTGCCTAAAACAACAACATAATAATCATTTTAAAACTTTGCATTAATTAACCTGATGTTCTTTTCTTAGGAAAATGGAGTCTACATAATTGCAAAGTTGATTTTACCAAACGATGCAGGATCCAAGTTCTCATCTTTACAGGTAAATTCATTGATTGCTTGATTGATTCATTTGAATTATGTTATTTGCAGCTTGTCTAGACCATAACATGCAAGGGAGGTCCATACAGTAAATTTGCTTTTTTAGGTATCTTTTATTCAATAACAAACCAAGAAATGGTAGAAGGTTATCTGTCTTGGCTGCCCAGAGGGAGAGAGAGAGAAAGATAGCTGTAGAAGCCTGGCTTATATGCCCCTCCACTCAGGTGAAGCCCAGATGCAATCTCAGGCTTAGAGCATTGTCTCTGACCCTAACCTTACTCTTTTTATCATTTTACACTAAGAGCAATGAATGAACATTAAAAAAGTAACATACTTGTCCATCTGTTTGCTTATTTACAGTGCTATGCATTCCGGACCCTCCGGTTTCTCTTCAGCGTAGAAAGAAACAGACATTTATTTAAGAGGTGATGTTTAAAAACACATTTATTACTTTTGTGTCATTCTTAAACTGATTCTGCTACTGTTTGACGTCTGCTTTAGAAAGAAATCTCCTCAAACTCTGGCTGGTGCTGTTATGTAACAGTTCATCCTCTCAGACTCTTTCCCACAGACCTCTTTGAGATGTTTATTGATGTTGGACATTATGTTCGGGACCTCACGGCCTACGAGGGACTGCGAACCAAAGTCTTTCTCTGCACTGTAAGAAAATAGGTTCATAAAGCTTTCATCCAGCTGGCTTTGAGGTGTAAAATAAAAAGACTTTAATTTATTTTGGGATTATGTAGATGACACGGGGGTTTCTTAAACTTGAAAATGGATGATTAACTGTGAGTTTTATAAAGCAGGAAGAGGAACTGGACAGCCTGAGAGAGAGCATCGAGGCTGTGGACCAGAACCGTCCTCCCCTTAAAGTCATCAATGGTTACTTCATACTGGACCATCTGGGCACCGGGGCCTTCGGGAGCGTCTTTAAGGTATGACACTCAGAAATGATGGAATCTGGTTGGTTTATGTTTATTTTAAGATCTTTTAAACTGGTGCAAAGTGCTTCAGGTGGTTCCAAATAGCAACCTGTGGTGTTGAAAGTGAAGCCAATGTTGAATTGCAAAAAAACACCACTGAGTGTCCACTTGAGGCCGGCTGCAAAAAGCCCTCAAAGTCCCATTAAAATGCCTTATATGACTGCAGTAAACATATTCACAACCTTGCACCTTGGTCTTTATGGCCCATTTCTTTATTGGCACACACTTTAAAGGTTGTGATATTTTTTCTGTTTATCTGTTTTGATCAAATGAAGTCTCAGCGTTTTGCATATATTTGCAAAATGATGAGCGTGGCTGAGTTGACTGAAAGGTGGGCATGTCTGTCAGTTGGTTAAAGTTTCTGCCATCCTTGGGTTTCAAAAACTACGCTTCAGTTATCAGAGTTTTCGTCAATGTTTTCTAAAGTCTATGGCTGGTTCAAATAAAGTGTCAAAGCTCTAACAAATATATTCAATCCCAGGTCCGAAAACAGGGCGGGCAGAACCTGCTGGCTCTGAAAGAAGTGAACCTCCACAACCCGGTGTTCGGCAAAGACAAGAAGTCCAGAGACAGTAACGTGGACAAAATTATCTCCGAGCTCACGATCATCAAAGAACAGGTTTCTGTTTTGTAAATGAAAGTCCATGTCAGAACTTTTATGACCAAATATAGCGTGTCATGTGTTTGCTGGCTCTTCTTTTCCAGATGACACACCCAAATGTTGTCAAATATTACAAGACATTTCTGGAAGGTGAGAGAATTATTTTAACCAACTGTTTAAGTTATCATGAGAAAGGAGCACTACAACAATAAAAATCTAAATTTTAGGTGAGAAGCTGTACATCGTGATGGAGCTGATCGAGGGAGTGCCGCTGGCTGAACATTTTAACTCTCTGAAGGAGAAGCAGCAGCAGTTCACAGAAGACAGAATCTGGAATATTTTCATACAGGTAACAACTCTTCTTCATGTCACTCTTATCAGGTAAATAAATCTCTTCTTTTAACAGTTTATTTGCCCTGGAAATCCCCAGTCAGGGTTAATATACAACTGTTAAATTGCAAATTGTGTATGCTCCATTCAGTGTCACTTGCCAACTGGAAGTCTATAATCTTGTTAATTTGGACTTTGACTTTAAACTCAGACGCTTTTTGTGGACTGGAGACCTACTTGCTAGTTAAGTGCCCATAGAACAAGTCATCACTTTTAATTCTATTCATGTCATTTCTCAAAGAAGACAAACCTTTTGGCTGTGTGGAAACATCCTAGTCTTCCATCCAGATAACCTTTTGGGGGATTTTTGTGCCTTTATTAGAGAGACAGAGCAGTGGAAAGAGTCAGAAATTGAAGCGAGAGAGTGGGGAATGACACGCGGGAAAGGAGCCAAAGGTTACACTTGGCCCACCCACTTTCATGGCCTCTGTACATGGGGTGCGCACTAATCCCTAGGCTACTGGCACCCTCTATAACTTCCCTAACTGATTTTCTCCATTTTGGCTCAGATGTGTCTTGCGTTGAGGTATCTGCACAAAGAAAAGAGGATAGTCCACCGCGACCTCACACCAAACAACATCATGCTGGGGGAAAAGGACAAAATCACCATCAGTGAGTTGATTCACAGCTTTCTTCTCACGCTACCTTATCTTATTATAAAAGAAAAACCTGTGCCTTTTTTTGTGCCTGTAGCTGACTTCGGCCTGGCTAAGCAGAAAGAGGAGAACAGCAAGCTGACGTCGGTGGTCGGCACAATCCTTTACTCCTGGTGAGGAAATCATTCTGAACATCCAGACGCTGGAAAATTAAACATTTGATTTATTGAGTTTTCACAAGGACTGTTTCTTTGAAGGGTGACCAGGTGCCAACAGCCGAAAAGTGGGACTCTTGGTAAAGGTTGCCATCAATGAATACATTTTTATGTGAGATCCTCATACGTTTGCGTCATGTGTTAGTCCAGAGGTGGTGAAAAATGAGCCGTATGGAGAGAAGGCTGACGTCTGGGCTTTGGGCTGCATCCTGTACCAGATGGCCGCTTTACAGCCTCCGTTCTACAGCAGCAACATGCTGTCACTGGCCAACAAGGTGTTGTGTAAAAAAACATAAAACGTACACTCATGAACACACTCTGGACTTTAAAACGTGTGTCTCTGTGTTGACTTGTTCTTGTCATCTTTTCTTAGATTGTTGAGGCCCAATATGAGCCTGTTGAGGAGGGAGCGTACTCAGAGAGAGTCACAGACATGATCAGATGGTGAGCGGTACGACCCCTCAAACATGGTTACTTTTCATTTTAATGAAGGACACAAAGGGAATAGGCTGATGGTCTGGTTAACAGAACAAACATAGAAGGATCAAATCTTCTTACTGAAAGTTGTTTTTATTGAATTTTGCATTATTACACACATTAACACGGACAGATTCCCACCCCCATACAATCCCCCCACCCCTTGCTGTCACTCATGTTTAAAGACTCTTTCACTACCTTGCCATATTCAGTTGACGGGTAAGATGAAAGACGAAGAGTCAAATCTTCTTAAATATTTCTGTAATAAGAAAGACATTAATTATTGTAGTAAATTCATCCATTACTGTCTCGTAACATCTGTTAGGTGTTTGAGTCCAGATGCAGAGCAGCGTCCCGACATCCAGGCCGTCAGCTCCAGGATCTCTGACCTCATGATGAGGCTCATGGACGGACTCTACACTTCCCAGAATGCACTGGAAAGGAGAGCGGAGAGAGACAGGAAACGAGCGCAGAAGTACTTTCTGGAAAAGCAAAGAAGCAGGACGAGCTGCTGTCAGTCGTACATGTGTCAGGTGAAACGAGACGTAATCAGCCAATCAGGAGTCCTTGAGGACTTGTATTTGTTGTTTATTGAAGATGTTGTGATTTAATACAGAAGTTATATTTTAGTATTTGTCCCATTAATTTTAAAATCAGCTTTCTACATTTTTCAGGAACAGTCCCTCATAAATAATGACACTCCGACTCCTCGCTCTTCAGCAGCCTGCAGCTCAAATCACAGCGAGCAAAATATCGGTCAGGGTCAGAATTTAACTCTCTGTTTGTTCACTGATTGTTTTATTCTCTGTGTTGTGGATTTATCTCATATAATGAAGATTTTTTGGCTTGTTCTGTTTTTTGACAAAGGAGTGAAGTCGAGGGACAGTGTGACACCTGACCAAACTGAGCCCATGTAAGTGAAAGATGTCACGTTACTTATTCTGTCTGTTAGGTGGAGAATGTGTTCAGTGTGCAATGGAGGGAGGGGCTTCACTGAACATGCTCTACAAGAGATGAATGTGTCCAATCAGATTCCTTTGTCGGGATTAACTTTATCGTTTTCTCGATCTGCCTTTCTCCTCAGTGGGGATTATGTAATGACAAATGATAAACCAAGACCAGGTATGCCTGCTTTAATCATTTTTTACTTCTTTTAATTTGAAAAGACTAAAATAAATTATTTTGCTGTTCATTTGATATCATGTTTCTCTTTTGTGTTTAGCTCATCAACGTCTGTTAAAACTCAAATCGGAAAAAAAACAATTTGAACAGAGTATACATAAACGACCCAACACCCTAAGAGCAGATGTTTAATATAAAAGAAGTCGAGGCTGTTTAAATGTAGATGTCTGTGTGTTTGTGTCCCTCAGTGTCTGCAGGGATCTGTGTGTCTCAGAAAAAGCTCCGTCAGATCGATGATCCCATTCAGAGACTGCTCGTGCAGCTGCACAAAATCATCTTCATCACTCAGGTACAGCTGTTTCAGAATTTATACGACGGTTTATCAAAGTTAAATTTCATGCAGAAGATATGACGCATCAGTCAAGGTCAAATCTGTGACTGTACTTGTGTTTTGTGATTTCATTGATTGATTATTTCACTTGTCATTTTTTTCATCTTTAGCTTCCACCATCTCCGCAGCATGACATCAAGCGGCGGGTCGTTGAAAGATTTAAAAAGTCGCTCTTTCAATGTGGGAGCGATCCATACAACCTGAAGGCGGAGCTAAGCCAGGTCCGTTACTGTCGACTTACAGTATGTTGCCGCAAAACACATAAATGAGAATAATCTTCTATATCTTATTTTGTGCTGCAGCTCCTGCAGGCTTCTCCAGAGCTGATGGAGTTAACCTCCACCGGTTCAGACTGGTGGCCTCTGGTCCAACACTTCACAGGAGACCCACATTATACTGACAACACAAGTAGCAGTTTCCCCACCTTCTCACCTATATGTCCAATAATGAACAGTGCTATACTGCAGGCTCCGGCGGACACAAGCTGTTCATTTGATTTTCTTTTTCCTTCTGACAGGAGACGTGAATCTCAAAGATGGAGTCACCTATCAGCAGATGCAGGTCAGATTCTCAGCAAAAGTGGTATCGTGTGGATTCCTTTTTTGTGGCTTTTTTGTTGAGAGTTACATGAGAAGATCGACTCTACTCTTATGTCTGACGTTAACTTAGCTTAGCACAAAGACTTGAAGGAGGGATAACCAGCCAGTAATAGCCCAATAGTTTAGTACAAAACCCTTTAAATATAAAAGCTGCAGAGTCCCTTTGCACCTTTAAGAAAAAGCTAAAGACCCAGCACTTTATGAACACCTACAACCTTAATGATGACGATGATGATGAGGATGATGATGATGGTCTTGTTTGATAATGTTGATGATAGTTCTTTAGGATAGTTTTGATGCGGATTTGAACTCTAAAGACCAGCTGTCGAGTTCATGCTTTGCCTCTGTGCGTCGCCTGTCAACACCTTACGTGTCTGAAGGTAAACACGTGTCCGTTAGCAGTGAAGTGATTTCCTGTGAAAATGTTTCTTTTCAGGCGATCATTGAGGAGCTGCTGGAGGAGAGCAGATACTTCGAGAAAATACACAGCAGGTGACTCTTCCAAAGCCTAAATGGGATTTTCCTTTTTATGGTGCCTGATAGATTGGGGTGCCTGTAGCCTAGAGGTGGTTAATGCACACACCATGTACAGAAGCTAAAGTCCTTGAAGCGGGCGGCTCGGGTTAGATCCGACCTGGGGCTCCTTTACTGCATGTTGTCCCCACTCTCTTGCCCTAACATGCTGAATTCATTTTCTACTCACCTGGCTGCTTTATTGTTAAAGTTTGGCTGCTTGCTACAGCTAATAGATGTATGCACTAAAAATCAATATTAGCTGCTACGAAAAAAATATATAATTTTAGTGTCGACTCTCCTTCTGAGCTTTTCACCATCTTTGCTTCCCTGACACTTCACGCAAACGTCACAACTCGGTAACCCGATGTCCTCGAACTTTGAATTTTGAGGGGCGTTCATGCCCTCTTTAATATGGTTAATTTGAAATTTCCGAGGAGCACATGATGTTATAGAATTCCACATATTTAAAAATATATTGAATTTTCTAAATTGGTAATAACCTCTTATGATTATAATAATAATTTTTCATGTGTTTTTTGTTCACCTTAGGCTCCCAGAGAGAAGAAATGACCAAGGAAACAAATGACTCTGATCATCATCTATCCTCAGACGTTAGTTTAACCTGCAGCTGGAAACAAACACAAACATGTTCCAGCGTGTTGACATTTTCATCAATCTGTGTTAAAGGAAGAATATTTATTTGGGGGCAATTTTTTTATTAGATAGGACAGCTGAAGAGAGGCAGAAAATGTTAGGATGAGAGAGTGTAAGGGGTGACATGCAGCAAAGGGCGAAGGTTAAATTCAAACCCAAGGTAACTGGCTACTGGCCCCATCAAGCTGTGTTAATGAGAATTTTGCACGTTGACTTGAATTGTTAATAACCTCAATTCAAAACCTCTTCCTCTGTAATTTATAACAAACATAAGTGTGAAAATTCATCAGTCCATCCATCCATTATCTTAACCGCTTTTCCCGTGCGGGTCGCGGGGGGCTGGAGCCAATCCCAGCTGTCATTGGGCGAGAGGCGGGGTTACACCCTGGACTGTTAGCCAGTCAATCACAGGGCTGACATACAGAGTCAACCAGCCACACTCACATTCACACCTACGGGCAATTGAGAGTCACCAGTTAACCTAACGAGCATGTCTTTGGACTGTGGGAGGAAGCCGGAGTACCCGGAGAGAACACACACATGCAAACTCCACACAGAGAGGTCCTGTCAGACGGGGATTCAAACCAGGAACCTCCTCGCTGTGAGACAACAGCGCTTACTGTGAAAATTAAAGACTTATGTTTAGTTATTTCATGAATTAACTGATCCACAGTTCGGCCTATAAAATGCTGAAAATGTTTCCAACTCCTTTGATGTTAAGACCTCTAACGAAGCAGCAGATACAGAAAAGAGTGTGTTTGGAAGAAGGAAGTGTTTGGCATTTTAAGAACAACTTAATCTACGGTCACAGTAGTTGCATTTTAATGAGTTGATTAATAAGCTCACCTCACACCTTTTTGTTCCTCAGGGATTTAAATCTTGTATACGTTTGTTGTGATGAAGAATCTTCAGAGACTTTTAAAACTGCACTGTGCATGTGCGTGTTTGAAAGTCATGTTGAGGCTGATGTGTGTGTGTTTTTGTTTGTTTAGTCCTCGATAAGCTAATCATAACAAAGTGAACCGGCCTGTGACCTGCACGTAGACACTGACACGACGAGTAACTCCACCGCCATCATCATCACCCCGAGCTTTTTTTATCTGTCGGGTTCGGCTCCTCCGTCTGTAAAGCTCTCACTTTTGTTTTGTCAGGTTTGTCTGACTGTCGTGTTTTTAATACTCAGGAGGACTCAGACTCTTTGATTGTTTTAAGTCCGCCCTGCAGGACCGCTCGTCACTGTGTGTGTGTTTTAAATGGACGTGAGCCAAAATGTAGTCGTTTACTTCACCTTCAAAGAGCTGCAGCTTTTGCAGACAGTGAGAAAAAAAGGTCAGATGTTTGGATTTGTTTCCACATTTTGCTGAACTTTAACTTAATCAACATGCACTTTGAATTTCTGTTCTCATTTTCAATTTATTTACCATTTCAAAACATGCTTCAGTGTGTATTTTCACTGTCATGTTGAGCTGTAGAGGGCAGCAGAGGACACTTTCCCATGCACTTTGATCCAAAAGGGATTCTTTACTGTCGTCTGTATTTTTTAAAAAGCTGTTTTTAAATGATCTGCTAAATAAAAACTATTTAATTCACACACTTAGGTGATTTATCTCTTCTTTAAGGAGAAAATGCTTCGATTAAAACAAACTCCTTAATGCAGAGAATGTGGACTTAATTGACCACTGAGCAGAAAACCTTTTTGATGTGCTGTAGTGTAATTACTCAGAGGAGCCACAGGGGGCAGTATAACCTTTGAATTGAAGAGAGGACGAGCTGGTCTTTAACAACCTTACAGCTTGAAAACTATCACCAGGTGCTGCTTTGTCACCTTAGAAATAATTTCAAAAACCTGCTCTTTAAGAAGAAGCATGAAACAGAGCAAGAAAATCCAGAACAGAAGAATTGAATCCTCCAACAAAAACATACAAAATGTGATCTGTCCCAGGTTGATTCTTTGCAAATATGAAAAATTATCCAGATATGAGAGACGCTGGGACAAAAGTTCATGTTTAAACCTTAAAAATCATCCGTCTGTTTAATGCATCATTCATTTCTTTTTGCATGAATGTCATTTAACTCTCAGATTTTATTTATTTATTCTCAGTTTTATGTGTCAGCGCTGAGACGAAGCTTCTGTTTGTGGAGCTTTGTCAAACATTCGATCTCTTTCCCAGAATCCTTTTCTTCTTATTCGGAGCACAAAGAGATTTTTAAACATGTTGTTTGGTTTGAATTCTGCAGCTTTTTATTTATTAATAACATTATTGACGCAGTACAAAGTATCTTACACTGGTGCCGTTACAAAAACTGACTGGATTTGTTCAATAAAAAACAAACTTCTGTAAAAAACAACAAAAAACCCCAAACAAAGAATTTGACAAAATTATGTATAAAATGGAAAAACATAAAAGGATCAGCGATTAAACTCAAACATTTTAAAGGAGACCTATGATGCTGATCCATCTTTAAATACAGACATGTAATGTTACGATGTTGGATGTCCGCACTAAACCTCGGCAAAGTTTTTTTAAACACAAGATACGTGGCGTTTTCGCTGGACGTGGTTTCCTGCTGCCCTGAACGAGACGTTTCAAAAAGTCAAAGCATGGAGCGAAGATGTAGGCCACGCCGACCCCAACAGCTTTGTCAAGGACAGGCCTACCTGGAATCTCACTCAAACTTCCCTGCAAGTGCAAACAGAGCTGGCCAATCGGAGGAAAGCGGGTACGTATGAAGGGGAGGGACTTAAAGAAACAGCAGCTGAAATGAAGCGTTTCAGGCCGAGGCTGAAATTAGGGATTTTACTGACTGGGATTTTACCAGTGGTAATTTTCTAAAACTAGCATGTTTTTGAAAGTAGCATTCCCCCTCAGTGCTCCGTCTGCACCCCCCCCCGTGCTCCCTCAAAAGCCACGGCCCTCACTTACATGCACGAGCGCCATTGCTCCAGAAGTGGACCTCAGCTCATCTCTTGCATTGTGTAGAAACTACGTCATCTCATGTCTCATTCAGCGGTAAGTAAACTCACAGTATAAACTCCGTCATCGGTGACGCGCTTTGAGTGTGTGCTAGTTAACACAAGGAGGTAGAGAGCGAGCAGGGAGACAGGGAGGCGTCTGATTGGTTCATCAGATTGGTACCTCATGGCAGACATTGGTCGAAGTTTTCACAGGCTTACAACTGATACAGATGACGGATTTTCTTCGTTCCTTTTTCAGAGCACGAGTTATTAATTGCTGTCAGGACCTAAAGACAACTTAAACCAAAATCTTAAAAAGTGGATCTGGAGGAAATTACCAACCCTGACTTTAATGGTGAACGAATGATAATAGATGTCCTTAAAAGGACATTTTAGACCTCTGACATATGAGAATAAATCAAGTGGGGGGTCATTATTGTCTGAACCAACTTGAAGAAAACGATAGGAGTAATGTTGTTTATTAGCTTACTGACAATGTTCAAACTCTTACGAAATATCTGATACTGCAAAACATTCGATTACATTTTTTAGTCTGCTTTAAATGATCCTGCAATCATTTGAAGTTTATCTTGTTCTCTTCACCTTCATCGCTATGAGCTGACATATATATTTATATTTATATAATCAAACAAGTTATGAACATTCACTGTTACGAGTAAAGCTCTAATAACTTTAAGTTGTTACATTTCCCTTTTTGTAACTATAAATCTGTCCGTTTTCTTTTCTTACATGTCTGGAAATCAAACGTAGAAAAAGAGTGAAAAAAATCTAACGTTTCTAAACTAACGCTAAAGTCGCGAGGTATCACAAACCGTACTCAGGTAAAGTCGTCTGAAGAGGCGGTCTCAGGAACGATTCATGTGTACTCGAGGACGGGGACTGCGGGTAATGTGAACGCAACGCGCTCAAACGGGAAACTGAACCGATATATGACGTAATACTAAACAGCTCCCGTCGCTGCCGTACAGCACGGGCCTGTTTCATCCTCTGAGCTAGACGTGGAAGGTAGATGTGGAAGTAGGAAGAGGGTCATTGTTGGCGGCTCAGAAAAATAACAAAAACATCCACAGTTAGCAGGACGGACTCAGTTGGTGAGTGGTTGCCATGGTTTCTTCTTCTTCATTTAGCTTCTTGCCGGATTTGCAAACCAGCTACGTGCATACTGCCACCTGCTGTATCTGGATGCGAACATAGCCAAGTGTACTCGGGCACAGATCGATAATGTGAATGCAGACCAGCGGGGGAGGGGGAGCAATCGTGCCTGATGTGAAAACACCCTAAAAGTCAGGAGGGAATAAAAAAATGATATATCGAGTCAAGTGTCTTTCTGTTCGTCCCCTCCGACTCAGTTATTAGCTCTTCTTCCATCAGCTTAGTCGTTAGTGTAAAATCTGAATCTCTTCTTTTTATACATAGTGGTTCCTTTTCTATAACAGTCTGTTAATCTTCACTCACATGTCTCTGACTCATAAGACGAGGTCAGACACTTCTGAAGTAGTTTGTGTTTTCTCTCCATGACGGGAAAACGAGGCCGAGTGCTCTTTTCGAGCAGCAAGACCTCGGAGGGTTTCATGTGCTGTGAGGAGTTTCCGAGTGTGCGTTCTGCTGTTTCTCCAGGTTCTGCAGATCCTCTAACATCTCCTCGATCAGAGGAGGCATCGAGCCCGGGATCTCCATCTTCAGAGTCACCACCCTCTCAGCTCCTGTGGAAACACACACACATGGTTTAATGACGCGTTATGGCAAGTTTTCTTTTCCCACCTGCTCCCCGCAGGAGCTTTTACATGAATTTGCTTGGCACGGCTTAAATTTTGTGTGCTTTTTTGCCTTTTTCTTCTTTAGAGATAAGCCATAGAGTCAGATATCAGAGAGAGAGGAAAGAAGCCTCAGGTGGGGATTCAAACCCGGGCTGCCCGTTTTAAAGGTAACATATGATGCAAAATCCACTTCACCATGTGTCTCTAACACTAACATGTGTCTACAAACCCCCAATGATGAGTAAAGCCATTCCTCTCCGTCTTTTGTCTGTTCCACTTTTCAGAAAATGTGTGCTCAAACAGGCGTTTGGAGATTTTCCCTTCATGACATCACAAAGCGCAGTAACTAAGTAAGGGCAGTTCTGGATTTAAAACAAGAACAACAATCCACAGACATGTTTTGAGGAGTTCTGAGACTTATTTCATCTGGTTGAAGATGAGGAGGATATGTGACCTTTAAAGACTTTAGTCTTGTACATGGGGTGCACAAACTAACCACGAGGCTACAGGCGTCCTGCACTGACATTAGAATAGAATAGAATTACTTTATTGATCCCAAATTGGGAAATTGTGGAAAATTCTGATTAAAAAATGTGACCTTTTTGATGGCATTGCTTTAATATACGCACCTGTTTTTTTCTAATTTGAAGACACAAAATTAAACATGTTGTGAAGCATTCAGTTTTGGAATAATTGTGTTTTTTGTCTCATGTCATGAAGCAGTCGGTGCGACAATATTTTAAGACATTTTCAAACAGTGAATGCGGCACTGAAGTGAACAGAAACGCAAAAGGGAAACAGGTTTTAATGTGTCTGGTGAGCGTTGATAACAAGCTGTGATCTGATTTAAAAAAAGATGCATGCCTGAAATAAACGTCTCTCTCAAGATGGTGTGTGATTTATTATATCCTCCACCTGCTGGAATAACGAGCGGCCCTTTTTCTAAGAGACATGTACAGAAGAAAAAAACGGTTGTACATGCAATCCGTTTAACACAAGTTCATCATTTTGTTATCTCTGGAACACAAAATAATTGACCCGTTATCTGACAGAGTGAGCTTGTTACCTTGAAATAAGCAGATAATAACTCCTCTTAGTGACTGATAATGTTTAACAGAGGTCAGGAGTGTAACGTCGTGGATCCTTGATAACAGTCACTTCTCACTCAAACTGGAAATGGCAGCAAAGCAGATTTAACGCAGCCTTTTCCCCCCAGAGACCTGGGGTACTCCATAAGTGTTCTTTAGGACGGTCAGCTATAACATGCACGGTCACTTAGCAGACGCTTTTATCCAAAGCGACGTTCATCAGAGAGTAAGAACAACACGAGCGAGGATCTAGAGAGGAGGAAACAACGTCAGGAAGTGCAAACAAACAGCTTTAAGTCTGATCTGATCGGACACACAGGTGCTGACAGGAAGTGACCAGAGGTGCTGACAGGAAGTGACCAGAGGCAGAGCATAACATCGACAGCTGTTCTAGAGAGTTCTAATCAGCATCAAAACCATCCTAAATATCAGCATCGTCGTTATCAAACAAAAACCATCATCGTCATTTCCCGGCTCTTTGTTTTTTTGGAGACTTATTTAAACTGGTTGAAGAGGAGGAGAATATGTGACCTTTAATAGTTTTAGTAACCATAACAACCTCCACAAACCATAGAGAAAGTCGTTATCAAACTACTGAAAAACAAAACAAACTGAAGAGCGTTCTACTTGTAGGTTGTTTGTTTCCTGACCTTTAGCGCTGATGCTGCGCAGGTCGGTGATCTTCATGAGGGCTTTGGGGAACACGAGCGGCATGCTGGGTCGCCGTTTGCGGGAGTAGATCTTCAGCGCCTCCAGCAGCGGCTCCTGCAGCACCTCCACCTTAGACGGCTCCTCCAGGTCCTGTCGGTCTGTGCAGACGGATGAGAAAACTTTGTGTTTCAATATTTCAGACAATAATGATTTAAATGACAAAAGCGTAAGCCTTACAAGCTAAATGTTGGATAGTTAATCAGATTTTTCCTCGAGTAGTTTCTTAAGTACCTCCAGAGACGAGACAGATGGCGCTGAGGAGTCCGCTCTCCGTGTCGTCCATCTGCAGCGGAAGCAGCTGCCCGGCAAACGTGAAAACCTGATCAGTCAGCGGTCCGAATCCGGCGTTGTGGATCTGAGTGCGGGTCAGAGTCAACCCATCGGAGAAGGTCATGGTGTCCTGGTCCGGAGTGTAACGAGTGCAAATCCTCAAGATCTAAAAAGGAAGACAGGCAGACCCAGGAGAAGTGAATAACACTGTCCCTGGGTTTTATTTTTTTAAAGAGGACATATTATCCCCCTTCTCCACCTTTTCAAACAGTCCCCTGTGGTCTAAATGAAACATCTGTGCTGTGCTTTGATCAAATAAAACATGAATCAAGGCACAGAGGAGGTTTGTGACCCTGTATAAACCAGCTTTCTCAGAACGCTCCGTTTTGGTGTGTGTGTCTCTTTAAATGTAATGAGCCCCTCCTGAGTTTTCCCAGTAGACATCACTCTTCTGTAGTGAGAATAAAAATGACAGACCTGCCCAAAAGTTTTGCTCTAGGCTGGGGGTGGAGTCTATGGGTGAAGATACCAGGGGAGGGGAGTTTATGTTTTTTTTTTTTTTTTTTTACCAGAATCCCACTGTGACATCACAAGGAGAGCAAATTTGAAACAGAGCATTTTTCTCTGCGTTGTAAGACTTATGCAGACCACAAACAAAGCACTCGATGGGTTTATTCCACATTTTGTGGGTCAGTGGACACTCAGGTTACCCAAATATATGTTCAAAAACACTGTACAAGTGGAATTTTCAGAATATGTCCCCTTTAATAAAGTGTTACATAATCCATGTTTTTGTTTGGTGCCAGGGAGGGAGTCAAACAGGAAGACCAGTAATTATAATTCCTAGAATGTCAGCGGAAAATATGTGAAAGCTACAACACAACTGAGCTGTCGATCATCGCAGCACTTTTCTGGCTCCAGAGAAAATGATCACACCCTGCTGTCGATGACGCCAGATTAGAGGAGGAAGGAGAATAAAACCGCGACACACTGCCAGAGGGCGGCTGTCTGTCAGCTCGTCTTTAAATGTCAGCTGTTGGTGTGAGTTTCGACTGAAGGTTAAAACGAGAAGCGGGAGGAGCCGTGTGTAATTTTAAATGTGTACTCAGGAGTTATTTATGTGATTCAGGGTATTAATTTGATGGGTGGGAGCAGGAAAAATCTAATCTATGCACAGCTCACTCGGGTTTTATGACGACTTCTTTCCATTTTTAAAGGCCACGCTGTAAATCCTAAAGCATGAAGTTGTTTTAGTAAATACACACACAAACACACACACACACATACACACACAAACACACACACACACACACACACACACACACACACAAACACACACACAGACACAAACACACACACAGACGTACCAGGATGTCCAGGCAGGCAGTTTTGAGCAGAGTGATCTGGTCGGCGATGGTGAGGCCGGTGAAACCAGGAACTCTCTTTGCAAACTCCACCACCTTGATGATGCACTTGGCGGCGAGCTCGCTGAACTTGTCCCACAGCCCGAGGTCCAGCTGGATCCTGTGGTCCGAGCTCGAGTTCTGGACGGAGGAGGAATAAAGATGAAGAGAGGTGTCAGAGATGTGCAGGATTAAGACAAGTCTTATTAGAGGAATGAAAATCCATTATTAGAGAAAAAGAACCACAACCCTCAAGATCTTCACAGAAGTTTTCTGATAATTCTCTAACCAGGAAGTGTATTTATCTATGTATTAAAGAGATCTGCATGTGTGTGTGTGTCAGGCGGTTTGTTTTTCCTCATGTCAGTCATTCTTCCAGGCATCGGTCACTTCTGCTGACTTGACAAACCACAAACACGCGACGAGTATTTTTGGAAAGGGCACTCCCAGGTACACCCTGTATGATGTCACACTGGGAAGTTATTCCAGTCCGTCATTAAGGGATTTGCAGTAATTTCGGTTTGTGACGTAAAGTGCTTCGCAGTATGCTTTAACAAAACTAATTCTGAGTTGGACTCACCGTGGTGTATTTGCCCAGCTGGCAGAGAGAGGGGAAGGTCTCCCTGTGGGCTCTGCAGATTTTCTCCACGATCAGTCCCAGCTCCGCCGTCAGCTCGTACGTCTCCATGATCGTCATCTTCACCGCTTCCTTCTTTGCCTTCCGCCCGTTTCTGTCGTTTCTTACCGCTGAGTGAAAGGACAGAACAACATGATGTTAGTGACAACAAATAAATACGACTCTTTAGATGATGGACCTTGATTTAAATCCATGCATACTTATATACTTATACATACTTTGGAGTTTGGAGAGAAACAGCAGGGCAGAACATGCTCATACTTTGAAGGATGAGTGGTTTTCAGAAGTGCATTAAAAGTATTAATTAGGTGATATTTATACTTAGATAGGCTATACGCCATTAATTAATTGGAAAAAACAGATAGATCTATGTAAAATTTGATTTTGAGCACTCCCATATAGCCAGAATGGAATGATCCTTGAGCTCCGCTGTGAGACTGGAAGTTGACTGAGGCTCTCACAAATGAATATATTGGAGTCAGCCCTATTTTTTTTTTTTTAGGTCGGCCTCTTAATGCCGGTCAAATATTGTGCTCAAACTGCAATGCAGCCAACGGCCACTAGACGGGGCTGTAGTCATAGACTGGCTGGAGCTCCGGGGGAATGTGCCTTGCTCTCCTCGCTCTACAACCCGGATGTAAACAAGCACAGTGAACAGATAACATCTCAGCGCCGTTTGGCAGGATTTTGATCTCAGAGAATGAGAGCAGAATTGATGTGAACTGTGTCAAGTTAAACGGGTGTATTAACCGGGAGAATGAGTGACCACATGAAGCACAGGCGTGTGGATGTTTATCTGCAGGGCGGACTGAAGGCTGGTGGTGCTAACATTAGCCACACTTGGCAAAACACATTACAATACTACAATACATACTATTTTAAATAAATTGTGCTAAATTTTGTACTTGATTTCTGAGCATTTTCTTACCTTTAGTCATTTAGTCTGAATTTTTATTTCCTTTTGACGTTCTAGGAAATTAGTCGGCTAGGAACATCCCTATTTTAATCCACAGTGTAGACGTGATGAGCTGCCGAGGGGAGCGTCAAAGTGTTTGTATTTAACGACCAGCTCAAAACACGTTACATGTGCTGCTAAACATGTTCCCCAAATAACCCGAAGACGAAATAAACAAATGTGCCTAAGAGTTATTTAAGTGGGTTTTTCCTGGAGTGTGCCAAAGAGGCCGGGAACAAATCTAAACAATGGAAAAGGTGGGTGAGAAGGATTCAGTGCAGTTTAAATTCAGAGAAATCTTCCCCCTAATACAAAGGATTACAGTGGAGGTGCATTTGTGGCTCTTCAAAGAGCCAAAAAACAGCTTTTGAAAAACTCTCCGTCAGCATTTTTAGGTGAAACTGTTTCCGGGGTAGAAATTAGTCTCTCTCTGTGAGCTGGGTGGATTATGTGTTACACCTGCGGAGAGCATGTGAGGCCGGCAAACGCAGCCTAACCAGGTTAACCTTTCGTAATCACTTGGGTAACCGTGTCAACACGTTTCTGTGCGTCCCACTGACTTGGCCGCGGCGGCTACACATGTCAGCCCGGTTCAGGATTGTGCAACAGCTCCGTCTCTGATGTCCTCACTACAACTCTCCTCCCTCCTCCCTCCTCCAACTCCTCCTCCTCTCTCTGGGTGCCCTACATCCAGTCGTCATTGTGTAAACACTCCTAGTGAGATCATATTACACACCAGCTGAAGCGTCCAGTGAGCGGTTATGTAGCACTCATCTGTCTGCTACATGTGATGTATTTATGTAATGTGTGTGTGTGTGTGTGTATCTGAGAGCGGAGGAGCAACATTGGAGACATGAGGGTGGGTGGATCCTTGGCTGCAACCCTATCGCTGCCCTACAGATCACTCCACATAACACACACTCCTATTATTTAGGTCACTTCTGGGTAACACAGAGTTTGACTTAGTTTCTGGCGTACAGTCGAGGCGCTAGAGTGCTGCTGGATTCACCCAGGAGGACTTCGTCTGAACATGCACTTTGATTCTCTCCGGGGTAGTTAAGAGTTCAGATCGCCCTCTCTTATGTCTTAAAACGTAAAAAAAAAAAAAAAAAAGTTAACATTTAAACACAGCAAAAGGAGCATGCCTTCTCCAGGCACGGGGATGCGCAGACTAACGAAATGCTTTGAATCAAAACATGTGAAAAACACTTGAGAATTGCCTGAGTAAATGGGATGATTTTGAAGGTTTCAAAGTCGTGTTAGACCAGGCATCAGCTGTACGATTTCTTAAAATGTCTCGGTAGAATGACAGCATGACCTAAGCTCTGGATTTATGAGCTCAAACTGTACGATCTGAACCGGGACACAGCGTTGACTGTTAAGTTTGCTCTATGTATTTCAGTCTCATTTGCAGCGACTCGAGCACAAACACAGCAAAAAAAAACAAAAGAAAAGGCTCAGCACCAGCATCACCAACAAACAACCTGACTAACACGCTTAATTACAACAAATACTCCCTGTCGACTGGAGGCCTGCAGCATCTTCCTGCAGAGCTTTCTCTTGTTCTGACGAGTGACGAGAGGAAGAAACATCAGAGAGGCATACCTGCTGTTGCCATGGAGCTTTCAGACGCTCTCTGATAGTTGGCACAGTTGCAATCAAATGCTTACACACTATGCGATTCCAGCCCGATTTAGCCCCGAGTTTTGACCCCTAAGACTAATTATTAAGTCGAGCCAGATTTCACCCCGATCATGCGTTGTTAGTAGTACAGTGTACACCGAGGCACGACGGGCAATCACAGCCTGATGCTCCCGGCTGGTCGGATGATTCTCTGGTTTAAGGTTTATTTTTCTTCTTCATTTGAGAGACAGGACAGTGGATTGAGTCAGAAATCGGAGAGAGAGAAAGACTGTGGAATGACATGCTAAAGGAGCCACAGGTTGGATTCGAACCTTGACCGCCCGCTTGGAGGACTACATCCTCCCTACATGCAAAAATAAAAAAACATTAGATTTTTACAAGAATGGTATCAAATATTACAATTCTGGTATCCTGACAACCCTACCTCTACTTTCTGACATGTCCTTGAAGGCATCACAACTTCCTCTCTTCACTCACAAGGAAAGAAAACTATTTTTGAAGATAGTAGAAGTCTAATTTGAGGATCTTATAACATGCTGCTCCGGACGACACAAACTGAATTTCTAACTCATAAGGGGGAGTCACAGAGGACGGAGGAGCAGACACTTACACTCCTTGGACATTCCCGCAGCGAAACACCTCTGCAAGCGGCAGTACTGACAGCGGTTCCTTGTGATCTTGTTGATGATGCAATTTCTGTCCCGGTGGCAGGTGTACACCATGTTTTTCTGCACGCTGCGACGGAAGAAGCCCTGCAGGGAGAAAATATGAATGATTTAAGTTATCAGAGTGTTACAGCCGCAGCCAAACACCCCTCTTCTTTCGAAGTGTCGGTGCATTTGATCTTTCTCAAACCCACCGCCTCTACCTCCACACATTGAGCTGCATCCAACACCTCTGAGCCTGGAGTGAGACACCGATGCAGGCTTACTAACCAGGTGTTCAAAAATATCATTAAGCCCTTTCTGGGTCCTCAACAAAAAATAGAAAGGCAAAAGAAAGACTGAGACCAGAAGCTGCTCCAAAAGGCATTTGTGATAAATTTCATGAAATGCAATTCAGAGCAGCTCAGCTTTAATCATCACACCACTGACACACATGAACGCGGCAAGCAAAGACTTCAGTCCTTACGAAAAACTCAGAGCCGTTTTCACATTATGCACTCCTGAAAATATCTAGATCATTTCAGGAGGACTGCTCTGGAGATTTTCCTGACCTGGCTGTATACATATGCTCCTCACAGCGGGAGACTATCCCTGTCAGACAGGCGGTAAAATGTGAGGTTAAGTAGCGGACAAAGCAACAGAGTCCGCTACACGATGCGATAATGACAATATTTTCCTTTATATCAATGCAACGTGTAGTCCAACAAAATGACAACATCCACAAAAGAGTGGAGAACAACATACTGAAGAACAGAAAACATAATGCAGGTTAATTATGTGCACAGAGATCATAGCAGTCGCATGCTTACACTCTATGCACCGTGCGGCAGTAACAGTATATAGAAACGTCACTCCCCCTTCTATTGGCTCAAGCTGAATTATCCAGAGATTATCCTGTTTTCTGCGGAAAAAACACTAAGGGTCTGGCCGGAGAAATTCCGGTTGAAGTCCGAGCGAAAAATTCAGTTGTTTGGGTTCACACATGCAGCTCCTCCGGGTAATCTCCAGTTTAGTTTAGTTGAGTTTTTCAGGAGATTTCCATGTGTGAAAAGGGTTTAAGTAAAGTTTAATTAAATAGCATTTTCACAGACAAAGGTCACAAACTACTTAACGTCAACAATAAACAACAACAGCATACATACAATAAAAACACGAATGAGTTTCTGTTGCTGAGTTGTCTCTCTTAATGGGATATTGACTAGAATTCCAGTTTTTTTACACATTCAGGACAAAGTTCAAGTCCTGTATCAATGTTGATGTTTTCTGTGAGCAAATGCAGAAATAAATAACTGATATAAAAATCCTTCTAAACCTTAAGAAATAAATCTATTCATCCTTTCAATAAGAAAATATCACTGTCTACCTCTTGTACAGCTTGTACTCCTTAAAATAAAAATAAAAATGCTGCTTGGTTAAAGGCGAGACCTCCGAGTGTGTACTGTCCTTTCTCCCCACTTTATTGGAGCATGACAGATGTGTTATTGTGTGTGTTTTGTGTGTGTGTGTGTGTTGTTGTGAAGTGGACCACGGGTCTGACATGTTACCTTGCAGCCCTCACAGGCGCTGACGCCGTAGTGGTAGCCCGAGGATTTATCTTGACACACAAAGCAGGGCTTGTAAGTGCGAGGTGGGGGCGGTGGGGAGGGGGGGCTGGCGAACAGGTCGTCTGAGCTGGACGTGGAGCTCTGACTTCCCACTGCTGTGAAAAACACAAAGACAACACAGGACACAGAGCGTTATTATGTAGTGACACCTCGAGGTCCAAACTCTGTTCATTTTAACCAGATAAAACTAAGAGTCACAAATCTCAGGGTTCGGATCTGACGTCAGGTTCAGGCAAAGTCTCGCCAAGTTCTCGTAACGTCTCGTTCAGAGGAGCAGGAAATCACGGGAACTACGCTAACAACTGGGAAAGCCGAGGTTAAGTATGGACATCCAACATCGTAACATTATATGTCTGTATTTAAACATGGATCAGCAGAATAGATTTTCTTATAAACTGATGGATTCAGTTGGTTTGTACCTCCCTAAAACGAAAAAACAAGTCTAATGACCCTAAAAAACATTTTTCTTAACTTTGGTCATTCCCTCCGATGGTCAAATATCTTTCGTTACTGCCGCCTAAATGTCAAAACTTTAACGCAGACACAAGCGAACGTTGTTTTTGTCTTTCTTTGAAATCTCCTCAATGTAGAATTGGCCTCTCTCTAATACAAATACAGCAGCTGCATCTATTGTAGCACAGCTTCAACCTCCATTTTTCCACTTCAGTGTATCAATTCACTTCTTTGATAACAACGGGGACCCCTTCCACTTTTAAACCACTTCTCAGAGGAGGAACTCAGCAGTTAGTGGGGCTCGCCCGGGCCTCCTCTGTTCACCTCCACCGCTGACAGCAAACGAAGAAAGACATTTTAGAAATAAAGAGACAAAACGAGAAAAATTGCTCATCTACATCCCCTTGAACCCGTGGCCTCCGGTTGAACCTGGAATTAGCGGGTCACACAAGGACACCACCCCCTCCCTGCCCCATCAGTCGACGAGCCCGAGCTCTCTCTCTCTCCCCCCCCCAACAGAAAACAATACAGGAGCATGCCACAAGCCCAGCTGACTGATGAGAGGGAGAGAGAAGAAACAGAAAGTGTGTGTGGTGGGGCGGTGTAAGTGATTTGGACGGGGGTGAGAGGGGACGAGGTGGCCCCCCACACCAATTTAGGTGGTGCTATTTGATGTATGGACAAAGCATTGTGTGTGACTGCTTAAGGTTATTTTTGGTTGTCCTGATCAAAGGAAGAAACGGGGCTTCAAGCTAACGCAACATCCATAAATTAAAAGTTAAGAGAGGTGTTTTCTGTAGGGGAACTTAAAAACTCAAAATTACTTTAACTGATTATTTACGTGTTTCATTTATAATCCCTTCACTTCCCATGCCGGATACATGTTCAGCATTTAATTTTATTAACAATAGCCCTACGTTGACGAGAACACTTGTTCAGAGCGCAAAATATTTGCGAGCCAGCTTGTGGAGTTGCGGATATCTCGCCCGCCGTGTATCTCTCCAACAAAGCAGCCAAAGCGACAGGTTCCTGTTTGAAGAGAGAGGAGTCTAGTTTTCATCTTCTGAATCAGGCCCCTGATGCTTTTTTTTACTCTACATTTACTGAGGTCAAAAGTGCATGCAATGGTCCAGTCACGCTGAGAAACCGGCTCATGAACTCACAGTCTGTCAGAGTGTAGATTTTAAAATACTGCTGTCGGTCTTTAGAGCACTGAATGGTTTAAGGCCAAAATACATCAGCTCAGTTCGTTATTAAATTATCTCAATACTAGGGCTGTCAATCGTGTTTATTTAAAAATAAAAATTGTATGGCTTTTATTTTGAATTTTTGTACAGGCTTAAGCTGAGAATACTTAACTGGCTGTTTGAATTCAACCCAGCTTTTATTTTGAAACCAAAAGTTAGGAGTTTTAGTAGGTCAAAGGTTATGATCCTGTTAAGCACAGAAACAGGAAGTGGTTAGGGATCACAAACTGACATCAAACAGCTCAAGGGAACGGTAACAAAGGTCAATGTGTGATGTCATAAGGTGGATATTACTTTGGACTCGTCAGCTGAGCTGTCTGAGAGTCGGAGGTTGTAGTCCTTCAAGCGGGGGTCCAGGTTGGAAACGTACCTGTGTCTCCTCTCCTGCATGTCATTCCCCACTCTCTCTGTCCCTGATTTCTAAATCTATCCACTGTCCTATCCCCCTCCCCCAAAAAAGTGAAATGAGACATTCAAAGATGCAGCAGTGTCATTCCTTTACATCACTGTGACTACAGGGACACACTGGGGACGACAATTTACGGTGAGCATAAAGGAACAAAATAGGCGATTTAAAAAAAACAAACACGTAAAGCATTAATTTCAGACCTTCATTAATTGCTGCAGCTCTCCTTAATGCCCATTTGACTGTAACTTTACCTCTTTAATGGCCTGTTACTATTTTAAAAAGTGGTTTTCTAATATTTCTGCTTTTTAATCATAAACTCAGGAATCTGATTTGCAATGGGAGTGTTTTTAACTTTTTTACTGAAGCATCTCTTCCTCCACCGTCTGGCTCTTCTCTAACCTCCTAAACTGGTGACCGTCCGGTGAACCCGTGGTGACCCCAAACTGACTGGCCCTGCACGCCCTCGTCCCAAACACAGACCATCACCAACGCTGTCAGGAAGATTCGGCGCTCGGATACAGAGACTAGTTTTCTGCTCCTCTCTCGGCCTACACGGACAAAACAACTTCAGAAGTTTTCATTGATGTACAGCATTCAAAAACAGCTATTAAATCCTCCTGAGACGACGCACTTTATGTCGTCACAGCCGTGTTTTTACTCCATTATCTTTCATGATGAGGAAATCTCAGGATCAATAAAACCTGAATTATTTTTACATTTATTTATCAAATGTTTGCCCTTTTATATTCAACATAAAATCATATTCCTTGTCTTTGAAGGAAGTCACAATACTTTAGTCATGATACAATATTATCAAAATAATTGCGTCACAATATGATATTATCAGGATACTTGAGTCACAGTGCAAAGTTATCACGATACCTGGGTCCCAACACTGTGATAAAAGTAAAACCCAGTAAAAGGCTGCATGCTCCTCACAATCTGAACTGTTGTTGTTTCAGTCTAACCGAATGAGACTGAACACAAACATGTACGGACGACTGAACAGCTGCTGCAATTTTTAAAATAAATTCAAAATAAATGTTGCAACCCCTTCAGCGCTTAAAAATTTAAAAAGCACATTTTCCATTAATATAAGAAAAATGTGGATACTTGGCGGCCATGAATTGATATAACATCACCACGCAAAATATCGCGATACTATGCTGTATTGATTTCTTCCCCCACCTCTGATGTATTTTCATGTCTGCATGTACACATCTTAATTTTTACGCTTGTGTGTACACATATTTGCACATTTGATCATGTACACGTGTCTAGTTTGTGTAAATTTGGGTGTATGCATTCTGTAGAGATTGTGTATTTGGTATATGCACACATATATTATTATTTTATGAACTGCTTGTTGTGCCTGTGTGGAGCACTTTGCATTGCATGGTGTCTAAAATGTGTTTTATATATAAACCTACCTTGCCTTGCCTATCAGTGCACCCTAATGTTTACAAAGCTTTTCCAACAATGATGCACAGATGTAGACATGAAGGTTGTTTTTCAAGTATAAATGAGTAAAATCAGAGTATTATCAGAGTAATATCTTATTTGTTATTGTTAAATTGGGCTTGCTGCCTGTCTGGGCCAGGACAATCTCAACGAGCTTCCGTCCTGGTTAAGCAAGAAATGCAAAGACAACCATTCATTTTCATCACTGCTTCCGAGTTAAATCTTGCGGAAACTGACTTCTGTTTGCATAATGAACTGATATTTTCCTAATGGAGGCCACAGATTGACCACATCATCACTTATTCAAATTTTTTTTTTTTTACCAAACATCGTGTTTCCACCTACACTGCGAGCAGCGGTGTTGCTGCCAATCCGCCTCCACCAGCTCGGGGAAGAAGTCTGCTAAATCGTCGTCCTGTCTCTCTATCAAATGTTTGCCCTTTTATATTCAACATAAAATCATATTCCTTGTCTTTGAAGGAAGTCACAATACTTTAGTCATGATACAATATTATCAAAATAATTGCGTCACAATATGATATTATCAGGATACTTGAGTCACAGTGCAAAGTTATCACGATACCTGGGTCCCGATACGATATTATTGCGATTTTTACAACATTTTGGGATATGCTGAGAATTGTGATACAATATATTGCATTAACTTTTTTAACTGCATGTTTTGTCCACAAACTTACACTAAATCAAGAACTGTTTTGTTAAAGAAGAAAACTTTTTCAGTCTATTCATCTCACTTCTAATTGATCAACACTGTGATAAAAGTAAAACCCAGTAAAAGGCTGCATGCTCCTCACAATCTGAACTGTTGTTGTTTCAGTCTAACCGAATGAGACTGAACACAAACATGTACGGACGACTGAACAGCTGCTGCAATTTTTAAAATAAATTCAAAATAAATGTTGCAACCCCTTCAGCGCTTAAAAATTAAAAAAGCACATTTTCCATTAATATAAGAAAAATGTGGATACTTGGCGGCCATGAATTGATATAACATCACCACGCAAAATATCGCGATACTATGCTGTATTGATTTCTTCCCCCACCTCTGATGTATTTTCATGTCTGCATGTACACATTTTAATTTTTACGCTTGTGTGTACACATATTTGCACATTTGATCATATACACGTGTCTAGTTTGTGTAAATTTGGGTGTATGCATTCTGTAGAGATTGTGTATTTGGTATATGCACACATATATTATTATTTTATGAAATGCTTGTTGTGCCTGTGTGGAGCACTTTGAATTGCATGGTGTCTAAAATGTGTTTTATAAATAAACCTACCTTGCCTTGCCTATCAGTGCACCCTAATGTTTACAAAGCTTTTCCAACACTGATGCACAGATGCAGACATGAAGGTTGTTTTTCAAGTATAAATGAGTAAAATCAGAGTATTATCAGAGTAATATCTTATTTGTTATTATTAAATTGGGCTTGCTGCCTGTCTGGGCCAGGACAATCTCAACGAGCTTCCGTCCTGGTTAAGTAAGAAATGCAAAGACAACCATTCATTTTCATCACTGCTTCCGAGTTAAATCTTGCGGAAACTGACTTCTGTTTGCATAATGAACTGATATTTTCCTAATGGAGGCCACAGATTGACCACATCATCACTTATTCAATTTTTTTTTTTTTTTTTTACCAAACATCGTGTTTCCACCTACACTGCGAGCAGCGGTGTTGCTGCCAATCCGCCTCCACCAGCTCGGGGAAGTAGTCTGCTAAATCGTCGTCCTGTCTCTGCAGCATGCATGTAGGGCTGGATGTGGTGAAGAAGTCCGTGATCTCTCCCGGACCGAAAGCTTGAAAATCCACATAGTCAAACATGATTCAGCTGGATACAGCACACTTCTCTCTCTTATGGTTTAAAAAATAAAAAAAAATCAGAAGGAAAACGTGCCACGAGAGAGGCGAGTGCGATTAAAATCAGACATTGTGAGCATGTTGTTGACACGCAGCTGCAGACTGGAGTCTGCCAGCGGAGAGGCAGCGGGTAAAAAACAAGTCCAGATCTGGAGGCTGTTTTGCATAACAAAGTTAGTCGCGGGAGTTCTTCTTCTTCTCCTTGTTATCTCTTCTTTATTGACAAATGTGTCGACTCAACCTGCTTCGTACTAGTTATGTCAGAGCGAGCGATGGTGTTACCTAATGTATGCGAGTGAACTCTACGCGAACCTCCTCCTCTGCTGCTGACCTCCACATGAACCAGCCGCCGTCTGACATCACCAGCAGCAAGCGGTGGAAACACCACCTGAAGTCCTTCACTCGAGGAAACGTGAAATATGTAAGGAGACGCGAGTAAAGAGCATTAACGAACAAAAAGAATGAGCATAAATGTATACGCTCGACAAGAGAACATCATAAGTCCCTTGATATGAGTGCCTACATTACCCAAAATGCAACGTAGAACGGACTTTCTCTCAAAACCGTGGCGGGTGGGGAGGTGTTTCGGTATTTCGAGTGACCCAGTTAAGTGGTGACATCCAGCCGAAATGCGTCTGCCGTTGACGTCGTTTCAACAAACGGAAAACTGTCCTCATACATTCCTCTTCACACTTTAGTTTTCTTCCCCCTATTTAAGACATATCTAATGAATATATATTGACATTGAAATGAAAAAATATTCGTCCTATTTTTAATGTCAATAACTTTTTTTTTTTACAGGAGGCTGGCTCCGGGATCACTGGCAGTCACATAGGTTTGACAGGCAAAAACAAAAAGGCCGTTATTACAGCATTAATAAACATGTTTACAGCCTGATACAAAAAATCAAATAGGTCTGATTGGTTATTGTCATCACTGGCTCACACTGGTAGAATTTTTTTAAACCGGCCCCGTTTTAACTTGGGACGAACAACTGCATGGTTTCGTTTGTTTGTTTTACTTGTTGTTTGTGTTGTACTAAACACGGTGCATTTTGGATATCTCACAGTAGCAAACGATCTAATGCTGTGGGTGGGTTGCGCTCTGTTTGTTCAGATGTTAATTAAGTGTAATCGTCGTCTGTGCTTCAAGTTATGTGTTAAATTTATCAGCATTTACTGTTTATATTTTATATCAAACTTAACGCCTGTAGTATTTGTAGTTCGGCCACTTTGTGAGGACTTGTAAATTTAATTTTTGTGAGCGAGTAGCATTTAGCTAACTTATGAATGAACGTGACCGGAACATTTCCTAATATGGAGTTGTCCTCTGAAGTTTGAGCGGGAACAGAGGTCTTGGTTCCACTTAGGGCTGTAGCTAACCGAAAAAATGAATAACCGCGGTAAAATCAAGGGCTGCGTCCGAAATCACTGTCGTAAATAACAACATGAATTTCAGTGATAACTTCTATTATATTGAGTATATTTTCACGAAAAATTTGCAATTAATAAATACATATAACATTTTTTAAATATAAGATATAATTAAATGTGTAATTTTATGCCCCTGTTTTAAGATTCTCCCACAGGAAAGGAGTTTGAGCAGGTTATATAGTTTTCATGGTGCCCCTTTTTTTTGTTTCTGCCCAAGAATTAGGAAAGAAAAGATCATACTGGCTCCACAATGTTGTTCATCCTTATCAACACAAGGCAGAAACCCACTGAAGAATGGTAAGGTTTAATTTTTGTATGAACTTGTACACCTGCTTACAGACTGCAATTCCACATTAGCGCCGTAATGCAGTTCTGACGCCATCATGCTTTTTAGCCATTGCATCCGGCATAATATTGTATCCGGGTGTGTGGTTTCACATTGCCATACGGCGGTGTCAAAGCTGTCGATGACGTGTAATCAAACAGCGGGGGCTTCACATACACATCGCTGTTCCAGGATGCTGGCTCCGACATTACACATCGCAACCATCTTCCCCCCTTAAGCTTGGTTTGTATTTCTGCGTCAAATGTACGCTGTAGCAATGGCATATTGGCCTAAGCCATTGTGAGCACTGCGTACTTGTGCATTGGTGTGTCTGTGTAGCTCTTTAATACTCCACCCGCAAATGCTCGTTAGCAGTCATGCTAGTTATATCACCGGTTATTGGTTCCGCCACATTCTCGCTCGTTTGTTTATAGAAAACCATGGCGACTTAAAAAGTGTTATGTTGGAGTTTGCGCTGAATTTTCTTTTAGCAGCAGTTGATCATGCTGGCTTTTAGCGTTCTTCCTAATGTAACATTTTAAAAACAGTTGCGATGCGGTCAAATCACAGGGCTTGCAATCGAGTCATTTCCATGCTTAGTAACTCTTTTGAGGAGATTCATGTAGAGCAGGGCAATTAATTGAAACCGTCATTCAGAACCTCTAATCGACGTAATCTTGCCCATGTCGGTGATGTCGTTTTTTTTAATGTTTGTATTATGTTAACGCTTCCTCCACTGTGTGTAAGACCTGTTCATTCATTTACTGTCCCCTTAAAAACACATGCCACGTGTGTAGCCGCTTAACTCTGGGCCGTTTAATTTGCCGCATGGAAGCAACATTGGGAGCAAAGTTTTGGAAACAGGTTGCACCTGGCCAGCGGTAAGTACACATCATCTTAACAAACACAATGCTATGTGATCATCTGTATATTATTTATTTCTGTTCGTTTTTGTGATTAATGGTAGTGAAACGGATCAGGCTTGATCTGTGGTGTGTTCGGATCGCCCCAACGGCTCGGGATCGATGGAAAATGTATAAACATGATGTAGCCTTTATTAAACACTACCGCTTAATCCCTGTGCAGAGTGTCAGTAAAAAGAAGGCAGCGTGTAAGTGTTGCGATGTAGACTCACAAAGGGGAAGACATTATAGTCTTTTGAAATATATTTTTTATAATTCCCGCCAACTTTCGGTGTCACACAGAAACGTTGTCTCTCATCCTGTCTGCATCTTGCAGGTAACAGCTTGGAGGGCTTAGTGTCAACAATCTGCAGCTTCATGTTAGTAATGTTACATCCTGCTGTAGTCTGTTATGCTGTAAAGTTAGACAAACTCTGTTACAGAGCGAAGGAATACGTAGCTTTTAACTGTGCGCCCGTCAGGCACACACACGCATCCGCTAACTGAACGGTGTGTGAGTTTGTGTGTTATGTGTTCAGCATCTTCCATGCTTGTACAAGAAAAAAGACCAGATAAAAAAACTTCTGATAATGGTGAAACATTTTTTCTTATGTTGTGTTGCGTGCCTTGTTTGTTTAGTCTCCTTTTCTTTATGTGCTGATATGGTTGTGAAGCACTGAAACCACCAATAATATAATTTCTTTGTGTGTGTGTTTATTTCAGAAAATGAAAGATCAACATGTGGAGCGGGCAATGACGTGCAAGAAGATAGTCAATGCTTCTTATAGTTGAAAGAAAAAGAAGCATTAGTGAAGATGCATCACATGTCGCAGTCACATGTTTAAAATTGATTTTGCTTTCAAGAAGGAGATAAGCACAGGGCTACGCGAACCAACGCAGTTTGCTATGTTGTAGAAACGACGCAGAACTCCTCCACCTTAATTGGAGATCAGATGAAGAATGACTTTGCCATTAGTTAACCATTTAAGTTATGTATGTATATCTTCAGCTTTTACAATCAACCACCCCTATTTGTGTAGTTATCTTAGACGTTTATTTTTAAATAAATAATCATTATTTAACAGGAAAAGCTGGTTTAGTGTGCATTTAGAACTACATTTTTTGAAACTGAGGGACATTCTTGTTGTTTCAGGCTCCGAGTTCATGTTTTTTTTTAGAACATAACTTAAATGGTTTTCAGATGGAAAATAAGAAGAAAAGGAATTTTGTCAACAGCTGATTTAGCACGGTCTGTAAACCTTTGGATCTGAAGGTTTTTATCTCCGGATTTACGGTCTGCCATAAAAGGACTCTCATCTGTTGAAGTAAAGGGCATCAAAGCAAAGCAGATAACACTGATGTTCCAGTATTGGCATTTCATGATTGAAAACACATGGCCTTTCACAAAATCAATGCTTTTTAGACCCTGTTTCTCTTTATTCACGTCCTTTTCAATTCTTAATGCTTGACTTTAAGTGAGAATTATCTGCCATTTGGAGGATCCATAATTAAATCCGCTTGGAGATAAAGTAGGTCAGCTACAAGACTGGTGGATGGATGGATGGGGGGAAGGAAATCTGCCCTACTTCAATGTAATAGTTGTAATTTAGAGCATTTTTCAACAGGAAATTACTGAAAACAACTGCCCTGAAATGCACATTTAAATTAAAAAGAATACCTTTTAATAAAGAATGTTAAAGCATGACAAAATCAAAACACATAGAGATAAAGGCAAGTGGTGCAGAAGAAGAAAGCTGTTTTATTTGGAAATATAAATACACTTGATCTCCTTCAATGCCACTGCTAACCCCAGTGAGGCTCTGAGGCAGCACAGATCCAATGTTAAAGGAGGCTAATTACTCCCAGTATCTCCCACACTCCAGGGAGGCGAGTTCATCCAGAGGACAGGCATGTGAAACATTCCTGCAGCCTGCTGCTTCTGCCGGACCTCCCTCTCCGCTCTGTCTCCCCCTGTCCTCCTTTCTCCTCCTTCATCGGTCCTCCCACGACTTCTCGTCTTCCTCTGTCCTGTTACACATCATTCACAACTCTTGCTTTGCCCTCCATCTTAATATTTATTCAGTCGTTTGTTTCTTTGATAGGAGGCTAACTGTTCAGCCATTTGTCAGTAATATCTGACAGCAGGGGGGTTATATGATTAACTGACTTGCTCTCACAAAACAAGGCATAGCATCTATTGCCATAACTGCTCTAAGGCTGTTCTTACCTAATCTGTGTGCATCTGTGCTATGTAGTAATACTGTCACACCCAACCGTCTGATCCAACCTTCAGAACAGGGTCCTAAGACGCTGACTAGACTCTTCTCCTCTGTTGCCCCTCGGTGGTGGAATGAACTTCCAAACTCCATTCGATCTGCAGAGTCCCTCTGCACCTTTAAGAAAAAGCTAAAGACCCAGCTCTTTATGAATACCTACTAACTTAATGATGATGGTCTCGATATTATTGATGATGATGATGGTAATGACGATGGTTTTTGTTTGATAATGATAACTTATAAGATGGTTTCTATATTGATTAGAGCTCTCAAGAACTGCCGTCATGTTGTGCTTTGACTCTGTGCAATGCCTGTCAGCACCTGTGTGTCCAATCAGACTCAAAGCTGACATTGTTCCCTTTTTTAAAAAAGCGATAAAAGCGTTTGCTAAGTGAATTGTAGAATTGTAGTTGTAGAATGATTATAATGCTAACATGCTGATGTTAAGCCGAGGCTATTTTCACCATCTGTGTTTAGATAGTTTTTACGCAAACGTTTGTCTGTATAGTTCAGCTAAGGCTCATGGGAATGTGAGAAGTTGAGAATTAAGGCCTTTGCACACTGACTCTATTTTTTT